GGAAATTCTAACAGCGTTATAATACTAGCAGCGCAAACAATTCATTTTAAAAATTATTTCTTGAACGGAATGCGATTTGAAAATTCTAACAACGTTATAATATTAGCAGCGCTCTCTAAAACAACTATAATAAGTTTCATCCAAATCGCTCAACTCGTTCAAAAAATAAATTATTTTTTGCTAACAATTCAATTTAAAAATTATTTCTAGAACGGAATGCGATTTGAAAATTCTAACAGCGTTATAATATTAGCAGCGCTCTCTAAAATGACTATAATAAGTTTCATCCAAATCGCTCAACTCGTTCAAAATATAAAAATTATTTCTTGAACGGAGTGCGATTTGAAAATTCTAACAGCGTTATAATATTAGCAGAGCTCTCTAAAATGACTATAATAAGTTTCATCCAAATCGCTTGACGCTTTCAAAAAATAAAAAATATTTCCTGAACGGAGTGCAATTTGAAAATTCTAACAGCGTCATAATATTAGCAGCGCTCTCTAAAATGACTAATAAGTTTCATCCAAATCGCTCGACTCGTACAAAAAGTAAAATCCAATTTTAGTGCGCGGACTGGAAAACGACCCCATCAGTCTAGCATTATTAGCTAGACAACAGTAATACCCCTTTAGAAATTAAACAAGAATTAATTTTCCTTATTGTTATTAAAGTTAATATATTTTAAGTTATTATATAGTGTTGTCAGAATTTATTTTTATTTCGGTTTTTTAGATAATAATTTATGTAATTAATTTTATATTTAGAATGTTTCCAATGGAAAATCATTCCGTTCAAAATCATTTGATTATTGACGGAATTTGGCAGTTTTGAAAATAATAAATGAATATTATAAAAAAGGCTTGAAAAGAAACTTCAAAACAACTTAAAACATTTCGATGAATTTTGTACCATATATAAAATAATTAAAATTATTAAGAAATAATTTAGAATTAACGTTTGGAATAGATTGTAAATTATATACAAAAATCCGCATAATCAAAATTTATTAAAAATAGTTGAATTAAGACAGTTTCTATTTCTGTGGATAATACTATTTAAATGTTATTGGTTTATCGCACAATTAAAAAATAAAACCAATAATGAATAATTTGAACATTTCACTTTCAAAATTAATTGAATTATAATTAATCATAGCACCGATGCTCCTTTTTTTGTAAAGAAAAAAGAAGCTACATTGCACAATACGAATTGAAAAATAACAGTCCAACTTACACATAATTCTTAGGAAAGCTTACAAACCACATCCATCGTCATATTGTATAACATTATGTACAAATTATAAAAGTTTTTTCTCTCATTTTCATAGGTTTGAACACAATTACGATTATAAGAGCACATCGATACTAAAAACACATTTAGAAAGGCGAGTTCATTCCTAGCTTTGTCCCAAACTCCAAACGTGTTCTTCGTTGTTGTCGCAAATTCACCCTTAAATTACACAAGCAATACGTTATGTTACAGAAACAAAAGCGCTGCAAATAACTCACCTAATTTCCTCGCGTTTAACCAACTCGTTAATGATGAAAGTAATCAGTGGAGAAATCATACCAAAAATAAGTATAATCATATTAAGTGTATACCTGGTGGTTGTGTTTTCATTACCGTTATAGCTTTTCCCAATACTAATGAAAGTATAAATACTTTGAATTAACAGTCTGCAAGAACCGAAACATTAATTATTGAATGGGCTGAGGAAATAAATATTTACAATAGGATGACGGTGGATAACCAGATGAAGTTGTTTTGAGGCCCTCGGGTCCATATGTTTTGCTCCCTATGCACAAACCCTATTGAAATCGTCACTGAAAATACAATGAACAAGTTAAGAAAGTGAATGTTTTCTCACCTTCACACTTACCAAAGTGCAAGAGTATTAAGAACACAACAAAGTTCTGCGAATGCTGTAGCGTCACACTGTGCTCGGTGTCCATCCAACCGCCGATGACAGTAGAGTTCTGTTGCTCCATGGGTAAGTAGAAGAGGATGCATGAACAGTTCTGCTTTGAACAAAGGTCCAGACAGTATGACGCTAGACTACTTGCGAATGTTACAAGCACTATGAAAATGGCCGGTAGGAATTTAGAACCGTAACACCAGATCACGAAAGAAGCAAGCTCGGCGTTGAAGATAATCTCGTTCTTACTCTGTGGCTTCTTCATAATATTCTTATCAGTTTTGGTGCCAATCAACGAGCAACTGAGAAGTGGAATTAAAACGCAAACGATCCAAATCACCTGACCGGGCGTCAACAGAGCAGGTAACATGAACAGCGCACCGACTAGTTGCATCATGCTCAGGGTAATACAGCATGATAACCAGAATTGCGCTGAAAATTATAATTTATAATAATATAAAATAACAAGTTATAAGAAAGTGTTCGGGAAAAACCTGTATTCCATAAAATTGAAATGTAATGACGCGCTTCCATGACCAAGTGGAAAATGGAGATTGGATCTTCGCGCATGAAGGAAAGTGAACATGGAATTGAGTTCAGTGATCTGGATAGTTCGATGGGCGACGATAGTAATTTCTGTGTATTGGTCACAGATGTCTTTAAACACGCGTCCTTTTTCTGGCAGACTTGCGGATAAATTGGTTCGATACCAATGCTAAAAATCAATCAATCAAGTGTTATCATTGTATTCGTAATTTATTATAAAGATATTTGATCATGAAATGTTAAATTCTTACCTAGCGTTAGCCTGCATGAATATTCCCATGTTTTCATTATTTGCAGATGAGCCTATGACACAGACCACTTCACCGTAGTCTTGCATAATATGAAGCATCTCCTTCGTGCTCGCCGCTGTACAATCAGTGAAAAGCGAAACCAAAAGAGGAACGTTATCAATCATCTCGATGTGTGGCCGGATCTTGTCGATTCCCCTTGGCAGTTTTGCCTGTAATAGAACATCTAATATTCACCTAGGATGTATAGAAATAATTTAGTAGTCTTACTCGATTGCTCATATCGAAATTGATAGGAGCGCTCTGCTCGGTGCTATCTGTAAGGCAGCTCAACGACTGCCAATCGTGGGTATCTTTTCCAGTTTCTTGCATCAGCACAGACTCCTGACTGTTGGCGTTCTCGCCATCACTGATACTATTAACGTCCTTATCCTTGGAAATTTGTTTCATCAGCGGTTCATTCTCTATGTCGAACCTGACAACCGTCTGATCCATGTTAATAGCGCTCGGCGCGGAGAAACTCATCGTTCGGGAAGACTCCAGATTGCTAAAAGGAATTTGACATTAACAAAAATCTATTTCGATCGAGGGTAGTAAGCATATGCCATTGAACCCCGTAAAAAAATAAAAATCACAAATGTGCACAAAACCATAATATTCATTTTACAGAATACACCATACGATAGCCCCGCCTTTTCGCAAACAATCAAGTCACAAAGTTAGGCGAAGCAATCGATGATTTTGAAACAAACTTAAAATAATACTAAGTGACTAAGTAACAAAAATAAAAAGGACTACATAAAGTATATAAATAAATGTAATTGAAGAATACCTATCAAGAATATTCTTGAATTCATTCGTAGGTGTATCTATCGAGTAAAGCCGTCGATCGCTTTGCGATTTGCGCCTTATCAATGCCGTGGATCCGCGCGATGCAGCTCCAATGTCTTGTCTGGCGAGTCCCCAGTTATTTTCAATTTTACATTAATTAAAATACGCTTTCCAAAAAAACATTATAATCAGGTGTGTAGGTGTCTTTGTTTGAATTGTAATTTTTGTTGTTTTTCTTTTTTGATTTGTTTTATTTTTGGATCAAGACAACGAAAACAAGAAAACACAACAGATGCATATTATTATATCGATATCAAACATAAGCAATAACAACACATTTGCGTTTAAGTGGGATAGATATTAAGAAACTAAACGAAAAATCTAGAAACATAAATAAAACACACAGATTTTCAGTTGGAATGGAAAGAAGAAAGAAACGGAGGTAGGTTCAAAATAAGCACAAAAAAACATTTTATAGTTGAGCAAACACACAAACATTCAAATTTGGTTTTTAACATATATACTACATACACATATAAATATGTATATCGATTCATCTCTCATGCTAAAAATAAAATGACAATTTTAGCACTAATTAAAACATTAATGCAGACATTAAAAGGTTGACAATTTAGCATTTGCTCACCTGTTCCTATCACTCAATAAACTTATGTGACAGTTCCACCCACTTTCCAGTCCCATTTTCTCACTGAATACCCGTGACCTTAACTCGTTCTCCTTACTGAAGTGTACAAACCGAATGCACGCCCTCTCAAGCTGCTCAATTAAGTGCACCTTAAAATTAGGAACAAAAAATCAACAAGGCCAAATTAAAGTAGTATACAAACCATGTCACATTGAGCCTGGTACTGCATAGTAATTAAACCAATAAGGACCTGATTACACTGCATATCAAAGCAGCTATCTGCATCGGCAACGTCGCTACAAGGTGTGTCATTGTACAAAAGAGAATCTACAATGAATATCAATTTGCATAATTTGTGTAGACAGTATAAAATGGTATGTTACCAGTGCTGTAAAAGGGACCCAAGGGCGTACGGATTTTTGGCTCTAGGACGCTCCTGCAATCCCAGTGTACTGGCGTCGGGCTTCTGTGACACTGGTACAAATGTCGACTGTCGCTTGGCAATTCCAAATATACTTTGCTCAATTTATCACTGACTCCCTTTGATAAAGGCCTGAAAATTGTCAATATACGATACATTGTTTACAAATCATTTGCGTTAATGAACCTGTAAGCGAAGGCAGTACAATAGGCAGTAAGGCTGCTCCGTTGATAAAAATCCTGTACTTTCTTTCTATCTGCTGGAGTCAGAGGACACAAGTCGTATCCATCCCAGTAATCCACACATGAGTCCAATACGATATCAGCCGTTCCCTGTGACAGCAGCTGCATCGAACCGCTACTTAATTCCTTCACAACAACAGCAAACATATGTGGAAATGGAAATTTCAACTTGGTAGACATACTCAACGATCTGGCATACTTGTTATCCCTTCTCACCATTTCAGGTTGCTATAAATGCATATTAATATAATTAATATTATGTCAATCTATTCTAAAATAGAAATAGTTTCAATAAATAAACCTAAAGAAGAAATAAACAAGTGTGTAATTGTAAAACAGTGTATCATACTTTAAGAATATTTGATAACATATATGTTTTAATATATACGTTTATTATTCTGAATTTTACTTATTGTTTTGATTCTCAAAAAATATATTTTTAGTATATATTAATATATGTTTTGAATAGCAAAGTGTGATTCCCTAAGATACTTAAGGGGTCGCAGAAAAATTGATGACAAACGGAACGGTATGTTTTACTACACATACCCATTCTTCAGAGGTTTTTTATTTTTTTTAAGCACAAAAGTATGAAAACTACTGATGCAAATAATATATGTAATAAATTAACTTACAAGATGCCGGAATGTCGACAATTGCTGCTCCAATGAAAAGATTTTCTGAGCCTGCTCCAAGAAGCCTATTTCCTTGGCCAATTCGCAAAGACACCTCCTATTAGTTACAGGAACCAAATTCTCGTTATACATCGCCTCGCAGGTTATATGTGCGCAAAACTGTGTGTAATGGTCCTGTGTATCTAAGTTACAAGTGTTGAGTAATATAGATAATCCTAAAGGTTTCAGGGAATTCAGATGGTTGTGCCATTTCATGTCATCGAAATGCAACTTGAAAGGTTCGTTCGGATTATAAGTAACGTCCAGCACTTCGGCAATGGCAGAGCAGGAAACTTCGCTAGGCTGCTCCTCCTCATTCTCCTCCACCTCCTTCTTTTCGTCAGTATTCAGCTCGTTGAGATTTGCTAGACTGGAAACATCAGAGAGGTTCTCAGTATTATGCAAGAAGAACACCTTCTCTGCCGTGGGATTTGGCCATGAAAGAATCCCTTTCTTGTCCACGCAGCATAAAGCCTGAGGAGAAAAAATGAATCATTTAGTTTACAGCAAATTGCAGTGTACATATTATAATATTCACAGTAACGGATCCCAGGACCTGCAGGATATTTGCAGTTCTTGGCAACATTGAGACACGCCCAAGTATTATGTCCTTAAAATTATGCCAAATCAACCTGTAATCAAATTCAATATCCGAGAGGATTTCCGTTTTGGTGTCCTGATCATCAAACAATTCTTCCTTGATCTTCATTATTGGACATAGATCAAACAATGTCTTAAACCTAGCCATGCCTAGGTAGTTTAACAAGTTCCAAATAATTGGGAATGTCATTGGAAGAAGTGGTAAAACAGTAGTAATAGGTACAAGTAGAAATAGATCCACCCATGACGCCCGCCCAATTATATTCTCCAAGTATAAAAATCTGATGATATTAATGAGAAAAATCAAAAGAAGTACAGATGGGAGAACGATCCGTTCAATAACTCTCACAATTACTAAATGTCTCTGCTTGTTGTGTGGTGTAATTGGTCTATCCAATCCCTGCTCCAGGATCATCTTCAGATTATTTAGAATAGGAGTTTCAAGCATCCGATAGCGCTTACTATCCAACGGTTTACGCGCTTTCGGCACAGAGAATATCTCGTTTGCATTTTGTAACGTCGGACCATATACCTCCTTGAAATGCAATAATGGATATTCGCTGCACTTGTCCAAAGACTCACAGTAGCCAGGACTAAGTTGTCCTGGTCTAACCACAATTATATCATCTTGCACCAAAAGAGCCCAGGGCAAGTTTACAATCTTATTATCTCTATAAGTCCATTGCAAAGTAATGCATGGTGAAAAAGGTGTGTACAGATGCGGATAGTCATCTGCTTGCCATGAAACAGTCTCCATTTCTGTCTTTATACTTTTTACTAATCCCATCACCCTGATCATAATTTCATTATGCCTCAGCTTGTTATCAAACAATTCTAAAATCACAGCAAGTGTCATAATCACCAAAATTATAGTAGCCTCATAAATCAAGTATGATGAAGAATTTGCATTTACAAAAGTTAAAATCATAGTAGAAGCACACACAAGTAGTAAAAAAGTGGAAATCCAATTGATGTTGGTGTAGTAACTGTTGTGATGTAATGAATCGTAGAGCCATGAAAAGTGTCTTCTTAAAAAAAATAGTTCATTATACTATCTATAATTACACTAAAACACTCACTTTTGCTTGTGTGAAGTCTTGTAATGCTTCACAACATGCTCAATTTCCTTGCTTAACCTGTTCAGAGCATCTTTAGTGGTAAGTCCTACCGCCTCCTCCATTGCACATCTCCACTGACTGGTTCACACAAAATAAAACTCAAATAAGAATGCAACACTGAATGGACATATCTTCTCTATCCCAACCAGCAAGTTAATTTTAGTTCCGTCTTTGGATTCATTAAATAACTAGCATTATCATTATGTTTATTGTTAGTAAACCAGTGCCAAGAGTGAATTATTTATAAACTTAACAACCTCATGAAAGGTTATTTTGATGTAAACTGTTTTGACATTCCATTGACGTTTATATATCACTAAACACATGTTTGACATTTTACATTGTTTTACATCTGCGAAAGTAGAATTTAAGAAAACAATTTTCATTTACCGTGTGGTTATAGTCGCTTGTATCACGAAAATCCGATACGAAAAAGTTGGTTCGAATCTCAACATATAGCTAGAATATATTTAAGATGTATTGGTTGCCTAACATTACTGACTAAACATGAAGATAAAAAGGTAAAATTCAACATTCTTAGTACATGCTAACATCTAATCCAATTATTTTCATTGTTCTTACTACCTGTCACATACCGTTTCTTTATTTGACCTAATTTTAATCCATTGTCATTTATAAAAAAAAATATTACACAGAATAGTACAGAAACTTTTATTTTTTTACTATATCAAGTTAAGTTATTTATTTTGGTTATTTGTTGCCATAAATATTATTATTACAAGTAATTTATGAGATGTAATACGTAAATACAAGTCAATAGTGTACATTTTTATTCATCTTAATCTTAATCAACGTTTATATAACGTCACATTAACAAAAAAATATATTGTTAAGTTCATATATACATATTTAGACCGTCAACGTAACGGACGGGTATATTGCTTTCCATTGTTTCGTTTGAATTAAGGTTCCATAGAGACCACTGAAGATGGCGCCACTCGATTTTCAAATTTGCGAGGGCACGCCACCACACAGCGTCTTTGGTTCACAGCCCCTAATTAACTGTAGTAACGTTTATAATTTCATGTTAATAATCATAAACAATAATATGTTCTATATTCAAAGTAAATTATAACTTTAAACACGTACATTTTCACACTTTCTTTAATAATTAAAAATATCATTTTGATATTATTGATAATATCCGAAAGTGTAGATATTCAAATTTCTGAACATAATTTTAGTTATTTCGTAGTAATTATATTACCGGAAAGGTAATAAGTTTATTCTAAATGAAAAGAAAGATCATGACATGACGTTTGAAGACGCAGCTTTTAATGGTTAAATAATTCTAACGGAGAAACAATAAATTTATTACAAATATGTTGCATGCGTTTTTTGAGAAATAAACCAAACAAAATTAAGATATCAATAGTTTGACCAAGAAAATTCGAAAATATTTTATTGACACCATTTTGTAAAATTATAAGACGTATTGCAACTTCGAAATACAAGGACGACAAGAACATGATAACAGTTATAATAATAATAATCGTTAGACATAACAAACTCTCATTTTTTGATTACTTTTTGAAATTCCGGAATAATTTTAAAATGTTATTGTACAAATTTTAATAACAAATATATGTCGGGATTTTTATAGTCGGTATTATGGTTGTCGGGATCTTGATACTGTCGGCATTTCGATTGCAAACGAGTTAGAAGATTTCCTGAATTGCATAAATTGTGCTCTTGATTTGTAATGAAAGATAAAATAAATTGAGTATTGTTTTTTTCAATTTCAAGCATATAGTTTAATGTAAAATGGGCTCTTTCAAATTTTATAATAAATCTAATTGTTAATTGATAAGAAAACACATATTATTCACTTAATGTTGCCATTATTTTATTAGAAATTGTAAATTTAACTCTCTTAGATACACTTAAGCAGTATGACAAATTGGTATCTAATAAATATATTTTTAAATTTATTGAAACAAATACCCTTAAACAAACATGTCAATATATCATTTCTTATACCATTTTTTAAGGAAAAAGAAACGCAAAGCATCAAACTGCTTTTGTGCAGAACGAAAACAATGTATTCGACAATCCTACTGAAGATAATGAAGAAAGTGACTCACCATTTTCTCCAAAACGATGTAAAATTGAGCTGCTGTCACCACCATCCACCACAAGCTGTTCCTTGTTCTTCTCATCTCAGAAAAACAATAGACAGTGATAAACATGAATTTGAGATTTATTGATATATTTTTTGATTTATTCTTCATTTGACTCGTCGCTACTGTTAAGAACTTCTCACCTGAATACCAGCATTTAGCAAAATCGAAACTTTTTACAATGGTATCAATGGGCACAATTACAAAATCTACCGCTTCAACTTCCTGCAACTGACGACATATAAGGTACATCATCTTCACTTTTATACGTTATTAGTAACTTAAAATTATTGTCAATAATCGGGCCGATTTTTTATGATGATGACCTCCAACGCATTGGATTTTTTAAACCCGTACTCGTATAGGATTTTTATTCATATAGTGAAACTGTTTTCTCCCTATAAACTAATGTAAAATATGATGCGTTCCATGCCGAAAAAAAAGTATAATTTCGTTTCGATTTTTAACGAATTTGCTTTTCATATCTATGGTTATTTTTATTGTTTGGCTTTGTATTCGGAGACATGCAAATGTTATAAAATTTTGCACAAAAAATCACAAATAACATGTCTGAACATAAGTGCAGGCACACAATCCAGAACTTCTCTTCTACTCGTTCGTTATGCGAAACGTCGCTCGTTAAGCGAGTCATTTTGCTCGTTAGATTCCACTGTATATTAAAAAATAAGTGGGACATATCGAGACTAGTACATTTTGTTCTGATTAAGCGGCTGACACAATTATCCATTTATTTCCTCGGTTTTGTTTCCGTTCTTTAAGATTTTGTTCCTAATAAACAGCTGACCCAATTTAGCGGAATCGATTGTTTTATATTAAGAATACAGTGAAATAATTATATTAAAAGGATTTTTTAATAGAAAGGTAACATATACAGGATTGATAATTTACAAAAGAGTATTTGCAAAATTAAAATTACTTTTATTTATAATACTTATTTTACATCAATTTTCGTTATCATCATTGTCAAGATCATCAATGGTCTTCATGCTTCTAGCCCAAATTGGAGGCATTGTGGCAAAAGTCAAATAACCTGTGTGACCGGGCTGTGATAGTGGCGGAATTGCGGTCAAAGTGCTGACAATCTGTTTTTCACATTTGTTGTCTCCATCATTTTCTTCTTTGGGATTTTTCAGGTATTCCATCTCCAAGCTGGCTAACCTTCTGGTTTGCACCGAGAATTGTGTCTGCAATACTTCCAGGGTCTCAATCTCCTGGAAATGATGCTCCCTTAATTTCAAACAAGTCTTTTGCACTTGTTCAATGCAAGGCGAAAATGAACACAGTCTACCTCCTTCAGGTTTAAATGAGTTCACACCATGTGGAATTGCTAGCCAAGGATGAGGCAGATCTAGAAACACTGCATCAACTTTTCCATCCAGTGCTTCATCAAAACCATTACAGCATACATCTCTATTATATACAGTCACATATTCCTGTAAGCCATGATCTTGGAACTCCTGTCTAGCTATATCAGCTCTTTCTTTATGAAAGTCAAACGTGTATAAATGACCATGAGGTTTAACAGACCTTATCAAGGCATGGGAAAGAGAGCCGCTGCCAGTACCACTTTCAATTACAACAGAACCAGGCTTCAACTCCAATTGTAATGTGATCATAGATATGTCAGGAGTGTAAATTATCTGGGTCCTATGACGTAGTGCAACTGTCCAGAGCTCGGGTGTGGGCTGCAATATGTAGCCCCATCCTTTACTCAACAGTATTTTTGTACCAAACTCCTTTCCTATTAGCTGTTCACCTTTCAGAGCGCCATAAGGCGTCTGAAATACGTATGGAACTAAATCTCCATTTTTATTCTTAGTCTTCTTTTCAGCTGTTATTGCATACACTTGATTTACAGTTAGGAATAAAATAACGGTGTCTCCTTCGGTGACCACTGTTTTACACCCGTCGAAACTCATTGTAAGGATGCACTGAACTAGGTTATGTTTACAATTACTAAAATCTTAAACACATGTGGATGCTCGGTGAGGTAAGATATGCAACTTTTGTTGCGCTGTAATATATATTATTATTCAAAGTTAGCTTAAAAAATTAAATTTAGTTTTTAACATTTGACAATTCAATTGTATTCTGGAATATAAAAATAAATCTATATTCATTATTTTGATCCAGGACAACAATTATAATTCATTAAGTCTACTGCCCTTTTTTTCGCTTATCTGCAAAACTAAAATCAATCATCGGCTATACACTAATACCGCAACTACTAATACCTTCTCGCGTTTTTCTTCAATTGCATTGCTATTCCGTTTGCTCGTTTTAATTTCTCTAAATTTAATTTTCTTTTTTATAGCGACAAACTCCCCAATTATTGGTCTCATCTTCAACTTGGATGGACTTCACATCTTGGATCTCATCTTCACCGGATGGGTGAATCGGCAGTTCATGGTATCGGATTCATTTGCGTCCTCCTCAACCTTTGTTTCAAACTTTTGCTTATGTTCTTTGTTGTCGAAATCCGTTAGTAGGGTAACATCCACTTGTTGCAGCATGTAGTTTTGTAAATCATCATTAGTAACTTTTATATCACACAATGAGTGTGACTTGGACTTGGACAACATTACAATAAAATTTTATTCTATCCAATAAAAACATTCAACAAGACAAGACAATAAACTGGTCGATACCTTTCCCGAATTGTCAAAATTATTTGAAATTTTTCAAAAAATGTTAGGGTAAGATCGGTTAAATGCATGCACAATAGTTTAATCAAAAAGTAAACGAACAGTTTGCTTATAATAAAGAAATAAAAGCAGTCTATTGAATAAATAAATAATTGATGATGATTATGTTTAATCTATTTTTTTTGTTTAATTTGTTTATTAATTTATAAAATATATAATACAAATAATAATAGAAGCCTCTAAATAAGTATAGTAAAAGTAAGTTGTTTTGGCTACTGGCTTCAGTTTCTAGAGTCATAAGTTGCTGTTTATATATAATTAATTTACATAACGCATACAATTTTCTTATCAAACATACACTGCATTTATTTTCTTGAACTGGAAGATATATTTTTTTTAATTACATTTATTATTTACAATCTGCCACATTCTGGAAATGTGTAAATATTTCTGACAAATGAAAAGAAATAGTCAAATAACACTAAGCGGAATATTTTTCCCATGAAACCTTCTGAATACCAAAAATATAATGTAAGTAAATATTAATTTTACCAACAATAATACCAATTAAATAAAAACGTCATTCTATTTTAACATCTAGATGGAAGCACTTGTGTTATGTCTTTTTTATCTATAGGGATTTCACTATTATACTATTATCTACTAAGTTATTATCTACTAGAGTATTGGGGTGATTTTCCAATCAGATTTATATTAAGATGTGCTAAAATTGTTTCATTTGAATTATCTCTAATCAGTGCTTTTCAACCTTTCTCATCTGAAACTGACTGATCAGCAGCAGTTTATTTTAAATATTTTCTTCATTATTCGTATTAGGTTCATCGTATTGGGAACACTTTTCGTCTATGTTATTTTTTTTCTATTATCTTTAATTTTTACTACGTTGACATTAATATGACGTAGTTATATAATCTGATCTTTGCGGTTATTTGTTTTTGCGGCACACTTCCAGTTTAATTGATACTTAATAAGAACTCTAATCACACTACAGAGACATTCTTAGATTAACCAAACAGTTGCGGGTTTGTGTTTTAATTGATAAAGTAAGTCACATAGAAATGTGTAATTCTTCCAGATCGCTTACAAATCTATTATGTGGAAATGTGTATATTGTTTATTAAGTTTGGTACATTTGGTACAGGACGGGAGAGTAAAAAGAAACCTTTTGTGAAATAATATATTTAAAAATGTGTATCCTTGCGTGGGCGCAATAAAGCACGAGTTACACAATAGCGACTATTTTCGCAAACCGTATTCTTCTGCAGCCGTAAATCTCAGAAATTTGTATTACCATCGTTCACGATACTCGCACTACCATCGCTCTCTGCACTGTTGATGGTCACTTTTCGGGCCGACGACATCTTGCTTCAGCTAACAGATGTTAACGTTAGTTAAAGGTCCATTTGCAAATCGTAAAAGACCTAATAAATGTATTCAACTTTAAACGACCCGGCATAAACTGTAATTGTCCCAGGACATTTTTTCCTCAGCGAAATGTGCTTAACAACAGCGACAATCATTCCAGATTCGACTTAGATTTTGTAATTTGAGTTCAGATAAAGTGGCAGTAAAAATGTATCGCAATCACGCCATGTACGTCAGAGAATAAAAAGTATCAGGTACAACAATGATTTACCTTTCACAAAAACATTTACGTGTTGATATCGAATTCTATATCTTATTGATGATTCGTATTATCCAAATTACTAATCATAATTGTAAATGCGACGCACACAATTTCTGTTATTTTAAATGCGTGAAATTTGTCTAGTTCATTTTAATGACTATTAAAGTAAATATAACTGTATTCAAATTTATTATTTAGAACTATTATTGTTAAAATATATTCTCAAATAGTTGTAATCAGCATTAATTTCAGGAGTGTTTGCATAATTGTTGTTTTCAAAAATATATTTCAAATAATTATATTATTTTATCAATAATGCGAATTAGTGTACATTAATTATTGTTGTTGTAGTTTTTTGTTTATAAATTTAAGTTGTTTTTGGCCCGTTGCTCCACATGTTTCTATTGTTCCTAATCGCAACTGATTATATTAATAATAAAAACATAAGCAATATAATGAAGATTAAAAAATAGTACATAGAGAAAAAAAAATAAATCCTGGTAATAACAAAAGTTTATTTTAAATATTCATAAATTATACATTTTTCTAATCAAAAAGAAAATATGTATAATTTGTTTAATTGCAATAGGTATGTTCAATAAATATATATTATATATTAAAAAACAATGCCACAAATAATGGTTTTAACTTTATTAATATGATAGTGATTCTGACCAACAATTTTTGATTGAAAACCGAGAAAATTAATAAAAAATACACCACACTTAATTAGTTTTTATTCCAATTCATAACGTTTACTAATTACTGAATTTGGACTAGCACCTAGGTTGCGATCGTTCTGTATAGAGAATTTGAACCATATGGTAACCAATGTGGGTCGTCTAGACTTAAAGTTGACTGATGCAATAAATTTTGTGATAGGGCGCCTCGTGGATGTAGTTTGGTGGCAGTTATAATCTATATGTCTGATTGTTCTAATGTAATTAGTAATATATGTAATTATATTTAACTACAATTTAATATATTAGTTTAAATAAAATAGAATTAAGTAAGTAAAATATTTTCAATATTATAAAATTAAATTTTCGAATTTTATTGGAATTATGTGTTTTGTATTAATAAAAACAAATAATTCTTTACACAAACGAACCAAATTCACGTTTATTCAATATCATCTGTTCAGTGATCATTCGACAAGATATAGAATGTTGATATTGAACGTTTTGTTTATTTGTAAATGTCAGCGCGGGCCAATAAAATTGTAATGTCTAGACATGGGCCAATAGGAAAGAGGATCAATTTACAAAGCGATTTCCGTTTCGTTCAGTCGATACCACATTTGGTCAAAAAAACACCGACACTAATTTTCTCTCTTGGTGACACCGCTTTCAAACCGACAATGGAAATACCCTAATCTCTAAATGAAGAAGCTACAAAATTTTCTGAATATTTTAATCAAAATGACCAACAACAAAATACGACCAACGCGTATGATACAAGAAGCCATGAGAATTCTCGCGCTTTCGTGCAACTACTCCACGAGGTGTTAACAGAAATTGTATGGAACAGACCTTGAATATTAGATATCATTGATCAAAAAATAGAAAAATCCTGTATCTGCACTTTGGACTATCATCCGGAATACCCGAACGGCGCTTGCCAAATTCCAAAACCGTTACGTTAACAGTAAAAGTGTAACGAGTGCCTAGAAAGTTTCAATGGAAGGGAAGGCATTCAAAATCGAGCAGAAGCAAAATGAAAACAAACATCTAATAGCATCGCGTGATTCTGTGAAAGGTGCGCTTAAAGAATTAGCGTATTTCTTCTAAATTATGCAGTCACTTATAATACATTTTACTGGACGGAGTTAATAATCAGAGAAAAGACAATTTTTAACATTATAATCGTAAAATATACAAATACGACAATAATTTATAGCACTTTTTATTATTCCTTGAATTTATACATTATTATTTTAATTTATTTTTGTAATTAATATGAGAAACGTTTTACTGTTTACTTAAATGCTATTAAGAGATATTTGACTATCCATTTAGTTATTTAAAGAAAAAAATATTTTGTTGATAATAAATTAAGTAGTTATTTAATTGGATAATAATAATAACTTTATGTATTATTTTCGGATCTTATGTTTTATTGATAGAAATAATTTCTTTATACATTTTAATATGACATATCAACATACACTATAATCAGCGGGAGATACAGATTAATTTACATTAAGTCTTCAAATTTTTAATTTCTTACATAATATATATGTGTTTAATTCGACATTCCGTGGTCGAATCTTTTAATTTTGTACATTTTGTTCAGACATTTTGTATCATACCAAATATTCTTACGATACGCACACATAATTCAATGGAAAAGATTATTTCATTCTAAACCATGAGTCTTTACTTTAATTTAGTTTACAATGAAGAATATATATAACAATAAATGACCATATATAATTAAATATTATCAAGCATGATAACATTGTATTCAAATTATGTATATAAGGTGTTAAATGTCGTTAAGGATATGATGATACACAATTTGCAAAAGTAAAATCAATTAACTTATGGAAATGTTTATTTGCATTATATTTTAATATCAAGTTTCAGGTAACAACCATTATAAAATAACCTTGAATATGCATATGTTGATAAATATCAAATAGTGAACAGTCAATTATGATAGTATAATTTTAAAATCACATTTGCAATCAATTCATAAGCTTTACAATTTCCATCTTAAAACATTCAGTATTTTGAAAAAAAGTATTTTTATTAATGTTGTCGATTTAATAATTATTGTTTATTGCATACGTATACATAATTGGCGAATATATTACTTATGTATTTTACAAAATGTTGTGCCAATCGAATTGTGGCATGAATTTCTATAATTATTTGATAATTTAATCTATATAATTTCTAAACGTATATTAGTAGTGTAATATGTAATGTGTCATTTGTAATTAAGGAAAAAAAAACGTTCTGAAAGAATGCTGATATGTAAAACATTATTTAACAGAATACTTCCTTGTTCTTCGAAGGCGAAGTGAATAAAAAAAATACAAAGGATTCGTCGTAGTCATGGGTTGTAATGGGGTTATAATTGCAGGGTCTGTATTGGATCGAATCAATCGAATGGTCGGGGGATGATGGACGGTGGTAGGAGTAAAGAAGTAGGCGGTATCGATAAGGAAGACGGAGAAGAGCAGTAGCCTGAAATGAGACGACGAGGATTCATTCAGTATTAGGTCTGTCCTACAATCGTACAGAACTGGAGGAGAGCCAGCCGGACGACGCGACGACACGACACTCACTCTCCGACCGAGTACACGTCCATCCATTCCGCACCTGACATTCATCGAGCTCAGCCACCGCGGACTAATCTGAGTGGCAAAATTCGCGCGCGCCTTCGCACACCTCTTCTTCCACGTGCAACAGAAGTTTCATCAAAAGTTCAAAAAGTACAAGTCAGTTAGTTGTATGTCTTAACCATCTGAAAGACACTAAAGTTCCTAACTAATCAAAATCGGATAATTACTCACTTTACTATCAATCTCATTTGCTGCACAAACCAACGGTATGTACCATATTTAATTATCTCCAGTAAAACATGAATGAACACCGATCGTGTACTTTTTTTTATTAAATGTATTTCTACATTGTACACATAGATAAAGAAAGCAAAACGAATCAAAACTTTCACAGAAATCAACTTTATATCGAATAATCACTGCTTGAGCTCTACCGATTATTAACATCACATACCGACGATATTACGTAATTTTATTACGGATTCATGTTAAAAATGGAAAGTAATAGTTTATTTTTATTTGCTTTCTTCATATTTTATTAATTCATGCAAGGAATTAATGAAACTTTTTTTATATACAGGTATTTTTCGATTTACATAAATTGTATTTTAGTTTAGAATTGATAATTAATTCATGACTGGATCTTGTACGTATGTACGATATATTAAAATATAAAGAAATGCGATTAAAAAAAATATACCGTCTAATATCAAATATATCAGAGTGAAAACAATATAACATGTATGTTATTTTATAGTTATATTTAATATTACTTTAAATTAAAGTAATTGATGTCATTTGAAAGTAAAATATGAAACCTATTATTAAATAAAAATATGATTTTTTCTTATTATTTTTTTATGAATTTAAACAATTATAGTTATTGTATTAGACAATTTTAAATATTTGAATGAAATGCATTATAACCTGTATAATCATGTATACGAGATGTAAACAAATGTTTTTTTTTAATAAATGAATATTAATCATAACATTTGTATTTTGTTTTTTAACTTATTTTAAAACGTTTTAAATTTTGGTATATGTTATATATTATTAACTAAACTGGTATATGTTATATTTGAAATGTAATTTGTGAACTAATCTTATATTTTTTTTGTTTTTAAGAATAAGTCAATTTCCCAATTAAAATTCGGCGAACACATTTCTAAAATATTATTTTTTTAATTCAGCGCAATATTATATGTTGCTTCCGAAAAAAATGTCATAATAATTTTACAAAAAAATGTTTTTATAAATAATTAGTTTTTTGGTTGAAAAATAAACTTCAATATTATTACAAGAGTAATAAGTTTAAGGGTTGACACGTGTAAATGCCGATTTTGCCCATAGTATAACCATTCCACTGGATCTTGGAAGGGTGTTAGCACAACCCACGTTATTTAATTTTCGTAATATGTAAAATATAAAGTATTCGAAGTTCTAGATTTTCTATTTAAATTGAAAAATACATTTCGACCTAGATGCAAATTAGGAAACCATATAAAGTTACAATAAATATTTAGTTTAAGTGTGTTCAGAATTTGATAATAAATTTAAAATAAAAAAATCAGCTCAACAAGACGTCTATAAATAATCGATTACATAAAAGGAAACGTGGGAGCAAGTAGATACGTTTTCTGTTAAGAAAACTAAAATACGTGTATTATTCGGAAAAAAAAAATACAAAGAAATAAATAAATAGAGAAGAAAGAGTGAAAGTTGGCCACCGTTCAAACTATTATTATTTCCATGAGAGATCTATTTGAAAATGAATTTGTTCTACGTAAAGCAACAGATGGCGTGATTTGCAATGTCAAAATTGCCGTAACTTTATATTTCGTTTTTCGCTCGGCCATCATTTGAGATTTGAATTAACGAACAAAAACTAAAAGGTATTTACGACTGGACATGCATCCGGATGGAGCCGGATTACTGTTTGTTTGCTTGCTGGCTTGTTTATTTATTAACTTATTTATTTTCGTATCGAATGGCTATGACAACGAGGCTGAAATTTATTCAAAACGCGTCCATAAAAAAGTCCATTTTACGAGTACTACTATGTATCGACGATTCTTATAACTGAACAAATCGCGCTCCGTTCATCGGTTTCGTAACGCGATTGAAAATCAATTAATAATGGGAAAACATATTTGAAACAATTAATTAATGGTGTACGGTCTAATCGGAGGTGGAACGTGGAACACATGTATTTAAGGCCGCTGAACTTTTCAATTCTTGCGTCTTCAATACTATCGTGCCATGACATTCAAACATTAATATTTCAATGCTATAATTTTGAACGAAAAAAAAATATGGAAAAAAAGGTGCGTGATTAATTGCTAATTACAGGTCCTTTCTTATTCTCAATTTCGGATTGACACCGAGGTTGCATGAGGTGCGCTCTCCAGGGTCAAAATATTTATTAGCCTGCAGCAAAGAAAGGTCATAAGGAAGAGGTGCAAATAAAAACTTACAAATAAATGGACGGAAATACATTAAAACATAGAATGTTTTTGTTTTACTGCGCATATTTTAAGCCAAAATAAAGTTACATTGATTATATTTATTTTTTTTTGCAAATTTCCGTTTTATTAATTATTTATTTCTGTTTCTAGCAAATCGAAGCTCAACGTCGAAAAGTGCAGAAGAAGTGGTATTTTTTATTGTTATTCAAAGACGTAAAAAGTGCAGTGTATCGTTATTATTACCATTTTTGGTAGTTCTAAACCAATTTTGGTATCCTGAAGAATGATGGCCTCGACGAGAACAGTTGTCTGGTGCGTTGCCGCGTGTTTTCTGCAGTTGATAAGTGCCAACGAAGTGCAGGATTTTATCGCGAGTAACGTTTTATCGGATGGCGAGTACGAGACCAGGATCCACTACAAAGGTGTGACAGCGAAGGAAACCACAGTTGCCAAAGGGTAAGGATGTCTTCGTTATTCATGTGATTTAAAGTGTCAATTGCATCTGTTTATATAACAGATTAACTGTTAACACATTATCCATTATATAAATAATACAAATTACATTTTTCATATAAGATCATTATTTTCAATAAGTTTGTTCAATTTTAATAAATTGCTATCAATAATATATATATATATATATTTACATATTTTCGTTTTATCTACTTTGAAGGTTGACAGTTATCAAATGTATAATGAAGGGAGGACATACAAGTTTTATGCATTGACGTGTAGGAGAAGGATTACAAATTTCAATTTTGATTGTGTTTTCAGCAGTTTGGGAATCGGTCGTTTGAAATCCGATTGGAAAATCAAGTTTTTTGTATAAGTAGATCCGTCTTTTGTTTAATTCCCTTACTCCGTATGACTAAGGGGGTTCGGCGGTAAGTGGCCGACGAGGGTGGTTGATCTTTTCCTTCTCTCCCTCGTTCAGTGGCATCTGTCTCACTCGTCCGCGATTTGTGCGTCCTTTCCAAACTGCTGCAGAATGTGCAGCTAGCATTTTTACAAGATTAGTAGAGATTATGTAGCTGGAGGACGAGGAGGGTTCGCAGATTTAAGCGGCTTGCGGTTCCAATTCGAATTGAATACTCGTGTCAAGTTGCTCCAAAGACACCGAACGGTGGAATACGAAACGTTCTCAGTTTCCTCTTAATAGTAACAAGAAGTTTTGTTTATATATTTTGTTTACAATTATATATCTTAATACTGTTACATAATAGTATTTTTTAAATTAAAGTAATTTATTAATAAAAATATTATTACAACATATCTTTTATAATGACAGATGCGTAAAGCAACTGATCAAGTAGTCAAACTTCTTCTACATAAAATTATTTTACGATGCACAATTTCAATTTGTAATCCACTCTTTCACCCTAACATTATTCTATCAACAATTCCCAGCGGATTGATTTATGTTTAAGTGTCCATTTGGGTCCCCGAAAACTGCGATAGAGGGGCGTCGGGCATCGGAGATCACACGCAGTATACAAATCTAATTTGTATCGTTATTGAAATCTGATATAGCCTTCCGTACATTATTTCCACTACATAAAGTCGCACATAACGAAAAAGAAAATCTGGAATTTGAAATAAACATAATAAAGTGAGCGATGCATAAACAGTAGATGGTCATAAAGAGGATGACAACTGTTAAAATTCTTTTCGGAGAGTCTTTGCCTTCGCGCCCGTTCCACTTTAATGTACTTTTTGTTTAACATATATATTTCGTTATTATTACGGTGTGAATAAAAATGTGAATGATAAAAAAAATAAAGGTGTAGTTTGCGAGGGGTGTGATGAAAGGCATACTCGATTTCAAAACCGGAGTGGGAAGAACAAAAAAGTTGTCGAGTGGACATTGATCGCTTCAGACACCAGTTTTATCCGGACGGAGATTCACCTATAATCTCGTAATACAATTAGATATAGACGTTACTGATTATTATTTATTTCTTATATCTTAAAACGTATTCATAATTTGTATATTTGCATTGGGATTTCGCGCCTACTCAAACTGCTAGTTGTTTTTTTTTATTCGTGGGTTGTTCTTCATTATTATTGTATGCGTTTCTACTACACCCCCCTACCTGTATAATAACCACATTAAAACGCGTTTAATTTAAACAGACGCAGTTTGTAAGTTCATTGTGAATTACGTAACAATGTCCCCGCTTCAGCCACAAGCGGGGAAAAAGAAGTAAGATCATTCGAGATTCTCTGTGCGGCGCGTGAAGAGATTATGATCTAATAGTGATCAGTGCTGGGATCTTCAAAATGTACATAGAACAAATTTTATTTAAAAAATAAATATATTTTAAATGTATTAGATTGGTACAGAATCTGTTTAAATAACTACACATTCCAATAATCATATCATATTTTCGAATAACTTTGTATGAATCAATATTGTCAAATACATTACTAAAAACTTGTTGATAAATATTTACGTATTGTAGTTAATTTTTTTTTAATTTTTTTTTAATTAAACATTTTATTACTGTATTAATTGTCTATTTTGAAGACTATTTTTATGTTTCGATCAATATTTTTAGAAAATAAACGATATTTATTCAAATATTTTTTTGCGATATGAGTCAAATGTACTAATCATGATCATCCGATCAATGTTGTGACCTGGTGTGATAACGTAATTCTAAGGAACGGCATTACATAATAAAGTTGATCTAGACGATATCGCTGTATAAATAACTACAACAAATATTATCAAAAAAATCTGTCAAAATAAACATTTGCAAAAAACATGCTGGATTTTATATGGAGTAATTGAAGGTGGAATAATTGTAAGTAAAATGGAAGGATTTAAATAATATATATATTTCCATTATTAAGCTTGTCACTCTGAGTCAAATATTTCTTGATTTCTTTCATAGATGCAGGATCTATACGAGTAAACGAACATTCTTTGATGGCTTCACGTCGATATTTATACCCGATTCGCAATCAAAATTTATATTATCTAATTAGATAGGACGCACTAAATCCTCAACATTTTGAACCGCCCAGTGAGCGGCCATCCGAACAATTCGGCGATAAAAAAAAAACAAAAACAATGAACAAGCTTAATTCATCTCGCGGCTCTAATCGCGTATTTGTTTTCATCAACTTAATCTTAATCCGATCGCGCACAGAAAGTTTAAATAAATGATTTCCAATTACGCGGGACTCACGTGTCCGGGACGGCACCTTCGTAATTTATTTTTTTATCGTTTTTCATTTTTTTTTCCACTCTTCTTCGCTTCTTAATTGCGTTTCATTAATTGAAGGAATCCGTGACCGTGGGTACTAATTAAAATATAAAAGTCGTGGCCGTAGATTAGGGCCGGACCCTTAATGTCCGTCCCCCTTAATGATTTACTGATAAAAAAAATGCCGAGTCCCTAGCGAGAGAAAGACTAATATTAATAGAGACACATTTATCATTCACAAATACCTAACAATTAAATGCTAATAATACGACTCTTATTGTTATCATTTACCCAGTTAATTGTTTTCGAAGCATCGTCTACGCATTTCACTTAAATCTTGTTTTAAATTTTCCAATGTCGATTGTTTTAGTGCTTTTTGTTAAAAAACGGATTTCCCTTAAATGCAATAAATATTTTTAAAATAAAATATGATCTGGGTGGATAATTTATAAAAAAAAAGTGCCCAATTATAAATTATCCACCAATTAAACTAATCTTTGTTACGTAAGTACTTCTCTTCATTTGGTAACATTTTTTCCTAAATTTATTTCTAAATAAATTAGTTATAATATTATTTAGTGTGTAAAGTTGGTTACCAGAATTAAGAAGGTCAAAAGGAATTTACTTTAAATTAATCTCCGATAATAAAATAAAATTTCACTATTTTATACTAAATGTTGTAAGGTTTTTCCTAATTTGTATGTTATCTTTTTGTTTATACTTTAATCGTAAATTATATACCTTTTTTCAAACGGAAATATTTAAGTATCGATATATCTAATTGAGACATAAGACTCCTACTTACATATCTGGTGGGATGCGAGATTGCATATATTATCATATTTTTATTGATATTATCACCAGTATAACTTGTCATTTTATAGAACACACACAAGGTACCTTAGGAATGTTTATCAAATGATTTTTTTTTAATATTTGAAATTTTCTATAAAGAAAGTAAAAAATAATTCTAGAAAAATGCGCACACGGTTATCACACGCACAATATTTTATAATATCATATGCAATTTAATTATGTTAGTTTAATGAAACAAAAACGTTTCTACTTTTAAAAGCTTAGTATTATAGTGGTAAGTAATATTCTAAATCGCGCTCACTTTTTTTTCGTGAAACCTCTTATTACATGTAGTTTGATTTAATTGTAATACAATTTATAGAATGTATGTATTTTTATAAGTTCATTTATGTTTCAATAATTTTTTTTTCATTTTCTATTTTATCCTTTTCGTTAACTATTTATGAAAACTGAAAACTTGTCGTTTCCACGAAAACATTTCTGATTGAATGTAAACAATTTTAATGGTATTCCTTTTAATTGAAAATCGCCTCCAATTATCGTACAGCTGATCCGAGATTGGGCCGTTATGATTATAATTTGGGAAAGCCTCGAATTACCAAAATCTCTATAAACACGAAGAGAAAACGGGCTATGCATGGCATCGACGATAAAAATATTTGTACGATAGGAAACTTTAGCCTCAATCTAAACAGTTCCAGCCGCCTTTTGATCATCACGAGAGGCGATTTTTCGCTTTAATCATTAGCGCGTAAACGCTTTTCAAAATACACGAATGTCAGAAATGGAAGTTGCGTCAATTCTTCAATTCTTTAAAATCTCTCTTTATCTCAGTAGCAATGTTTTAGGTATGTTTAAAAATAATTTGTTTTTTATTGACAGATACCGAAATGGTCTGAGATTTCGTCAGCTCTCGGACGGAAGAAATTTCATCCAGCTGATATACGATGATAGCGACACGATCCGCGACTGCGAGTACATCCGGGATCGGAACGAGACCTTGAAATTCCTGAAGGCGTTTAAGGATGATCTGAGGTTGCTGGTGGCTCAATCCAATGTGACCGTCGACGCGCTGGACGGAAAGGAGCTACCGTCATTCGCGGCCTCCTGGTTCGACTATCACAAGCTGAAGAGGCTTTGCGAGAGGCGGCACCGCGAGCTCCAGAAGGCCCTCGGGCAGAATGCCACGTCAGTTATAGAGAGCGAGAGGTGAGACCAAATTCGCCCTTAAGTGGTAAAACTGCTTTTTGTATAATGGCTTTCGGTAGGCAGTTGTTTTAACGAAGGTGGTATGCCTATTTATAGATTGGCAATCGCCGGTGGTTGTGGGCGACAATTTATCAGTCTTTATGAGAAGTCACTTGCTTTGATTTTATTTTATCGGCCACCGTTTCTTGTTCTTCATTGCCAGAGATTTTCAATCTCTCAAGTGGTATATCGACTAGCGCAAGAAGTAGGAGAAACGGTGTCCAATAAAAACACACAAACGCCGGCAATAAAACGCTGAAATCTTCTGCTATGTAAATGCGGCTACTATAAAATTTGTATTAAGACCACGCAATCGCAATATCGAACAAACGAAAGACTTGCTATAAATAATAATAGGTTCAAATCAAAGTTGTTTTAAATAGTTTAATGGTTCTCTATTTCGTTGAATAAAATGTAATGTCTATTTCGTTTCTCAATACGTTTAACTGTCATCGATAAAAAGAAACCACGTATAATCTTTTAACACGTAATTAAACGAAATAGTCATTTGGAAATGTTTCAAAATCACGTAGAAGTTACTAAAATATTGCATATATTTTAAAACTTTCCTCTTGTTTTTACTTAAATTCTGTATTTACTTCATACTGTAGTACAATTATATATTAAATAATTTAATACATTATTTTGTCAAAAAAATAGATTTTTATTATAGAAATTATAACAGAAGATATAACATAATATTCTTTGTTATTTAAAAATATAAGCAATTATCAACAAAATATTCTTTATTTTAAACTGATCAATATTGAGATTTATTTAACGAAAAGATACCATTTCTAAAATAAATGCGAGATAGATTTTGTCAAATTTTACACAATATTTAAATGTTTCGATGTGCGTTGGCCTTAATACAAATTGTTTATCGATGGCGTATATTCAAATGCGGACGCCTTCTCACTTTTAGTAAGGAGTGTTTCATATTTTCACGGCGTTGTGTGTTTGTTTCACTTTCTATCATGTGGCAGGGTTTGATTTTTCCTTATAGAAAAAAAGGGTTAGAATTTTGTCATGGGAATCACGTAACTAAGCAATGCCCTCCATCCCGCTTCTGGTACACTTCTATTTGTTTTTCTTTTGTTCATCGGAATATTAATCAAAATGCATTCCATAAATTTTGTAGAAAATAAAAAATAAATAAAAAAAGAGAAAACGTAATCTTTGCCCATCTTTATTTCGGAGGGTTTCTTTTTTTATCATACTCATTTATCGGACGTGATTTTTTCTCCTAGATAGTTTTAAATGTATTCCATAAATTTACGTAAAACATCTTTAATAGAACATCATTTTCCACGAAAAGAAACAAAAAAAGACATTTTATTGTGGCTTTCACCGATGGCTTACTTCATCCAATGGCTTTAGGGGTTTGCAATGTCAGAAGATAAATGCCTTCCTTATACATGGTTCATACGATCGCTCGAATATTTTTAAACAGACAGAATTTATTCTGCAGTTATATTTATGTGCTTTTTATTTTATGTTTTATTTATTTTTGTATAAATATATTTGATAAGTTGGCTCATGGTAAACAAACTTTCGTGTATAGGAGATCGAAAAGGTCATTGCTAATATTGCCGGGTACAGTTTGGTGCGGTCGATCAGATGAGGCCTCCAGATACACGGACCTGGGGAAAATGTCCCAGACGGATAGATGCTGTCGAAAACACGATCACTGTAAGAGGAACATCGGGGCCTTCACCAAGAAATACGATTACAATAACAACTCGCCCTTTACCATATCGCATTGTTTCTGTGACGCAAGGTAAACTTTAATCAACATTTAAACGGATCACATCGGATCAAAGTCAATTCGTACGGTACTTTATGTGCAATTCATTTATATAATTCTTCGGGGACCACGTAAAAAATCAATTTTAAAAACTCAAATATTTGACAAATTTTGAAAAACTTTTTAAATTTTTAAAACTTTTTACTTTACGAATAATTGCTTAATTAAAGAACAATAAAAATTATTTATAATTATAATATTCAAAATATTAAAATAATTACTACCAATATTTTATTGTACTCAATTTTTTTAATATTAAATAATCTGTGTAAATTTTAAATATTCTAGGATCATCTAAATTATTAAAAAAATCTATATTTGCTAAAGTTAAATTAGTCAAAGCTTATTATTTATATATCTATGAATAATCAGCTATATTTAAATAATTATTTCTAAAATTTCCATTTAATAAGTTTATTTAATGAAAAATGATATAAATTGATATGTTTTTTATTATTATAAATACTTTTTGGTGGTCTTGAAACTCATCAATTATTTGTTTTTGACAATTCAACACTTTTTGATGGACATCTTCAAACAATATATATTTCCAAGGTCAAATGCATATTTCCGTGATTGCTAAGAATGTACTGTTTTGTTGGCAAATCTAATCTCATCGACCGAAGGCGATTTTAAATTTAAACGCAAGGCTGACCATCGAAAATAAATTGAAATATTTTGTGACTACTCTATTTTTGACTGCAATTAAAATAGTAAAAATAGGTATTTGCACGACACACATTCTACACGATTTTTTCAGCATATCCCAACAAATGCTAATACGAACATTGTGTGCGGTAAATGTGATTTTGCATTATATATATTTTTAAAGAAAATCTGGTTGCCTGGATCGTGAAATTGTAACGATACGAGCGATAAGTTTTTTCTATATTCTAAATTGCTGTTTGTTTCAATACATCCGAGTGGCATGCAAAGTGGTAGATTAAATGCGACCACTTTACGTGTTTAGCAAGTTGTCATGCCAATATTTGAAATCGGAATGCTGGATGGAATGTGGCGCGCGTTTCAATGGATAAATCACGGTCCGGTGAAATATGTTGCTATTATATTATGAAAATGCGGTGAGTAAATGCGCGTTCAGTTCATGCGAATCGCTTCGATTTCTTACAACATCTGGTCGCGATTGTTACAGTTGTCAGTAATTTCGTTTCGACTCGAATTCCCCTAATTGCGCTCGTCTTTCGGTACTCGGAATCGGAGATAAACAATTTAATAACGAGAGCGGCCGTGATATAATCACAGGGGACACTGGCGAGACAACAAAGTTTCATTACTCTTAACTTTAATTAAGACTTAAAAAAATCATTTTCAATTTGAACGGACAAGTCAGTCTGCAGGAAATTACTACGAAATAAAGTAGAAGAAATAAAAGTTACCCTGTTTCGATTCTTCCGTTCCGATGAATGCAAATTCTCGAAACCTTGCACGCGGTGCGCACGAAATTCTTTAATTGAACTCACTTTTACTTTCTTGTTAAATCAATTTATTTTTTTATCTAATTAAAAATATTTGATTAAAGTATTTTAATGTTTTTGATGATAGTAGTAAAAAATAATAAAAACAATAGTATTATGAGTTCTTAAGCCATGACTCTTAACAATATTTTTATTTATTTTTTTCTATAAATTAAGGATTTGATCTGTGTTATGGGCGGTGCATTTCTTTTGTAAATTTCTGAGTATTCTCGGTTTTTTAATTTAGAACACTAAATCGGATATATTACAAAATTCATATGCACAAATTCTAATCAAATTTGCTTTCAAGAGTTAGATAGGAATCCGTTATTTTTAAAACTTAATATAATAATAAAAAATAACAATATTTTATCATTTAATTCGATTAGTTTAATCATCTTTTGGAAACTTGATCAACTTAAAGTTCTGGTATTTTCTTATCTTTTTTTTTTCTAATTTTACTTTGTGATATTATAGCATTGAATAAAAAATATGAATTTATAATCGCAACTTATGTACATATGCACATAGTTTTTGTTTCTTGCAATTGGAACTTTGCAATCATTCAAGGAATTGCATATTACCGCAAAGCTAGTTATAACGTAAATACACCAGATATTTCGGATAATTAATAGTCATGCAGATATTCTTAAAAAAATACTACTTCGTGTATAATTTATAAAACTGAAAAATTCTAAGTAACTAAAGTTGAGATGAGTAACAATTCTTATAAATCTAGTTAAATATAAAAACATAATTGGTCGATGAATATTGCAGAAAGGTGCCGAACATTATTACAATTGGAATACAAATGGAAGTGGAGTAAGGGGTGTGAAGATACTTGGATGATGAATATAGATTTCTCGATGGAGGGTATTGTTTTGGTTTACTTTTTTAGTTATTTGTGGATAGTATTGCAGACTGACATGATTGATGTTTGGAATCTTTGTTTCTGTTCTTTTTTCTCTGTAGATTTAAGAGAGATCTGTCGGATCTGTTGCGCGTGCCGGGCACCAAGTGGTGTGGCAAAGGGTTCGCCGCAACGAAGTTCACCCAACTGGGCGGCTTCTCCAGGACGGACAAGTGCTGTCGCGTCCACGACACCTCGTGTCCTTTCTGGATCGACGGCTTCCAAACCAAGTATGGACTCTTCAACTGGAGAGTCAACACCTTGATGCACTGTTCCTGCGACGAACGGTAGGCCATCCACAAAAGAGATTTATAGATTTATTTGAAATAACAGATATTAAAGTATAGACTTTCGCAAAAGCCGTCGCTATAATTTGTAACAGTATTAGTAGTAATAAGTATCGTAAAGTTAAATTTAAAATAACATAAAGTTTTAGTATTTATACTTAAGAAAAAGAATCAATTCGAAATGAATAAGCTAAAGTGATTCGAAATTAGAAGATGTTGAAATGAAAAACGACGATATTCCCTATTGGATTTTGGTGGTCTAAAAATACAAATCTCAGGTGATTCGAAATATTTCCGGCGACATTCCGTGACCGTTTATTTTTACAAGAGGCTTAATTAATTTTCCAGTACTGGAGGCCTTAAGAGATGTTTCGATTTGGATCTTTCTAGTTCGCGATGCGCAATTAGTGAGAATGGGGGTTTGAATTCTTCCTTTCTCCTGCACTGAGAACGATTTAAGTAGGGTTGGTGTCAGTAGGGTCGGTGCCACACAATAATATATGACTTGATCCGGAAGGTTTGGAGGACGTCGTGAATTGTCCTCTGCGCCCCTGCTTAGCTGTTTTCCAGTGTTGGCGGGACCATCAAGAGTGGGCCCTTCTGGTAAGCCCAATTCCCTTCCAGTCATCAAGAGACAAAGAGTAATTAAATATGCGCTGCGCCGGGGATCCGTTTTGGCACTGGATCCGAACACCCCTTTTGCTCTTCGGCGATGCCGAGGGATGAAATTTCGCGTCCGTAAATAAGGCGAACTTCGCTGGGCCGGAAGTGAATGATAAAAGGACCTATATCCGATTAGTTTTTACTGCTTTTTGTATAAACATACACTTCCCCCTTAGCTATTTCGCTACAATTGATTCACGCACCGAACACAATAAATTTCCCTGTTTTTTTTATCAATCGGTCTTTCAACCCCAAATATAATATATATATAAAAAAAAGAAAGAAAAAAAATCACAGATAGAAGATTTGTTGATAAAACATATGCGCCGAAATGCTAAGCAGACAATATCAGTTTTGCGGATCTTTTTCAAAGAAAGAATGACAAATGCAGAATCGTTAAAGCAATGATTGACAGATAACCGATTTTTCGGAAATGCACATTTTTCCATTACTTACAACAACTCAAACAGACCACTTCTCTATTATACATATTGTAAACTATATTGAATACCATGAAGAAATCAAAATATTATTTAATTAGAAATTATTAAATAATCAATGCAAGTATAAGTCTGTTTTAGTGCTCGCGCTTAGTTTGCGCAATTAAAGTAATTGAATTGCAAGCACGAGGAAAGATTCCTTTTCCTTTTCATCTCCGTCCAGTTAAACTGACACTCGCTTGTTGCCCGCAAACAGAAGAAAAACATGTGTTGACAATGGGGAGGAAAACTAATTGAACAATGCCCGACTGGGAGGGTATTATTGGGTAACCGCCAGGTGGTTGTGTGGATGGTGAATTCGATACACTTCCAGGAATGCCGTGTTTTCCTGAGCTCTTCAGCATCAATATCATACAACAGGAAAAAACTTCTTTGCTTTGGGTGGAGATACAATACAACGCCGGCCATTATTACACATTTCACAGTCCTCTCTCACCTGTCTCTTTCATTTGCCGTGATTCACTCGGACACGAAAATGAAGTAGTATAGAATAGATAATGGAATGAATAGAGGTGAAATGAGGCGCCTCCTCTTAATAATTCTGAGGGAACGAAAACACACTCGAAGAACAGTACAGAGAATTGTCTTAGGGAGCGGAAATGAATCGAGAGAACGAAACAGGCGAGAGAAACTCAGTGATATACAGAATTATAAAGCGGCCTTATACACTTGTTTTGAATATATTTGACAAGTGTTGAGACTATCTATGGTAATATAGACTGACCCTTGCGCCAGGCAGCTTCATATACTATTTCATGTGGAAAACATAATTAGGTAATTCTTTATGTATTTCTATTTTCAAACTATGTTAAAACATTTTAGAATACGAAGCGAACTAAACAGTTCTAATTATTTTAAATTTGTCTAAAATTATTTTACATTTTATGATAATTTTAAATTTTGTATTTCATAGACGTATATCGCTAAAGTCATAATTGATAGTAAAATTTTATTTTAATAATATATTTGTTTAAATCATTGCTTTAAAAATAACCAGTTCAAAGTTTTCAATTATCAAATTTATGATAAGTCAATCCCAGGCATTATTTTGTTTTTGGTTTTAATTTTATAATCTCTCAGTGTTGATTGTACATCTAAATGTATAATAGAGCATAACTATCAGTTTATTCATAATATTATCGTTTGTCTACAATCACGATTGTTTTTAGTGAATTTAGTTGTGATACATTATTTTTTAAAAGATGATTATCTATTAATTACAATAATATACGCTACTTACCTATTAATTTGAAAATGCCTTATTTGAAAACCGAGTATCTAAGGAAATAATTTACGCTCTTCATATTGGAATTAAATACATCCCGATGTGCAACGAAAATAAATAAAATAGGTGTTATTTGAGGTAAAGTTGAAATGGAAATGAAAATTTATCGTATAGAACGTGAGGCGGAGAGAGTGAGGACATGCGAGCTTGTGCTGGGATCGCTTTTAACGAGCGTCCCGTTTATATAAGATTATAAAAGATGATATAAATACGGCAACGACACGGTCAGAAGTCCGATAATTTAAGGGCCATAAACATATCGATGCCAGTGCGCGACGAGAGGGCGATTTTCGCCTTCCCAGCATCTGAAGAGATACAGAGAGGAGATCTCGGAATCGATGATCCCGCCGCATCATCAAATTTTATACACCGACTCACTGGACATTAAAAGGAGGATATTTTTACACCTCGCAAATAAATCACGACAAACGCCAACACAGATTTCCGATGGAGATATTACAATAAAACGACACGCTCAAACTTTCGTTTCTCTTTTGAAGGTGGATCCGTTTAATTCGGTGTTAATAAATCACGAGACAATTGAACTTCTTATTATATGGTTATAACTTTATTTGGACGAAATAATAAGTGGATTTTTAAGGTATAAAATATATACTGAAACATAATAATTGTAAAATAAACATTATAATTTCTTTACAATAGCAAATTTAGTATACTAAATATTAATACAACAAAATAAATATAAATTCTAAAAAAATAATGCAGAAAATTATTTTTATACATAAATGAAAACCTTAAATTTTAACTCTTTGCGGTGGCGGTGTTACACGCAATGATTCACTTTTTGAGCATTATAGCACCTTTTAAAATGTATCTTAATTTTCTAGAAAATGTCCAGGAAAGAAGAATTACCATCTTCTAAACAGTTTATTCTTTGAAACTATTGATTATTTTATGTATATACATTTTTATTGTTATAAATATATTTTACATTTTTTTTTGTGTAGCCCAACTTGGATCTAAAAATTTGATATTTTTAGAGATAAACGCAATTATACATTAATTATTTTATTATATATACGTACTTTAAATGTGGCTGCAATGGTACAATATATGTACTATTGTTATTTTGTTACACAATGTTTAGTCCAGAATGACCACAAGGTACGTGGGTATTGTAACACCTACTCGTATCTATTATTTTGGGATGCGTAAATAAAATATCGCTGGGATATTTTTTTTTCTGTAATTTAAGTTTACCATGTACGTTCTAATACTGTATTAGACTATACACAGGAATACTTATGTAACAAAATAATCATTTCTCGCAATTCCCAATAACAAGTCAATAAAATATATGTTACGTTATATAATAATTATTATAACTATAGTTTATTGAAAATATAATTACAATAAGTTATTGATCACAGTTTTTCTGGCTGTAACATAATATATTTGATTTTCTATTATAGGCACTAAGTACTAAAAGCACTAGGTATTTTTACATTTGTCTCTTCAGAGATTTTATTGATCGGAAATCTAATTGTTTCTATATTAGATTTAACAATAATATTGGAAATGCAAAATTGGCATTTAAAATTTGGAAAATATATTGAACTAAACTACGTACTGTTCAGAGTCTTAGTGTAAGATAACATCAACCACCTACAAAAAAAATTGAATAAGAAAATACGTTCCTTAACAACAACAACAAAAAAGAGGAAAGGAACCTATGAAATCTAAGCCCGTAAATAAGAAATTTGATATTTTTTTCCGACCAAAACGATGGTTTTAGGGTCCATTTCTTTTTTGTGTACCCCCAGGACTGTGTCTCGCGAAGCGTACGCGCGTCTATAAAATATATAAATTATTGTTGCCGGGTGCTGCTGGTGGTGGTCCCCCCGAAAAGGGGTTTTGCGGTTTGCAAAACGTTGCGGGCCACAAAGAAATGACCCGTGCGACATTTTATTATCAGATTGAGAAGTATCTTCACGCCCGAATGGACCCTTTCTGAGACCTGTCAATTGTCGCGCCGGGACGCTCCAAGGCCCCTCCGTCCCCTTCCCAAACGTTTTTACCCGGCGCTTCGACACAATACCACAGAGGAACAACAACAAACCACCCCATGATTCTTGTCTGCCGCTGCTCTCCCTCTCTCGCCCTGCCGAATCGTTTTCGTCGCCTACTAATTTATTATCGAAGCAGACCACCCCGTGCATATTCGGAATCCTTCCACGAAGTTATGCGGATCGCTTAATTAAGGCCTCTCCCCTCGACGATGGCGTTGCCATCGAGAGAGCCTACGACCACCTTTGTCAATCGAAAAAGAACCCGCAGGTGATTCGATTATCGCCCATTCCAATCCAATTTAAATAGAAACCCTAACATTGTCTCTGTTATTCGACACACACACAGATTTCATTCGTGATAACGCCAACATAATGTATAAATAATTAAACTTGACCGCAGCTATCCAACATAGTTATCCTTTAACCTACTCAAATAATGAAATTGCAAAAAGAAATTAAGAGTTTTAATATAATCCTTTGTTTGTCATGAAAAAGTGCTAATTAATTTACTTCATTGTATCTTGTTAACATTTGTTTATTTTGTTTCGTTTCTTGACTTGTCGTACAGAATGAAACGCTTGTCAGTGTTAAACAAGAGAATGGGGATGAAATAAGAAAATAACATTAAGATGTTTATCTGAGTAGGTTTAGGTACAATTGAATCGGCGTTAATATTTGGTTAAAAGGACACGACCTACGGTGATGGTGAACAGACCGTGAAAGGCAGATAAAAAAAAAGATGAAGAGGAGCAGGTGTTGCGCATCTATCTTAAGGGCTCCAGGTATATGGGCATTAAAAAAAGAGAGCTAAATAAATAGGAGGTTAAAAACACACAAAACAACCGACGGCGGAGAGGGGGTTTGAGATTTTTTGAATTCGATAAGTTGAAATTGATGAAACCACTAATCCCTTCGGATTTTGATTTATCTGCGTGCTTCGTGTGTGTCTTCTCCGCGGCGCGTTCGAAGATTAATTAAAAGCACGCGACTCGGACAGGAGGAACGAGAAAGAGAGGACACAAGGCAAAGAAAGGAATACGACGATAAAAGATGCGGTTACCGATGCAGACCGCTTTTGTTCCTGTTATTTTCGGTTTTGTTCGTTTAATTAATTGATTAAAATCAAGGCAGGCGGTAAAACTCGCAAGGCTGTATAGTTCTGGAAAGTTGCCTTCGTTAATTGGAAAACAATACTGGAACGAGATCATTGAAGATCGTTTGAATGCTTCTAATTTTCCAATACATAGATTGAAACCAATCGATTTTGAACATCGGCCACTGGCAACGTTTACGTATGAGATTACTAAGGATACGGCAAACGTGCATTTCAATAATGTCAATATTTAAGTTACTTTCTTTTATTAAATTTAACTAATTATTTATTTAAACATTAATTATTTAAAGAAAATTATATTACATATAATATTATTACCAAAATATTGAAAATAAGAAAAAAAAATTTGGTAAATTACATATAAATATAGAAGCCACCGTCGTATATATTAACGATGATGATGAGATATTGTTAAATAATGATGAATAGGTATATTGTTGATATTAACAAATCAGATGAGAGTGGCGATGATAATAACAGTAAACTGAAAAAGAGAAAGTACCTTAATGCATTCAACAGTATGAACAATTTGGGGAATGCTGCAAAAGAGCCTCATCAGAAGAATGTAGTTTTGTAGCTGAATAAAATAGTTTTTCATTAAAGGTAACTGAAGTATATAAAACAATCTGAAGGACATGTTCGTCAGAACGTGAGCCTCAATTCCCAACCTACAAAGAATGTATTCTGACTGTACCTGTTGCCCGAGATGCTGTATTGTCTTGTCTTCAGATAAAGATTAGTGGATTGAGCAAACCTTTGTTGAAAATGTTTTAATTAAGTTTATTTTAATATATTAAGGAAGTTTTATTGAGATCCACAATCAAACTTACTGAATAAATATACATAAAACAGATAATTAGTTCTTATTGTTACAGACATTTAATTTAATAAATGAATGTATGTCAATCTACTGCATATTTAGCTTGTCTTTGCAGACATTATTTGTATATAGCAAACATTTTCGGTACGGTACTGCTCTTTCTGCATACGTTTATTGCATTTTTTGCCATATTAATATGGTCTGTCTGTCAAAAATCAAATCAAATTTCGAGATTTACGGCCGCCTGGTGATTTATCGTCGTTAATTGGTATGCATTAGTGTTCGCTGGTGGTTTGCGTTTTCCAATTAAGAAAAACATGTTTTTTTAATCTCTTTTTAAAAGAAATACGAACCGAACGAATGATACGCCGAGAAAGAACACAATAAATATGGATGCGAAACAAGCTTGAACATAAAACGAGTAACATAATAAGATTATTTGTTACAAATATAAATATTTGTGTATTATTATTTGGTATCAATATATTAAGCAATGTAAATAATTCTTAGAGAGGGGAGACCAACTTTTTCGTTCTTTCACATTCGAAATAATCAGTTTATTCAACTGTTGGCAATTTACCAAAAATTGAAGAAGAGTTGCGGATTTTTTTGTAAATATATAGAAAAAGTTAAATAAATATTAAATTTGTTTATAGCTTTTCCTCTCAGAATAGAATAAAAAAGAAAAAATAATAGTATTGATATATATGAATTAATGGATATAAAAACTAAAATAGTACTAACATTTATTGTCACACTACAAACTCAATAAAATAATATAATAACAAAATTGATCTGCTGTAAAGGGCTACCGACCATAGATCTTTCTACCAAAATAATAATACAATATTAACTTCAAGGTTTTTATAAACAAAATATGCAAGAAAGCCTAATTTTAGAATTCTACATGACTCGAAATGCTAACTATTTCAGTTATAACTTGGGGTCGAGCGTTACGCACTTGGAAATTCTGCTGTTGACAATAATTGAACTGAGGAAACACCGAATTTAATATAATTTTTATCAATTAAATAATAATAATTAATAATCTACAAATTTAATCAAATTAAATAAATTAAGAAAAATAGTATATATATATATACAAACTGAAATTATCATTTAGTTGATAGATATAAAATAGTATATAAAATCAACACCTGTTGGAATAGTGCGAATGCGGAAAAAGGGAGAGATTTGGGCGACTGAACTTGAGACGAGGACATCGCGAATGTTGTATACAAGAAATGCTCGCAAACACACAATCGGCTATTCTTATATCATTTGGCCGACGCGCTGTAACTCTATAAATACGCCGTGTAGTTTCGAGTTCAATTCGCGCACACACCAAAATGATTGCATAATAAAATCGTCGCAAATCGATGATGAACTGATATGAAGTGATAACGAAAAATGGTGTACAATATTTGACTAAATAAATTCTTATATTATTAGCCTAGTTACTAAAAATATTTAGTAGTAATTGATTTTAGAAACTTTAAATTCACGTATGTGTCTGTGTGTTTCGTTTAAAGTAGAAGAATTCGATGAATTGACTTAGGGTCAATTAAAAGTTGCAACGGCATCAAATCCGCTTTGTGTTCGTAGAGCTGGAAGAGAACTAAAGACTAAAGTGTCAGTGGGCAAAAAAAATAATACACATAAGAGAATTGGGGAGGGCGAGCGAATCAAAGCGGACAGCAATTAAACAATGTAAACCCACTAATGAGGCAATTCCTTCTATGTATCGTTAGAGCACACTTTAACGTCCGGAGATATTGGCCAAATCGCCGCACCGGCACGTAATTGGCGATTCCGGACGGCCGGTCAAGAAAGGCGGTTGGTTTCCGGTTTGATTGACGTTCACATACTAATCCCCGATTTTCGTTTGTTCTGCTTGCAGCTTTCGGACCTGTCTGAAGATGGTGGACACCGGCGACTCTAACCTGGTCGGTAAGATCTTCTTCGACATCGTCCAGACAAAGTGCTTCGTTCTCAAGCGGAAGAAGGTCTGCAACAAATACTCCTGGTGGGGCAAATGCATCAAGAAGAAAACGATCAAACAGGCGGTGCTGCGACGAAACCCCCAGTACAAATGAGTACAATATAATTTTATATTCACTTATAAAAACAAATACAATTAAATCCCCGCACCATCCATCCAGTACCCCGACATTTTGAATATACACTCAAACGCTGTATAAATAATTTTATCTTATTTTCTTCCTTAATTAATTAATTAATTTTATTTATTGCGCGAGACAGAACCGAAACTTATCGCGCCACATATATGTGTATTTTATATTGTATATTTTATTTTTGTATAAATGCTGTACTTAATGTGTTTTTTTAATTATTTTTTTTCGTTTCGAATAATTGGAGCCGGGTTTTCTCTCAATTTGCGATCGATTCGATTGATTTCGTTGTGATTTTAACTGTGTTCGTAAAGTAATGAATTATATATATATATATTGTAATTATTATATACTTATATTAATTGCCCTACTTTATCACGAGTATCCACAAATGCCATCGGAGCCAAAAAGGTGGTAAAGTAAACGTCAACTTAGGTATCTAGTTTTTAATATATAATATAATAACTTATTAATTGCTATATTTACTATAAACTCTTTACTCGTGCCAAATATACTGAATCATCGCAGACTTTAGACAATATGAATGAATACGTGTATTACTATCGAGTGGACTGATTTTATTCCTCTGTCTTCTTTACAAAACTACTGAGTACGATTTTTTAAATTATACATTTGTTTTTAAACACTAAAGATGATATTACATATAAGTAAAGTTGTAAGAATTAATTAAATTGTAATAGCATTTGAAAAATTAAGTAAACAGAAGGTTAACTAGTGATGTTGTGAATTGTCCTATAAATAAATTATTTGTACGTTAATAATATTGTTTTATTAAAATTTATTTACAGCTTTTACAGTAATCGCTTGATTGAGGTATTCCTAAAAATCCGTTGTCCTTAACATAACAAAATAAACACTTTTCTGAACTAAAATCTTAAGATTTAAGATAGTTGTTCTTGTGTTCATTCTGATATATTGCAATTTGTGTATTTATGTACAAAAATAATAATAAAATATTTTATGATAAAAGAACTAAAAAATAATCTTTCAATAATGAATAGAAGGATGTCAATGGAATGTTTTCTAGATGGGTGTGAAAGGGGTCTTGTTTTAAGTGTACGTAAATATTTTGAAAGCCAACAAACCGAAATGTTTGTAAATAATTAATATTAATTAGCACTCGACATCATCGAACGTGTTTGCTTTCCGCATACAACACGTACATACAAACTACTACATTCTAATCGGATTTCAATCAATAAATAAAACGTTTTTTTAAGTAAACATTCGACTTCAAAATCAGGATTCAATAATTTAATAACTGTATGTACCAATAAAACATGTTTATTTCGCCATATATGTTATTATGGTAAGAGGATTATTAAACTAACGCAATAAGGTTAGTTAAACTGTGTGCGTAACAGGCTCGATGGGGGTCCCAAATCCAGAGGATTAAAAGAACTAGCTGTTTATTGACACACGAAAACTACGTTTTTCCTGTAGCCTCAAAAATTAACACTATTTATTGAAGTGTTCTTCATAATTAATACAATTTTATTCGAATTTTTAATTTTCGAAAAATTATACCCAGTGATTTGAAGAACCTATTAACTTGTTCTTCGCTTCTTGCTGCTCTACTGACTATATGTATTCTATGTTTATAGACAATATTTGATACACATTTCATACATATTTTAAAAAAATGTATATTACATGATTGTTTAATAATTAAACTTTATTTGAATTATAAATAAGAGTTTTCGATAAAGTACGTTTTAAACTTATGTCCAATTTTTAAACAAATAAAAAATGAACTGCGTTTTAAAATTTGGTGATGGGTACTTCAAATGTATATATATTGTTTTCTATAATTGATCATCCTTAAGTATTTTAAAATAAAATAATTAATTTATATTAACACCAGGAACTATAAATACATTTAGTTTATATAATGAAGATAAATGACACGAATTGTTGATATTTAATTCCAAAGTAATTGAAAAATAGAAGTCAAGAAAAATAACAAAGAGATCGACCGAAAATCGCCATCTACTCTTATTTTCCGCAGGGGTGTACTATTTTTTTTATAAATTTGTACATTTTCTCAAAAAGAAATATTTTAGGTAAATGGTTCAAATATATCCGTAAATAATATTTGAAAATGTTTGTGAAATTATAATTAGTAAATATTACGATTACGTTTAAAATGGGTAGTGAAAACCTATATCTCATTATGCAAAAGTGTTTAAAGTGGATTACAGCTTTCCTAAATAAAATAACGATTTAAATTTGCGGCATGAAACTATAAAATGATATAATTTATACCATAGAGAGAAGAGCTAAAGATACAAAAAAAAGTTGTAGAGAATATTATTTTTATTTTCTATTACATATTACGAGGTTGACCTATGAATAAATTTAAACATATTTTTGCCGCCAAACGGGAATTACACACATTTTTAACATTATTAGTAATGTATTGAGTTTACTAATAATAATATAGTTAATACTGCAATACTTATTTATCTGGTTTCCAGTAACAAGACAATTTGTATTTCTTCATTGATTATGTAACGTACCAAATATTTGAAAATTAACTCCTCACAATGAGAGAGTAGAAGAATAACCGGTAGGAATTTCAACGACGCACTGTAAATATTGATTTATAAACACTACATCCTTTATTTTCTCATTCAGGTGGTAACATAACACGCACTTTGGATCCTATAATTATTTTTGTCCTCAAATATAATTATCTCCAGACTTATTGGCATTGACGCGCCTAAATATGTACGGAATTGCGAGTGGTATTCCTCATTAATTTATTTTATGCAGATCGGAGCGGAGTGGACAAACCTTCTTCGCGTTACGGTTTTGCCAAAATTCTTATCCATCGCCGCCGCCTCCAGTACTTCGCGAATCTTGCACTTCATCGCCTCGTTCTCCTTGGACATAGCTGCACGCTCTTCGCGCATTTCCAACAGGTTCTTGTACACCCTGTTGTATACTAACCAAATACGCTGTAGGTCATCCAATTTCGGAAAGAATTTCCCTAAGAACTCTTCGGCATCCGTTGCAATCGAACTTCGTCTGCTTGCGGGAATCGAGTTTTCGTTTTTCGTTTGGACACCCTTCCTGATTTCGGGGAAAAAGTTGTTTCTGCCTGTTTTCGGACGGAAGATTTTCTGGAAATCAGGTCTTCTGCAACGAGGCTTCTCCTCCTTAATGCTGATTACCCGTAAATTGCTCGACTCTGATTTATTGAATCCAGCTAGAGCTGTTTCGACATTGGAACTATCTGTGGAAGGCGTTGAATTTACGATTGAACTTAAATCTGAAATAGAGGAAGCTGTCGAAGGGAAATCTATGAATCTAAAAACATCTTCGTTATCCGTCTCCAATTTCCTGCAAACGTTTATGATAGTCACGAGTTTTTCGCCTTTCTCATTCAGCTTCTGCAGAAACTTGATAGACTCATTGGATTTGTCAGTCAAGAATATAAGTTGTTTCTCATCTAAATCCAAATCTCGTTGAAGCGCGATTTTTGCTTGTAAAAATATTGTATTATATTTTTGCACACTCTCCTTTAGACGCTTTAACTCGGCCTCGCGTTCAATTCGTAGATCCGCGGCTTGTAACTGTAACTTTTCTATTTCTGACTAAAAACAAAGGAAAAATTATCAATTGTAATATATTTGTTTACTAATTTAAATCTACTTCTTTACGACGAATCGATTCTTCATTTGAAGCGATTTCTAAGGAGCTCTCTGTGTCTAAAGCTCTCAGTTCTGCAAGATGTGACCGCTTTGAATCAGTGCCCTCCACGTAATTCCTTACGAAGCTGGAAACATTTCTCCACAGATCCACGATTATTGCCTCCCTCGATCGTCTCATAGCCTCGAATTCTTCTCTATGCTACAACAGGAATTACATTCAATTATTTGTGACACGGTAATTCGACTTCCGTTTGATCACCGTCCGACCGCTACTCAGTTTCGAAATGATCGCGCTAATGATACTCGCATTTTTCATCAACAACGGCCAGGTAATATTTTCTCTTCATGAATTTATTAAAGTAGCGTTCGGTAAGAGAGGCTTTGATTTTTCTTTTTATCATTTTGTTATTTATTTATCGATGTTCGTGTGCTCTCTTCTGAGTGTAGGCACTAGAATGTGGGTCGATTATTGGTGAGAGCCGCAAAGAGTTTAGCCAAGTGGTCGGGACCTGTTTGGCACCGACTTTACCGGTTCCAGGGGAAAAAACGGAAAGCGCTGGACCGGAAGTGGATCATGTCGACCTCGAGAGGTCGCCAGTTTATGGTAATAGATGACATTTAATTAATTCGATGTTAATTGAAAAATGCAAATAATAATTGATTATTTTTGTTGAAGGACCGAGGCGTGGATTACACGGAAGATTCAGACGGGACAACCAGAAAACCAACCAATCTGAAAATTGTGTGGCAAAATGCATCTTCGAGCATTTCGGTTTGGTAAGTTACTTTAGAAAGTGTAATTGTAAAATTACGTAGTTAAAATTATTTGAATAAAAAAAGAAAAAACATCTGTTAACGGTAATAGCTAAAAGGTTTTATTTTGCTAGTCATTCTATTTATCTAAATGGTAAAATTCTCAGATTGTTCAACTAGAGAAATTTTCAACTTTGAAATTAATATCTTTTATTAATTCAATTTCTGAGAAATCATGCTAGTTTTATCTGTTTGAAATACATAAGTTATATAAGGTTTTATGTGGGTCAAAACTGAATATATTTTATTTAATTCTTCTGGAATTGTATAAAATGGCATATTATTATTATTTACAATATATCAGATTATATTCTTAGAAGAAAATATATTTACTAACTAGTACTAATTATTGGAAACATTAATTTTCTTGAGTTTTACTATTTTATATTCATAAAATATTTTTTTGCTTAAACAAGATATATTTATTAACAACAAAATTGTCATTGGCATATTATATATGCATACATTATGTTGAAATAATTTTTAATATTGTTAGAGATAAAATAAATTATAGATTCTTTAATGTTAACTATTGAAATTGTTTAAAAACTTCACTTCTTTTGCACCATAAATCTCAAGAAATTACTTAATTTAAATTTTTAATTACATTATTATGCTGTAATGTAACTTTGTTTATATAATTGTTTAGGAAAATAAGTATTTAAGTATCTGACTGTTATTTATATTAAAATTGACAAAGTTATATTATTAACAAAATCTAAAGTCATTTTCATTGGATATTCTCGTTTCAGTTAGATTCTAGCGGATTTCCGATACATCAAAATATTTGGGTAGAGCTCCGAAAGGGAATAATTCAGGCGGAGTTCAAGGATTTCGTACAGGATACGATAGACGGTTGCTTTAAAGAAATCGTTAGTTTGGGTAAGATATATTTTAGCTAACACGTTTCTCCTCCAACCATCTAGTTTGTTTCGTGTGTTAAGGAATAAATTTGAATACATGCGCTTATTCGACGAAGCTGGCGCTCTGTTTGGCAGAGCAGGGAGTGCAGAACTGCGCGGATTGGCCCGTAGGGGAGCTGCCCTTCCCCGCCAGCCCTTAATCTTTCGACCAATCGCAATAGAATTATTACTACTCACCTTCCTTGCCACATCCTCGCTTCTCTGCAAATAGTACTCGCGATTATCCTTCAATTGCATTTTGCCGATTGCCTCCTGCTGATGCAAAATTGTCTTAAGGAATATCAATCCGTCGATGCTGTTCTCCTGTAAATCTTTTCGCTCACTCGCAGCTGCTTTTAATAAGCTCCTGCGATCTTCCTCGTACGACTCGTGCAGCTCATCCACACATGCGTTACTAAATTCTGTAGTAATAAACGAAATTCATTTAATAAGATATGTTATTAGTCATTATAATTCCTACCAATTATATTATTGATATGAGTTAAATGTGACTGGAAGTTATTCAGATATTGTTCATCTGCCGCCTCTAATTCTTGCACCAGGTTCTCTATAGTTCTGTTCTTCAGCTCAAAAACCCTTTCAAAAACTTCCTTCATTTTCTGCACTTCGTCTTTCATCGACCTGCATTTTTGCTTGCGCAAAGTCTGGTGCCAATTCTGGTTCAGTTTGGCCGAATTCAAACGCGCAAAGCCGTCCTCCTTATCCAATTTAATCTGCAGATAAACAAAAATATAGAAATATATCTCATTAGTGATTGAGAAACTAACGAACCTTCAGAAAAGTGGATATCAACTGCTCCTTTCGCCTGCGAGTCTCTTCCTCAGCATCGGCACGATGCTGCATATACCTAGCGCGATCGTCATCCGACATCTTCGCGAGGCGATTCGCCAACTTCTTTTTCTTCTTTCCGGCCATTGCTACACACACTGAATGCCAAAGACCAAATAAATAGTTGAGGTTCTGTATAGAGAGAGACCTTACGAGGGTGGTGAATAATCAATAATCATGGTGGTTGCTAGGGAATTGTTTATTGGTTTAATCAATTTCTAACGAAATGTAATTGGATTAATATATTCAGTAATGGACTAGTATTCATATTTGTTAGGTATTTTTTGTAATAAAACTTGTTATTTTAAATTCATAAATCGCTTATTCATATTTTTTAACTATGTCACTATAGTAACTTAGTTATTAGCTGTCACTGTCAATCAAAAGTCAATCGAGGTAAAGACCTATTCATCCAGAATGGCGGATAACATGCCAAGACATGAGATGTCGCAGATGTCGACTGGGATTCGGTCTACACAGGTAAGAAAGGATATTCTAAATGCTAAGAGGATAAATAGTGTGAGTGAATATCTAGTCGCAAATAAAACCGACGCTCGAGATCGACATCGATTTGAGCGACAAGACGGATTACCTGGACAGCATAAAGGAGTTCAAGAAAACCCTAACTCAGCCGCAGCTGGACATCCACCCATCGTGGAGTGGCCTCACCATAAGCGAAACATCTCGAGATCAACTAGAAATGCAAATTCAGGCTGAAAGAATCCTGAACATATTGAACAATGCTTGTGATAAATTACAATTCGTTGTAGGCTAATCGATAATAGTGAAGTTTTCTTGTACAGTACTTATAAATTGCAGGGAGCTATACCACAACTTCTGCGAAACGATTGTGAATTAATCAAGAAGTATTTATCGTCGGAAGAGGCAGACGTAGTCATTAGGAGATTTAGTAAATTTAGCGACAGTGAAAGCGATTCATTAAGGAAACAAGTACAGCACGAGTAGTTTTAATATTTTCAATTAGAATGATGTTTTATATTTTGCTTAGATTAAAGTCAAGAGTTTAGTGGGATGTTTCTTGGATGTGGACATTCAGGAAGCATTATCGTACATACAGCAAAATCAATGTTTAAATCTATATGTGAAGCAATCTGGACAGCAACTGGACCCATTTTCCGCTGACTTGGTCAAATCAATGAATGAACTCACCGAGATATTGAAAGAAAAACTGAAAACTACGGCGGCAGATGAAAGAGATCGAAGAGCCCGATTGAAAATCGCTCTGAGAGATACGAAAGAGCGCTCATTGAATATAAAACGTATGTACCTGCTGTTTAATTTTAAATTAGTTATTTGATTATTCTTTTAGGTTTGGGAGAAAAGTTGACAATTCAGGTTCGAGAAATGGCTATAAAATTGCAAGACAAGAATGTTTCCATTGAACGAACCAAAAAAAAAATTGAAGAAATTAAATCGAAATTCAAACGCAAGATCAGTGATGTAGTGTGAGTGCTTTATTATAGGCAACTTGTTTTACGTACTTACAATTCCGATTGTTTTTTTTTTCCTATTAGAAACTTATCGGAAAAAGCTATGATGATTGAATGGGATGAGAGTGAGGCAAAGCAAATGCAGCTCGCGGCTGAGGCTAAAACTGCCCAGCAACAATACCAGTTGCTTCTCGATCAGCACTTGGCCGACGAGAAGTTATTAAGGGCTAAACGTCTCAAAGTGGAAGCGCAACTTGCAAACTGGCTTTCAAAGTACGACACAGATATCGGGGAACGACAGGCTCAAATGGACGAGCTCATGGAGGGATATGAAGAGGAAAAGGAGCAACTTACCGAGCTTGAAAATATGATTGCCGAGCAGAATATCCTGTACGATGAATATTTCGAAGAGAAGACCTTCGAAGATATCGCAGCGTTTAGACATAAAGTGGAACAATTCATGGAAGAGCGCAGTGCTAAAATCATTCAAAGAGCGTGGAGAGCATATAAGGCTAGGAAGCTTGCTCGTAAACGAGCTCGAAGAGGTTTAAAAAATATTATCAAAGTATTAAAAAGTTAAATCTTTCTTTTTTTTTTTGGTGAATATTTCTAGCGAGAGCTGCTGCACGTGCTGCAAAGAAAGCGGCGAAGAAAGCAGGAAAGAAGTAAAGAAATCAGGAAAGAAGTCAAATAATACAATGTTGTGCTCTTATTATTTGATTAAATAAAATATAACTATTCAAATAAAAAAAATCATCTCAATTAAAAATGAAATTAATATCAAAATATATGATCCTAAATATCTATGATGTTGTTGTTCTCAGTTTGTGTGTTTGATTTGTGCAATTGTAAATTTAAGTGGCCCCAGTCAAGCAAGTTAAATATTTTAATCGGTATTGAAATTGTGGGTCCCGTCTTAGATCAGCAACAATAATTTTGTTCGTGTTTTCAACATCTTCAAAGAGGGCAAGGTTTGACAATTTATTATGAATGTTCACTAAATATTTAAATTTCGTCATTGCTTATCTCGAGGAACGAGATAATAGATGCTACTAAAAATGTTGAATGTTTTTATAAAATTTAAAACTTTTGTCACATTAATAATTGTAATTTTTAAAATATATATACAAATTAATTGTATATACATACTGCATTGTCACCAACCGTCACTGATAATAAATATAACGAGTGTTATAAAAATTGGTAAACTCGAAAATTCTCGAATTAAATTCAAGGTTTTTGTTGTGTGTACATAATTGTACAAAAAATCTATATACCAATTAAATATCCATATGCACATATTGCGTTCAGGGAAATTGAAGTAACATTTTATAATAACTGCAATTATTTCATCAAAGTAATCAAATTTTGAAAATATTACAATATAGTATAGAAATTGCTTGCAGAAAATTTACTTAACTTTTACTTATGTTAAGTATTTACAGTTACAAACACAGTTAAATAATAGCTTCAAAATGACGATTTTAAGTAATAAATACTTAAATTATATTAAGTTATTTAAGATAGAGTTTAATTGTTTTATAGAGAATCGTTATGTTTGAAGGCGATTTTAATTTGTAATCAGTGTTTGCTATGACGCTGCTATCTGTTGATTACGGGTCGGTTGATTCATCGAAATGCATAAGTTTTCTCCAACGATTGACTTCGGAGGAAAGTGAAACCCGATGGACAACGAGCAGAAGAAGATGGGCGTAACCGCGTGATCACTTAACTTGCTTGCAGTGTTGATCTCAGTTGGGCGTCTCTCGCTTCATCGAGTGCGCGTCGCCGTTTGTTAATGTTTGTTGTTGTTGCCGTGGGGACGATGTGAATCACAATTGCGCGATATTGGAGTGCGTGTCGCGGTGGTATTTGAATGATGGCATCTGTCCTTCTGGAAAACGTTACCAATTGTGTGTGGCAAGCATTCGCCGCACTCCAACTGGACAGGACTAAGGGCTATGTCTATAAGTCCAGACTGAAGGTAATTGTGACACAATAGGGGCTCTGCAGCCCACGGTAATCCAATCCAAAGCGACCAGGTGCGTGCGCTTGACTTACTTTTACTCTCCTCAATAACGTAACAATTCCTGTTGTTTCTTCATTAAAAACTACATCCCAAACTCAAGCAACTGCTCGCTATATGCATGTGTAGTTCAATTACACCGAACCGGCCAGGATGTTGTAAAGTCAATTTTTCTCAATTTAGAGCATTAATCCGTTTAAAGGTCACAATATTAAAATAATTTACTCAACAATACCATTTATGGTCAAATCCAAGAAGTATACGTGTATATTTATCCTTACCATATTTGGAGACATAATCTTTTTTCTTACTTTTTAAAATGTGCGAAGAAAAAACATGTTTTAATTTTTGTAATAGCTTCAGGAAGCCACAGATAATAACAATTTTGTGGTGATTTGTTTCACAAATGAATATAGTTAAATATTGTAACAAAGCATGTCACGCGCGCTATTTGGATGTTTACACTAAAAGTGAATGCAATCGCAATTATCACTTTGTTACTTAAATATGTGATAATACTATTGGAAAACAATATAATTTTGATTTGTTTTGTTTTATAGGTTTTAACTGCAAATATTGGAACTTTTCTTGATTTGTATGGCATTGAAAAATGTTTGGAACACTATAAAGCGACGGATACATTGACGTTTGACTACTACAAAACGTATTTACAAAAAGAGGTATTCGCATCGCTTCCAGATAAACTGCCACTAGGCGAACTGAGGAATTATGAAGCTAATATTGCAGAAGTTTGTTGGCTCGTCTGTCGTAAAGGACTACTGCAGAGGGAAAATAGGCGATTCGACGAGGATGCTATATTCAAATTGTTTCGTGTGTTTTGCTTTCTTGCCGAGTTGGTGCCCGATGATGACGAGAGAAAGAGTTACCAAGTAGTATTGCATCCGTCGGAAGCATCACATGTCGCTCAACAGTTGTCGCAATCTTTAGGTTGCGATTGGGATGAGGAGGACTTTACGAGCCTTAGTGTGTCCATTGGTTCATACCGACTCGCACCGTTCATAGCAATCCTTGAGACGAGATGCCTGGAGAACGTAAAGGATTCGGATGCGATATCAGAGGCAGTGAACGATCTGCATCAAACGTTCGTTGACGATGTAATCAAAAAGGGTATGCTGAGCAAGAAAGGCTACATCTTCCCGACGATGCGCGAATACTGGTTCATTTTACGACCTGGCGAGTTGAGCTATTACAAAACGCGATCGGAGAGAATTAAAGCCGGAAGCATCAGCATCGAGACCGGAAATAGAATCGAAACTAAACCGGACAACAAAGTCGTATTGCACACAAGCGAGAGGAATTTTGAATTAGGTACCGCTGATCATATGACGAGGTTGCAATGGATTTCAGCGCTTCAGACCGCCATCGAGCATTCCGGTGGAAACCAGAGTTACCAAAGGCTGCAGGCTGCAAAACGCAGACTGCAACGTCAAGGTAGGTTGCAAGAAATGCTGAGAGCCAAAGCCCAACTGCAGAAGGAGAGAAGCGCTAGGCAAGCCGCCGAGGGTCAAGCAAAAGAGCTCGAGGCCACGGTCAAGGAAGAGTCAAAGCGGCTTTGTGAACTAGAGCAGATCAAGGAGAATCTTCAAAGACTTCTGGAGGAGGAAACTCAAGCTAAGAGAGATGAAGAGATAGTTCGCGCATTACAGGCGCGCGTATTAGCTGAAGAATGGGAGAAGCGCGAGGAACTTGAAAATCTTCAAAAGGAGCAAATTGCGTTGCTTGACCAAGAGCGTGGTAAACGTAGAGAGTTCGAGGAGCTGCAGAGCCAGAAAGAGCAACAACTGAAAGGTAATCTTATTCAATGATGTTTATTTGAAAATAATATTATATTTGAATTTCAGAAGCGGAAAACAAATTGAAGGAACTTGACATTGAGCGGAAGATCCTAGACGATGAACTTAAACAAGCCATAAACAAAATCAAACGGTCCGAAGGGGCAAAAGAGGTGTTGGAGGCACGTTTGATGCAGGTTACACCTATGAGGGATGGAGACAGAATACGAAGAGCGCACTCTTTCATACCAAGTACGCGGGAAAGACCCATCTTGTTGGAGGTGCGGACTGCTTCACTTAAAAGACCCAACAAACAACATCAATAATAATATTCATAACGTTTATATTATCTTCATTTAATATGAATTTTACCACATTACCATTAACTATTGTTAAATAATATATTTTTATTCGTATTTAATGATTTATATTTAATTAATTAAACTATTTCAAAATAAAATTTGTTATTTATTAGTATTAGAGCAGAAAATCGGAAATTATTTATTTAGATTACTAGAAGGAGATTATTTTAGTTGAAGAATATTTGATTTTTATAATAAACTTGAAAAAAAACAATAATTACTAAATTTATTGATATTTTCGACCAAAGTACTACCTAGGGAAGTCTTATCAGCTATTTTTATTTTAATGACAGATGTTATTTGCAACCTTCTATACGGAGCTGTATATTACGAAAAAACTTGACTTGTGACGTAAACCGTCCATAGAGTGCGCTAAATGGTGTAAGACGCAGCCGCTAGGTAGCGCACATGAAAAAAAAATTACAAATTTGTTATATTTGATATTTTCTTCGGACTGTTAATATATAATATATACCAATTTTGAATACACACAATGGATGCGAGATTTAAAGATATTAGGATTGATTAAGAATTTAAATTATTGTTCTTCGTTGCAGTTATTTAATTCGATCTTTAAGAGCAATTAAAATAATTAATTCAAAATTTTATAAAAAAAAAAACAACAAAATGTTATGAAAAATCTTAGAATATATGTAAATCTACAAACTTATAACAATTGATCTTATATTACAAAATATTATGAGGTGAAGATTAATCAATAGGTAAGAAAATATTACTTATAGGTACCATGAAAGAATATAAATTCGAAATAACTACATTATTTTTTATGTACATTGTCTACCAAAAGTCTTAAAATTGTTTATTCGACATTAGTCACATAATATAATCATTTTTTTTGACATCATCTGTTATTATTTTATTATTATTATAAATAATCGGCGAACCAGTTTGGTAATTTTTATCCAGATATATTTTAACTTATCTTTAACCCGAAAATTAACAAAATATTTATATTGAACTTATTTTTTATGCGCTACTACATATTAAAAAAAAAACTGGTTAAATCTAGATTCGGCTCTGGCAACAAACAATAATGTACAAGAAAACTCGATATCGCATATCTTTACATTGTTCTCAGTTTTTTTGAGATTGATTGTTGTAGATTGATAAAATGAATTAATTGATATTTAAAACAAAATATGTATCTGAATAAAAATAGAAACACAAAAAAGTGTGAAGAACCGCCCATGCGCGATTAGACAGGATCCAAAGTACAATAACTTCGAAACTCGTTATCAGGCGAGTGCTGTAATAATGAAAATTAATTTATTATGAAATAAGTAATTTAAAGTACATTGTATTATTATTATTTTATCTTTGCAATATAATACTCAAATCTCAATAATTAATAATTACAATGAATTTTAATTTATTTGTTTTGTGTTCAAAGATATTTTTTGTAAGATTGAATTAAATTTTGATGATAATAATATTATTACTCAGAAAACACATTTTTGTAAGATTACAATAAATATTAATGATAATAATGTTGCACGGAAAATATAATACTTTAATCTTGTAAAATCTACATAAATTTAACATGCAATTAATACGGATGTTATACGAGAATGTAAAAAATGTTGATTGTGGGAATGCAATTGCGAATCGTATCCTGGCATTGAACAAGTGGGAAAATGCATTTCAGTATTATGTAAAATATTTATTATGAACCAAAGTGCAGCGAAGTGTGGATTTTTAATATCATCTACAACTAATTTCCTTTGACATTAAAGAACATAAAAAAAAGTACTGGAAAAGCCAATATTTGTAATAAATGAATGTTAAAATATTGAATACACAAATATTGTACTTTGATGGACTTATAATGTAAACTAAATGTGTATGAACACATTTCAAATATATTTAAAAAAAGATAATTTTATTTGTTGCTCTCTATCTCTTTCTAGAGTATACAAGAATTTGAAAAAATATTTCGATAATTGCTTATTATCGAGACACTTTTTTGTATTGGTTTGAGATTAAGAGTAATCACGATAAGCGAATAAATAGTATCATCGTAAACTAATTGATGATATCTGGTCCAGATAAAAAAAATCCAGATTTTCATCGGGCAGCACGCGTCTCCTCGGCATAAAGGAAATTACTTAAGTGGCGATAACTCGCATCGAATCTGGTTGCAAAATCTAAAATGCTATCGCACTCACTTGATCTGATGTCACCCTGTATAACGCCATACTAGGTATTCATTCTGAAGGTCATTGTTTCATTCAATTAAATTTTGAAAAAAAAGATTTATGTTGACATACAAGATAATAACTTGAAAAAATGTTTCTTTAGCACATAGGTCGGCTAACTTCGGCTCGTGAGCCACATTAGGATATTTGAGACAAATTTGTGATTCTGAAGATTCCTTGATAATAAAAAAATGTTTGTGGGTCTCGAATATTTAAGAAATCCAGTCTTAGCTAAAAAGCTATTAGTAAAATAACCATATTTATAAATAAGAAGTTATTTATAATACAGCAGTCAACTTTAATTTAACATATGGAGAACGTAAGAGATGGATAACATTGCCATTTTTTTGTTGTTGATGCTTGGAAATGGGAGATTCGAATAATTTAAGTAAATAGTAATAGTAAAAATAAAATATGTAGTATACATACAATAATTCATATTAAATAGGGCCGCAGTATTTTGGCCCTTGAAATAATATTTAGATACAATATAGAAAAAATATTTTTTTGTGTTGAAGGGTTTCTGCGTGTTTTCAGTGAACTAAAGACTTACGCTCAATTATTTTTTCTTATTAAAATGATATAAAATTTTATTGTTTATTTTGTTTATATGTGACTTTCTCAACAATTATGATTATTTAAGTTAATTAAAATTAATATAAAAGTATTTCATTTATTTTAAAATTGCGTTCTGAAAAGAGGAACTCAAAGGACAAGGAAGTTATTGACCTATATAAGGAAACACTATATACATACACAAATGCCGGACAAAATTGCAAAGTAAAATACATAAGCTATGTGTATAGAAGCATTTTTTTCGTAAATTAAAAAGAATTCCAGTCTGATATTTTCTACTGTTAATAAAAGTTTAAAAGTTAAGCAACGTATTTGGTAAAAGTACCTGGATGAATTATGTCAAAACATTAGAGAACTTAAAATCAAAGTTTGTATAATACACACAACTGAAGAACCTCGCATATAGTATTTCTTAGAATAGTTGACTTCCACATTATATTTTTTTCTTAAAATAATAATATAGATAATCGACATTTTGCTATACTTATATTTCACGAACTAAAGACAAATACTTTTCTTCAATAAAAAAATTCTTTAGATATGTCACTGTCAAATTATGCACGTTAAATTAAATAAAAAGAAATACAACAATAACTCGCATAGTGCGGCTTCGATCAATCTGGATTCACTATAGTCCTGTTTGAAAATTTCAAAATAAATAAATTGCAGTTAATTTCTATTTTATTTAGTTCCTCGATTAGTGCGGTTTAAAATAGTCCGAGATAGTTTTGGAACTGTACATTACGAGGTAATACTGTACAATCAAACTTGTTAAATTAGTAACTAAATTATGGTGATGAGATTAGTTTAACTAAATATTAACTAACAGCAAACATAAAGTCTTCCGAATAAATTTACTTTTTAACATTTACAAAACATGTCACGATGTCATCAGAAATTAATCTTATCGTTATTTATAAGAAATATTCTTGTAATATTTTACAAAATTTATATACTTTGAATGAATGAATCATATAAGTACAATGAATTATAGATATTTTTATCAAAATGTGATACTAATTATTAATAGTTTTTTTTATATATTTATTTATACTAACACACGTTTTATTCATATGGATTATGTCTTCTTTTATGGTTATATCAGTATAAGAATTTATGTATTTAAAATAGACAAAAAATAAACTAAAATACACATAAATAGTATTTTAGAAATGAATGAATTATTATTATTAAATCGGAACTAATTAAAAACAGAAATAATTTCTAAGAAAAAAATCTTCATTTTGTTTACAAAGACCATGAAATTAGGAAAACAATAATTCATTATTCCATGCACCAATAGTCGCGGACATTATTTATTATAATCGAACATGCATAAACCTTCCGTCTTAACCATATTTCTATGTTAAGTTATCGCGACCTACGTATCGTTATTGACCTACCTTTAGCCGATATCAAAACCGCTTCGTCTACTTCGAAAATGTTCCTCTTACCTACAGGAATCTTACAAATATAATGAACATGTTAATTTAATAATAATTACAGATTAACAGTAAAATCGCAGCATAACTTTCTCTATTCATGAACTTGCCCAGTATTTGCTTTATTGCGCTACAAACAAGTTTCATTTCACAGGAAATACTACTGCAATTACTACCATTTGAAAACCAGTTTGCGTGTATTGATTTCTTTCGAAATAATTAGGAATATTATTTAATTAATGAAATTAGCTTTAATTATTTCAAATCGATTGGTTACACAAATTTACTATAACTTGCTACATTTTTAAAGCAAATTTTATATAAAAAATATAAACAAAAACAATAACAAACATAACAACAAAGGTATTATACATTTTTTTGTGTTAATCAGATTACATTTTTTCATGCCATTTTTGTTTGTTTGTGTCAACCGATCAATGGATCAGAATTGACGATTTCCGATTTGATGTGAGTACGCAATTTCCAGCAATTAATGATAACGATCGTTGTGGCACCGTTTTTTTTTTCTCTGTCGTAGAAAAATCTGATCTGTAACATCGATACTGAAACATTAAATATTCAATGAAAATATTGTGTATTCGAAAGACGTGAAATTGAAAACTTGAGTACTTTAAACTTAAGATACCATACCGTAAGGTAAATGTTGAGGAATTTAACGTTGAATTTTTTTGTTTTTATTTTATTGATAAACGGTAGCTAAGCTTCTAGAATATCTGCGAAATATCTTTGGATATGCATAATCCCTTGCGTATCTCGCAGATGTAATCAATGAATTTATCGTATTTAAATCGAATAAACAAATACAAACTAAGTAATTGCACTTTCTCTCATTAATTATCGTCCTAACATTTAAAAAGAAGACATTTATCAACTAAAAATATAAAATATCACAAAATTTATATTACTAATAAAGGTAATATTGACTAAAATAAATAAAAATAATAATACAAGACATACAAAACATATCAACAATCAGTTTTACAATAATAAATTACAAAAATTCTAGTAATACACGTAAAAAGTAACGACAAAGTTCCCCTTTTTTTCTGGTTTCCCAACAAATTTTTGAAAACTTGTGGTAAGTAAGTTTATGTAATACTTAGCAGTTACCCTCTGACCAGTTTCGAGTGAGATAACAGCTACCACTTTTACCCTGGTAAAGTAAATCAACATCATCACTTTTGTTGCTGACTTTTGTTGTCGTGCTTTAACTGGGTTAATTTGCATCTATTTGGTTTCCAGGTCAAACTTTTAGAATCAAGATTCATTACATGTAACAATTTTACTAAAAGTGCTAGAATCTCAATTTTCAAAATTTTCGGCAAAACAAACACGTGTTTTTATTCGTGCGGATTTCTTCGTGCAGCTAAAATGATGACCCATTTGCAATAAAGTCATGCCATTCAAGCTATATCCTGTATCACTCTTGGATCTTCGTCAATCTTTGCCTTCACCTACATTTGTATCATTTCTTCACGAGGTTCGTACTCCACAGAAAAATGTCCGATCTGAAATCTTTGAATCTACTTAGAAACAGTAACAAGGGATTATGCATTTTGGCTGTAAATTTGCATAGGCTTGAGTTGACGTCGAAATCCGTAGAGAATAGCAAAACAATTTTTTTTCTGTGTTGGTGGTGGAATTTTTACCAACTTTGGGGGGGAGGTTGTGTCGGGATAAACATTGTTTGGGTGCCAAAATTAATCCAAGTTAGGGCTAGTTTTATTTATTTTTTAACCCTTCATAATCACCATGCCCAAACTCGCTCCTAACTTTTATATATTAATAATTGAACATAACAAACAGTTATGTATGAATTGTTATACATGATAAGTTTAGTGAAGTCACTAAATCATTTTAATTTAAATTGTTGCATCTTGAACTTATAATAATAATAATATTTATTGAAATAGAAAATTACAAAATGAAAAAAAAACTCAATACAATAATATAAATATCAAAAACCAAAAAAAAGTCAACTTCTTCAAAGGGCTATTGACCATAGGCCTTTCTGTCCGGTCTTGAACTTATAATTTTTAAATATTTATGTATTTGGAAAGAAAATACCCAAGTTATGTAAGTAATAAATAATTACATTTTATGAACATTTAAAAGTACATGGTCCTCAAAGTATTTTGTTTCGAAATATTTTAACCGGATAGTGAATCCGAACTGATTGCCATATTATCTGTAATTCTACACAATTATTCACAATTTGAAGAATGCGTAAATGTAAAAGATATAATTTACTTTGCTGGAAAATAAATTGAATTTGACTACTGCTATATGATATAAATATTTAAACGCACAAACATAAATAGAAAATACGTCGCTCGTCATTGAATTCAATATAATCTACGTCGTATATGTTTCTCTGTTCATTTTGTGTTCTTTTGATGGTTAAATTAAATAAACTGTATAAGTGGAAACATATGAAGCTAGATTGGTGGTCTTGGTTGATAGTTACACATGGGTCAATATAAATCTGTTAATATAATATAAGATAATTATTTGTGTTATATAATATTATAATTAATATATTTTATAATAATTGTTTATCAAATTCCACGCGGCATTATATAAAACTCCTAAAAATTGTATTGTCTACCTCTAACATATATAAAATTGATCACATGCATGTTCGGATTTTGCGATTCAGCAAAAAAAGCAATTTCGAAATGAAATTGCATAATAATATAAAATACAAACTTTCAAATTGCAAAGGAAATTCCTGCCACGATTTGATCTAAACCAGACATTTCAAAAACGTGCTCGAAGAGTCAGCAAATATCAATTATCATCGCGACACCAAATTTCGCGCTGATAACAAAAAAAAGAGATGTACTTTTGTTGATATTAATGAACGATGATTTGCTGGCCCGGTCCGCTTTGATTGACATTATCTGTGGTGGGAACAGATTGACGGCGGCGTGCGTTGTTTATATGGGAAACGCACGGTGGCGATCCGCGCCAGTTAAGACTGGGCATTCGAAGTGACCGTGCGTAGCAAAAAAAAAACAAAACAGCCATCAAACAATTTCCTTACTTGCTTTCCGGCGACATCGATCAAATTAGGTGGGAATGTATAGTATTTTAGGAAAGCTGCATTCGAGACCAGTCGCGAGGCCCCACGAGTAACAGACATCCAAGTTCAGATTCGAAAGTTTTCGGCAACTTCGAATTGTCTTCACTCAAATTTTACGACCTACATTAGGTTTCCTCTTATTGTACAATTTATATTAAATACGGGCACGATAGGTTCCCTCCTCGATTATATCGATATACATATAGGTAGAATCGCAAGAAACGGAAATGGAGACGAAATCGGAAAACTGCACCGACAATGGCAAGCTGGAGAAAGGAAAAGACCTAGAGATGGAGGAAGTTCCAACTAACACTGGTAAGTTTCATTTGGCATTGACTCTCTCTGCACGAAGACAATAGTATTTTCTATATGCTTACAAAAAGTAATAATCAATTTGCAATGGGTTTTATAAAAAAAAACTAAATCGTTAGTAAAAACTTGTAATCTTTGCGCTTTGCAGTTTATTAAATTACCATAGAAACACAATATAGGAACATAACCGAACCGTAACTCAAACACGTGTAAATATATGCTAGGCTTAACGTATACTAGCTATTGAACATATTGTTAAACTGTTAGGCATAACATGAAAAAGAAATGACATCATTATGTATAAATAATTTGAAATGCCATAGAAAACCACCGAGAAACCCTAACTTAAAACAACCAGTAAATAGTATAAGTACGGACAATTTTTAGTTAAATTATTTGATTAATATGAATAATAATGAACGCTAACAATGTTTAAAAAGTATCGACAATATAAAAACGATCTACTGAACAATCAAATTTGAATCACATGCTTTATCAGAATTACTAAATTGATATAAAATTGGTATTTTATTAGCTAATTACAATATGAGTACTTCTTGAAATTCGGTTTTTATTCAAACATTTATTGATTTTTTTTTGTACTCATATAATCATAATAAATATATTTTTGTTATTATATTATTCTATTGAGTTTATATTTTGGATATTTATTGTTGCAATAAATATTATTTCTATTAATAATTTATAAATATATTTCAAATATAAAAAATTAGTACAAAGATATAACAGCAATAAAAAAAACGCTAAATTTATTGAGTAAATTAGAAAAACAAAACATGTTATTGTGTTTGTGTATTTCTAGAATTATTTGGATTATTTGAACAATTGTATTTGCGTATTTTAAATAAAAAAATGACTTTAAAATATTTATAAAACTATTTCGAAGTATTCTAAACGAATGTAATGGTTTTTCCTATATTTTGCACACATATATTTTAAAATGATTAAATGATATTTAGTTGGAAAGAAATCATTAAGAAAAATCGTTGCGTCAATCGAAGCAAAAACAAAAACAAACATGTAAGAGAACGATGTAACAACGCTAACTGCTGTTTGTATTACATTAAATCTTATCTTGATACATCGTTAGTGCAATCGGAATAATCGCTACATTTTGCGCAAAAACACAATGAGCATACCTTCGCAGCACACATATTTTCCGATCGCAATCAATACCATCTGTTTACTTCATCAAATGAATTATTTTTACGTTTGTTGCCACGATCTGTTATTGTTTTATATCGATGAGTTCAAGATCTCCCATACATTTCGAGAGTTATCTCATATGATTGATTGCCTTGTAGGAGTTTAGTAAACTCTAGCATTCGTAATTCAATTGAATAAAGTATTAGTTCCATATGTTAAATGTTATTGTTAATGATATATGATGCGTGGAAAATTTCACCATGCAGATCTCATAATTCACGCAAACACATGCACGTTTACTATCGAGAAGGCAATAAATTCGTTGAAAGTTTAAAATTAACACATTTTTATTTAACAATAGAACTTTTTTTATATAAATAAATAAAGAGGTGTAAGTATGTTGAATAATCCTGCTTTAACGAGGACTGTATTAATATTAGAAAGCCAGCATAAATTAACAACCGGCGCTATAAAAAAAATCTTTAAGTAGTCCAACTTATTGTTGTTATTTATTATTTGAATACATCATCACAATCATAGGAATTTCCGAACGTAGAAGATACGTTGTTGATTCGCAGTACGAATTTAGAAACCGTCCTCGCGAAAAAAAAACAAAAAATAAATATCGACGATTATAAAATTCACCGAATTTAATTGAGGAGGCTGTATTATGTAATTCTATCAATAAGGATACTCCCGCTCCTCGGAATTATTCATAATAGTAAGAGTGAAGAGAATATATTCTATTAGAAACCGGTTTTATCTAATAATATATTTTTTTTGCAAAGCAATCGCGTTGTTGAAGATACCGAGGATTAAGAGCATTCATTGCTAGATAGCAAAGTCTATAATATGCAGAAGAGCGTAGACAAGAAGAGATCGAAGAGGTCACTCGAAATGGAGGCTATGGCAGATAGATAAGTTCTATTTTCAAACGCATCTAAGGAAATTTCCGATGTTAAGAAAATATAAAATGATCAACAACAATAAAACGATTTGAATAAAAAATCAGTTTTTAAATACTCGAAAGATCAACGTTCCAATGGAAACAGGAAATCTAATTCTAAAACGGTGCTTCTGACAGAACGAAAAAAAAAAACGCGAATAAAGCATTCGACGAGTTTGTTAAAGCAGCATTTTGCGGCAACGAATTGCCATTTTTTTTGTACATGTGCACACGTTATTATCACTCGACCTTCCTATACTCTATTCGAAATGTTACTATATCCACTGATAATAACTTGCTGCATTTTAGATAATAGAAATATGTGTTAATTGATTTTTTTTATTTTCAATATGTCCTGCAAAATTTTAATGAGTATTCTGTCTTAACATCTATTTAGTAAATAACCTTGGATACCGCCAAAAATTCTTTGGTAAGAAATCTTGAAAGGGGAATAATAATTATTTGAATTGAAACAAAAAAAACATACAGTCTTGCAATTTATGTTGTTCAAAGTCGTAACATTCACTTGCGCAGCACCATATGTTAATTGAAGAAATTAAAATTACGGGCATTAATTCAAAATTATCTTACTAAGAAACAATTCTTTTTAACCAATTTTATTTAAAGACAGTTCAAATCGTTCGAATTTAGTAATAAAATTATTTTTGAAGGCTCTAAAATATATTGTACAAAAGACAAAAAAAAACAATAATTAAGATTTATATTAAAGATTTGATTTTTTTAATTCATAAAAAATATTCCGTTATATTACGAATACTTTGATATGCACATAGATTAGATTTGCAATCTTGTAAAATTTTAATATCTTCAAATTTGAAAAACATGCAGTCTCATTTAGATTTCATGAGATTAAAATTTGTCAAATTCCTCATGCACAAATGCGTCCGGCCATGAACGTAAATATAAACAAAAAATGTAAATAATAATATTTTCTTTTCAAATATCATTATTATCGATATTGTGGTATATCACCGTTGTAATCTATCAAGAAAAACAACTTTGGCATTGATCCGATTACTGCAAGATTGCAAAAAATCCACTTATGAATTAGAAAGGAGCGAAGCCTTCTTGAATTTTAAAATTGCGTTATATAATCGACAATCATTTTTGTGTAACCAAAAGCTTTCCATTGATGATTAAAAATAAAACAACTTTTGTCTAACAAGTGTTTATATTTTTTTTTTGGTTTACAGGTCCAAGGTTCGGTGCGAGACACACGCAGGTAATACTGCTGTTCCTATTGGTAACCATAGCATACGCGATCCGAGTGAACCTTTCGGTGGGTATCGTCGCCATGACTTCGGATCACGGACCTCCTGGAATACCTGTAAGCTTAATGAAAAAAAAGTAGAAAATGAATGATTAATAATATATTTTTGAAGACTTACGATTGGGACGACACCAATGTTATATTGTCATCCTTCTTCTGGGGTTATGTGATTCCGCAAATTGGTGCCGGACAACTGGCTAAAAACTTCGGACCCAGGTATATATTGATCAGCGCGATGTCTCTTTGCTCGATGTTCTCCATCTTGATCCCATTTATGGCAAGTTTGGGCTCGTACGGTGTCATGATCTGCAGGGTTTTCCAAGGTTTCGGCCAAGGGTTCTTTTACCCGTGCGCTCACAACATTTTGAGCAAATGGGTGCCGTTGGGCGAGAGAACGCGAATGGGAACCTTCGTATATGCAGGTAATGAATCATCGAATAAATAAATTTAACTTCTGAGTGTTAAATCTAAAATCATCAGGTGGACCTTTCGGTACGGTGATTTCTAATCCGGTGACCGCCTGGATCTGTGACAGCGTGATTGGTTGGCCTGCGGCTTTTTATATCTTCGGGGGCGTTGGTTTCCTCTGGGTCATATGTTATGCCATTCTGGGGTCGAACACCGTGGAAGATCACAAATCGATCACCGACGAAGAAAAGAACTACATCAAGGGAACGCTGAAACAGAACGAAGTAGATCACAGCGTAAGATAAAGAGATATAACAAAGTATCAAAAGATATTAATTAAATTTAATTGATTTCAGGAAATTCCGACTCCCTGGAAGGACATGTTTATGTCGATGCCGATGTGGGCAATCCTTATCGCCCATTGTGGCCAAAACTGGGGCTTCTGGACGCTTCTCACTCAAATCCCCAAATACATGGACAAAATCTTAGGCTTTAATTTGAATGCTGTACGTAATACCCATCCATTATAAACAACCAAAAATAATTTTAAATGTATTTACAGAACGGTTTGCTATCGGCCGTCCCGTACTTGGCGCTTTGGATTTTGAGTTTCGTCTTCGGGGCTTTGTCCGATCTGTTTATCAACAAGGGGGTAGTATCAGTGGGAACTGCAAGGAAAGTGACGACATCCATAGGCCTCTTCGGTCCAGCCTTAGCTCTTCTTGGTTTAGGCTTCGTCAGCACTGAAGACCCGCTGGCGCCCATCGTTCTCCTAGTCGTTGCAGTCGGTATAAACTCCGCAACTTACTGTGGTTACCAAGTGAACCATATAGACTTATCGCCAAACCATGCTGGAACTCTTATGGGCATTACGAATGGAGCGGCCAATATATTTTCCATCATCGCACCGCTTTCCGTTCAGTTCATCGTACCCAACGAGGTAAGTTTTCACTAAATGATGAACCACGCAAGAAAAATAAAATGTTTCCTCATTTCAGTATGACGCAGATCAATGGAAGGTCGTGTTCTTCCTCTCTGCTGGTATTTACATCATCTGCGCCATTTTTTACTTGATCTTCGGATCCGGCGAACGTCAAAAATGGGATGATTTCCAGCCCATAGGTAAATTCAACTCTTAATACTCTAATCATACAAATAATAACAATAAACGAAATTTCAGAACCAGTGAAAGAAGCGATGGAAGATAAAGAGGAAAAAGTCGAGAAGTTCTAAAAATCATGCTGATCTTTATATTTTTCATATCTTCAATATTTGTTCAATTTTATGAATGTGATTCAACTTATGTTTAGTTGTTTTTTTTTATTATATAATTACAATTATATATTATTTATTAGTGAAACAATGCAAACATATTTATTAATTTGATATTATTGTATAAGGCGTATCAAGTTTATATGTATTATTATTTTTTAAACTGTGATTATTATTCATTTTGTTTCTTGCGTATTTTGAGGGAGACGAACATGATTTCAATGAGGAGAAGAATCAGCGCAAGATATTATTGTTGTAAAGAATATATGTATATATATATATATCCGTTTCAAAATAAACAGCAACTATTTTTTAATAAATAAAAACTTTCTTTGATTTTTTTAAACACCGTTATTAAAATAAAGTGAATAATTGATATGAATATCGGGAACAAATTGATAACGAATTTAAGGTTTTGTATAAAATTGTGAAGATCGTGTACAAAAAAAACGGCACACCTTGGTGACCTTTGTCGTCGAACGCAGATATGTTTAAAAATAAAGTACCCGTCAATCATATCCTGATATCATCAATCATAATTAATTTCACATATTGAGAAAAAATGTTTAGACATTAATAAATAAAGTAATTAATTACGGTGATCACTTATTTAAATTATTACCATTTTCTAATTTCCATATTATACAAATTTATTTACAATTACAATTTTTTCTAATTACAGTGAAATTGTAAGTTCTGAACTTGTTGTTTAGGTGTTGTTCAATTGATTAGTTTTAGTTAATAGTTTCAATGCAAATCATTTATTATTACTGGAAAAAATATGTAACTTGCTTTACGAACTTATACGCAAAATCGACTTATTCTTTTATCAAATTTAAATTTTCAACTTTTTAGACATTGCTTGTTTGTTAATAATTAAATTTTATAATTTATTTTCTAAATACATTCATCTTTCGATTTACACGCTACTCGAGTTACACGGTTTGTAAATGAAAAGAAGAAAAAATCTTGGTTTTATTTTGATTGTTTTGCATTGTGCCATAAAACTATCACTTTCGTAATTATAGTATTGACAATATGAAATCCACATTATGCTTGAAATATAATTTAAAACACATATTATGGCTATCAAATTATATTAATTATTAGAAAATATGTTGAATATGGACGGTAAAAGAAACTACAGAGAATTCAATGAGTTATAAGTCGTTTTTTGTCACGATTTTAGCCCATCTTAACGAAAATTCAATCTGGTTACCTTATTAAATAAAATGAATGTTGCTAATAACATTACCCATCTCCGCTTAAATCTTAATTCATCCTGATTACGTTGGATATCAACCCTTGTCGATGATTAAATCTTTATTTTTTCATTCATTCGATGCGTATTAACTTATAGCAGTAAAAAATTATGTAACATTTCTCTATATTGAATAAAACACTGAAAAAAAAAACATATGACAGTAATTGAACTGCAACTTTTCAGAACGCTGTATTTTTTATTTGAAATTGGATTTTAATGAACCAAAAGCAAAAAATGTTGGAAAACAATTAAATGTTTTTAATTCATTTTAAATTTTCGATATGGCCGCCTTGAGCGCGAACTATAGATCTGAGTTGGTCGACAAGTTAGTCACACGCTACACGAATATGAACCTGCGGAATCTTCCTATATTCACGAAGAAGGGCTTGAATTTCGGTGGCAATCGAGTGTATTGAAATCCAGACGTAGGAAATCCCGAGTGTATCGAAATCCCGACAATTTAAAACTAATAAGATTATTAATTGTTGTTATTTATTGTTAATAACATAAACTAATTTTATTATATAATATTTCTTATTCTTAAGTTTTATAATGAATAAGTCAACGAAAAAAAATACAATAATAATTAATATTATTTATTGTTATTAAGAATAAATAACAACAATTAATAATCGGGCAAAAGAGCCATCGATCTAGGTCTTAAAAGTATTTTTTTCAGTATCCGTCGTACCTAATATAATAAAATAATTTAAAAATGTTATTGTAGAAATTATAATAAGAGAAATTGTCGGGATTTCGATTGTCGGGATTTCGATATAGTCGAGATTTTGATTGTCGGGATTATGGTAGTTGGGATTTCGATGCACTCGGGATTTCGATATAGTCGGGATTTTGATTTTCGGGATTTCGATACACTCAAGGGGTATATAAATTAGTTTTTATATATTGCACGTACATTATTAGGCAACACCATATACACAAAGAAGGTTTATATTATTGACATTTATAACCTTAAAATTGTTTCGCATCCAACTAAATCAGGATGATGAATTAAAAGATGTACAAGTTACTGGTTCTAATTGTAATCTTCGTAGGTATAACAGTTAGCGAGTCATGCTTCAAATTGGATGCATCGATAAGCCAGAAAATAGAGAATGAAGGTTTTCACAGGTAAACAATATAAATCTTAGTACTACACAATTGTTAACCCTGTTGTTGCAGGAAAATCTTATGGTTATTTGAATTGTTAGCACCAAAGAAAGAAGTGTGGGATGAATCAGGATGCACCCTATCACTTCTATTCCAAGCCAATCCAGGAATGTATGTTTATCCAGATGAAATATATGATTTGAACAAGAAGGAAAATGTAATCGAAATTCATAATAGCATATTTAATTACTTAGTTTTTAACATTTTTTAATGTAGGTTTCCATTTATGTTGTGGGTGATGTGAACATTGAAACACCAGCACATGAATCTACATCGCACAAGGCTTTTGTTTTCATAGACAACAATAATTTGGGGAAGATCTCTTTGCAGTTGCCAATACATCTTAGATATCAAAGGGCCCAAATCACTGGGGGGTCAGAGTTATGCAATTATTGCAATGTAAAAATATGTAAATATTTTATTTTTTTAGATATGGCAAAGTGTACTTAAGAAGACCTACATTACTTGCTAAGTGTCCAAAGGATGGCATTGAGATTTGTGGTAATAGTAAGAGAATTAATGGACCATGCAATGTGAGTGGTGTGGAAACTTGCTCATGGAAAAATGTTACTTATCAAGCAGTAAGAAGTTATATATTTTAATGAAAATATTCTGATAATTTTTTACACTGTTTTAGTTATTTGAAGATGTTGAACTTCTGGTTCCTATTGGTGATTTAGATGATTATCCAATAGTGGCTATATTTACATTGATGCTGGGATGTGCAGGATGCATTTATATGCTATCAATTTTATCAACAGCTTCCTTGTAATTAACAAAATGAGTTTGATCATGTACTGCCAAAATGTTCTAGTCTGCAATACATATTTAAAAATAAATAAAACTTGAAACAATCCATTATCAGTTGTTAAAAATAATCAACCTAATTGTTATCCCTAATCGTACATAAAAAGAAATTATCATATGTATATACATTAATTTATTGAAATATGTACGCACGTATATGTAGTTGCCTATAATTATTATTCATTTGAAGTTTATAGGAATCGATAAGTAATTTTCGTTCGAAGAAAATCCTTGAATTGTCCCAGATAATAACATGTAGAGATTAAAAATTAATCCTGACGTTTATGTCTGCGGTCCGTCAATTTTGATAATGCCAAGTGCAAAGCAATTTTATAAATAAATCGTTACTATTAGAATAGTTAATATTTTTGTAACTACTGCATTATCCAGTGTTAATGTAATTGAATTAATCACGTTTGCTCGTTTTAATTACAAAGAGTTAACGTATTTTTTAAAGACCAATTACGCTGTTCGTATCGGTTTGTTTGAATGACAAATGGACTAATCGCAAAATAATTACTGTACAAACACGATTAGTGGAACAAAAAAGGACGTCTATTGATCAAAAGCTATAATATATAAAACACGGAGAACATTGATAAGTATTTGGAGAAAAATAAAATAAATAATAAGAACAATATCATAATAGCAATCGTGGCATGTGTAAATGCAGACTGCGTAGTTTATTCGACGGTTATTGATCACTATATATACAAAATAACTAATGATAAAGTTTTGAATTTCAATTAATATCGCACAAGTATGTGTTGTGCTGCGTTAAAAGTTGATTAAACTTGCGTGGCCTTGGATTTGGAAATAAACGAAGGTCAAAATCAAGAAAGCCTCCCCATCACGAAAGAAAAAATAATTATAGTCGCAATCTCAAGGGTGGTTTTTGCTGAATTAATTAAAATAACATGACGCAAATGCGAGCCGCGTGTCCCTTTCGCATTTTTCCGTTACCGACAGATTGCAATCTATCCATAATAATAATAGAAGGAAGTCGCCAGAAACTTTTATTATTATTATATATTTTTTACTCCGTAGCAAAACTGAAAATCAGTTGCATGCAAAAACTATCGAAATGAAAATATCCACATTTATAATTTCATGATTGATTGAACGTTTTCATCATCTTTTAACTACTGTTTTTTTTAATAACGTAAGTACGAGTTCAATATTCATAAAATAATTCCTAAGAAATATATAATAATTATTTTTTATTTGAAATGTATTTATAATTGGTTAAAATATATTTCATAAAATATATAAAATAAACATCATTCAACAGGCAAAATGTTTGCGTTTTGCAGGTAAATATTGTTTGAACAGCAATCTGCCTTTCCAAAGTATAATTGATTCATCCAAGGCAACAACTTGATCTGGTGTATAGAACCTGCAGAATTTCTCATTCAAATCATTTCTTAGCATCATTATTATTTGCACATTTGATTTTTTTTAATTCAACTGATATCGATCTCTTGTCATTACATGACCAAAAGCAGGAGTGCTATGTAAAGAATCTGTTGACCAGTACAAACCAATGGTTGATTATGCCCATAAGCAATGTCAGACCAATAAAATTTAATATTTCCGACTTGGTAACATGTACCCTGCATTTTTTCTTTGCTACTATTACAAAACAATTCATCAAATCATCATCTATAACGAAATTACGAAATTGCAATGCACAACATGACGAGACATACTCATCAGTCGCACATGGGGATACACTTTCATGACGAGACATACTTGTCCTTCGCAGTAAAGGGGTTAATATTAAGAAAAATAATAAGTTCTAAGCAATGAGATTAAATTAATATATTTCTTCATAGCAATAACTATTAAAAAAAATGCAATATTTTTGTAATTTAGACAAAACACATGGAAAAAAATATTAATTAGTAATATTAATATTTATTTATCATACCTTTGTTTATGTGCACATTTTGCGCTGTATAAAGTTTTGAAATCGGATTGTTGATTGATATTTGAAAATATATCATAAATTAGAGTTGCGTGGAATAATAATTCATTTATTATAATTAATAATAAAACTACATACATATATTATTATAATATTACTATTGATTATTATAAATATAAATGAATGCGCATTAATTGGATATCAACTTGTTCATCCACGTATCCATCTCCTTCCTGCTATCAAAAATAAGAACTTATTATGGCTATTTTTGTAAACTTTAAGAAAACCTATTTGGGAGACACATTACTGATGAATCTCATAATAGTAATAATAATTACATTGCATATTTGTGTTATGAATAAATATACTAAATATATATTGAATTAATCTATCTTACATATTCAATTAATTATTCATACAAGTAATATAAATGTTATTAAATCAATTAATTTATAAGGTATATGTTAGAACGCGTTCGAATTCGAAATGTTATTGATTTCGATACATGTTCCAACACGTAATAATTTAGTAAACACTTTAGTTTAATTGGTGTCCCGGCATTTAAGTCTCGTGCATTCCTATCGATTTCAATTTACGCTTTTTTCGTTTCCAAATGTAAATATATTATATAACCGATCTATAACCTAACATTATCTAGCCTTCACAAATTAATGCTGATCGATACCGAACCATTTTTCGAAACTCTTTAGCGCGAAAAAAATAAACACGAAGAAAAGACGCGTTAATTACATTATGCTTTGGATTATCGTACTTTCAATGGGAGTGCCCTTGCATTAGTGGAGCCTTGAATAAAAATACGCAGCTCGTTGGTAAAGAAAATAAAAAAATGGCATTTACGCTATCCACATAAAAGTAAATAAAGTAAGTGTAATAAAGATGTCAAATACGCAACCTCGGGATTGGATTTTTTTTATAAGGTTATAAGGCTCGTTTCGCACTTTAATGCGAAGACGCGACTACGTTCTTGTGTTTTTTTTTCTTGAGAAAACAAAAATCGATTTTGTGCACTTAAATATGCGCCGGCGATTGGAATCTTGATGCAAGTTCAAAATTCACGTATTTAGTGGAAGAAAAAAAGCTGAATATAAAAGTTTCGTCCGAAAATAGAAAACAAACGTGAATTAAATTCCCATTTTTTTTTTGTAATTCGTGGATATTATTTAATGGTAGTTTTAGATAATATGTGCCGGAAGCTTTTCCGTCTATTATTCATCGAAGATAAATTAATAAAGAATTCTAGGATCATATAGTGTTCGAATCGCATCCGGAGCTATTCTTGTATTAAAAGAGCCGTTGCCATGGGTACGATAGGTTTCAGCGAGCGAAAGCGTCGCGACGCATACACACACACTAGAATCTCGGGCCTCTATTGTTCCGGTCGCGCGCTACCACGATTCTTGCGTAACGCTAGGAGAAAACGTGACTTTGTAAAGACGGACGATTGACAAATGTATTTTTGTGTGAAGCGACTGTCTTGAAATAAATGTGAGTGAATATTGTAGACAATGGCTTCGAATCCGCCGTCGAGTTCAGACAGCGATTCGTCCCGGAAGCCGCCAACGGGAAGTGTGCAAGAGAGATTGATGGTTGCGGTGCGAATACGACCATTAAAAACGGATGAAAATCAGCGAGTTCTTTTCACAACCAACAACAAGGTAAATTACTTGATATTTTTGAGGCAGGAAAATTTATGAGGATATTACATTCGGTCAATAAATACAATTAATTTAATTTGGAATTAATTATTGTTGATAACTCAGGTTTTTAAATGAAAATTTCATTGGACTAATGCAATTAATTCGATTGAGTTAAACGTCACTTTAAATTGATTCATTCCAAATGTAAATGCATGCGGAGATCTGAACGCTATGATTATGCAGCGACAGTACATTTTTTTTTAGTTTCCAGCGGTACATCGCGGTCGGGGAAAATATTCGTGCCTTGTGTTAATTAATTCGCAGCTCGACATAAATCGCCGTTACATGTTTCTCTTTTTCCTGTGCATTATTTATGCATTCACTCTAAAACGGCGGAATAACAAACCGAAACACGGCATGCCGAATCAATTTTTACAATGAAATAATTGGAAACCCCGGCGCATCCACATTATGTGTATTATACTTATATTATTTACTATTATTTTACAATTAGAGATCACTCGTATAACACAATATTGTGTAGTTTGTGTTATTGAGGATTAAAAATCAATGTACAATTGATTGTTACGTTGCAAATCTATTAACATTAATCTATGTACGTCGTAAAAACAATTTTAATAATGTATACCTTCACGTAATAATTTAACTTTTCAGCTAAAATACGTCACATGCTCAATTTGTTTTTACGCAAATACAAGAAACTTGCATTTTATTTACATTACAGCAATACCTCTTCGATCAGTCCGGTTTGAAAATCTCAAAACAAATTAATTTTTTATTAAGGAAAATAATAATAAATTTTAAGAAAGTAGTACACAACATTTATATATTTAAAAAATGATCGGCTTTTCCTTTATGTTTCTTGATTAGTCCTACATTGATTAGTTCTACATTAGTTTTTTTATGAATACTTTCAGTTATATCGAGATTGAAATATCCTAAAACAGAATTTGAAAAAAAAACTCATGTTATGATAGTTTTGGACACAATTCTATATTTGAGATACCAATTGTCCACTTGTTCTAGAACATACATTTTTTGCTTTGGAACTAATTTTCACTTAGTTTCATAAACTTTGGAGGCGCATCCTCCAATTACATAAATGTCCTAAAATTGAACTAAAATGTTTTAACTAATTAACAAAAAAAAGCAAAATTAATTTACATACACACTTTTCTTTTAAATATTAAATGGGTTTCTTTTTTCATAACATAAAATAAAAAGACGATAATACATGGAAACAAATTTACGTCGCAGTCAAAGCAATTCGTTTAAAAACACTCACACGTAATAAAATATTCCGCATGGTCAATGCCACGCCGTCGTGACGCCCATATACAACTCGACACTTTTGAAGAAACGATATAAATCATTTACAAGCTTTTATACAAATAATGTAGATACTCAATTCTTTTCTAATCTAATTGACTTGATGTTTCAATAAACTTGTTTACGAAATAATATCGATCTTTTTTTTGCATTCTGTAAATATTGACTTACATTTTGAATACTTTATTATAATAAGTACATAATTTTTGGTAGCGTGTATTAATATATTTATCGAAATTACTTCTTTCATGTATGAAACCAATTTTTTTCCAATTAATTTTAAAAATCTTGTTAATTTTTGTTTAATAAATAATATTGTTTGAATATAATTAATTATTATGATATTAACTACATGTAATTCAAAACTTAACGTTCTAAAAATCTTTATTATACTCAATTGCATTTTTGGAAAGTGAAATAAGAAAAAAAAATAAAACTCAGATATACTTGTTTATAGTGATATGAAAAAAAGGTAGACTTTTGAAGCGAACAATAAAGTATTCGGTTGTTACATAAATCTATTCGTTTTTTAAAATTAAAATTCAAAAAGGTATAGATTCTAAAAAAGCCATAATTTTGTATCACTGTAGCCCAACGTTCAGGCAATTTCATGACAACATCTCTCCGGAAAGCTCTCTTTACCGTCTGGAGAGCTCCCATCTGTAACTCACCATTCATGAAGCAGGGATACCACTTATACGACGCCACTTGAGTTGCGTTTTTCATTTTTCTATCATAATACTGCATGAAATGGCACATATTGTCGAGTTTTTCTTATATTTCACAAGGTCACAAACTAGATAGGAAATTTAAATAAACTTTACACTAAAGGGTAGCGACAACTAAACACTACAACTATCGTTATCGAAATAGTCTCTTCCACCTATTCTCTATCCACTATGCGGCAAAATAAGTACGGACTTATGTAATTACGCAATATTTAAAGAAGAGAAACAGATAATATAAAATTAATTCTAAAAGTTATATTTTAAAGTAAAACATGTTTCATTTCAGGTTGATTTAGTACTTTCAGATAAATAAGTATGGACATGATTGTTGCACATTAAGCAAAAACTTAATTTTTTAATAGTTAATGTTCTGTAAATAACTTATTAAACAAACTTTTTTTACTAGAAATAGAAATAAAATTTCCATAAGTTTTAGTATCCATAAACTCTAATTTCAAAGTATAAATTAAACTGTAAAAATAATTTTAAATAATCAATGTTAGTATTAAAATATAATAAAAAGAATTTATTAAAAATATTAACTCGTTATAATTCATTTTATCAAGTCAATGATAATAATAAAACAAAATAGAATTAATTGCTGATCGAGCTAATACTAAATAACTGTTATAATTGACATTGTTTGATAGTTGATAGTTATAATTACAATTAATGTTAATGTGTTACTCATAAACATGATAATATAACCAATTAATTTAACAAATTACTTAGTTTTTCATACACTAAATGAATTTGATTATATAAGATTTCACATATTTTTTTTACTGTAATAGATAACTTATATGATATAACATGCATCAAATGCATCTAACATATAAAATTACCGAGTTTTCTTTAAAAATATAAATATTTCAAGTGAAAATAAGTAAGTCGGTATTTTTTTTTATTTGAAAATTTCGTGTGATATACTACTACTACTACTAGTACTACTAATTATTAGCAATACCTTTATATAAAGTACAAAGAAGTAATTAATTAAAATAGCCTATTAAGATTATTTCTTAACAAACAACGTAAATTACACTCTAAGAGATAATAATTAACAATAAAAATTACGAAGTAAGTTTACCAAAGTAGGTAAAACACTTTTTTTAATATTCAGATTTAATTAAAATGTGCACGCATTAGACATACCAAATCTAATGTCTTATCACTCAGACTTGTTCAAATTTTAGAATATATATTATCCTTGTAGAACTAAATTCTACCCCGACACTTGTGGGTTCCATTATGAGGTGACATTTTATTTAGTTTTTCTTCAGTTTGATTCAAATTACAAATTACCGGTATTTGATGTCAAAATTTACCGGTAATTTCGGTAATAGTTTACAGGTAATGGAATCCCTAATAACATATAATATTATTAAAATAATTACAGAAACAATTATTTGTTTGTATGTTTTTTAATTTGTATAATCTATAGAAGATTGTTATTAAAAGCTAATATTTGATTATTAACCTAAAACGTTTATAATGACATTTAATGCAACATTTCAGTAATAATTATGTATTATTATGTATTATAAATATAGTTTTTCTATGTTTGTATTCAATGTATTAGTGGAAGGACCAATTGAAAACCTTTTATTATATTGAATTGTTCAAACAGTAATTTATTTTTTACCCACGAATGAATATTTAATTATTAATGATTTATATATTCAGCTTAATGCTAATACTTTAATCATTGTATAACTTATATTATACTGTATAATTTAAAAATTATTTTTTAAGAATATGATTCGTTTTTTTGTAAGAGAAATAACTTTTAATGACCAATTCTTATCGAAAACTAATAACAAATGCAGTTTTACTATAAAAGTATCCCCTGACTTACGAACTCCCAGACTTACGAACAAAATTCTAAAAGTTCTAATTTGTAACAAGAAGATATATAGAGATAAAAAAGTAATTGTCCAAACAAAAAATGATAATTTCTTGAATAAAATATAATATTTTTGGAAGATGTGCTATCTGTTTTGTTGCATTTGTTTCTTTTGTCGTTTTTTATTAAATAATTGTCTACATTGAAAAGTATTTTGTATATTTTAATCTATTTTTTCAAATGTATGCAGTCAGAAATACGGAATTTAACTTATATAAAAGTAAAAACCATGATATAGTGTGGTACGATAAGTATATTTTGAAATTTATAAAATTCCCCGACTTACGAACAAATTCGACTTACCAACAACCCTGGGAACGGAACTAGATCGTAAGTCGAACAATCGATTTTAATGTTTACTTACATTTTGAACATTTTATTGGAATAAATTGGTAATTTGTTTATTATGTTATATATTAATTTTATATACTTATTTAATGAGTGAAACTAAATTTGCAGGAAAATAAGTACTAGTTAATAAGTCTTGATGGCTACTTGTTAGGACAAATGCAATTTTACTACAATATTATTTAATGCAAATTATATATTTCTTTGTGATATTAGAATAAATGTCTAAATTTATCTCATGGACTAAATATTACAGAATGTCGGGACTCTGAAATTACGGTTGAACAAACTCCAATGGAAACGAAACTATACAATGGTTCGATACTACTACCAGACATCGTACTATAATTCCCCTGACTCGTCTTATTAATTCCGTTTGAACTCCGCTTGAGAATTAAGTAGAGTAGGTGAATAAGAAATTGCACGAAGATAATAAAAATGACGAAACAATCTTTAATTTATATAAATATAAACTATTGCATATGTTTCATAAATTTAATGATTAAATTTGGAATAATTCATGGTCATAATAATATTTTTTCTTTATTTTTTTTTTGTATTTATTTACAGAACGTGATTATCGGAGATTACGCCGATAAAAATGACGTTTTACGGCAGAAGCGCGGTTCCGACAAACAATACTCTTTCGACGTTGTCTTTGGGGAAGATTCTACGCAGGAGGAGGTTTACGAGAAGACGACAGGGAGTTTAGTCAAAGATATCTTAAATGGGTGAGTGCTTTTGCAAGTCGTTTCTAATTACGTCATGAAAGGAGATTAGTGGCATGTTTTGTGGATATTAACCGTCGGTTGAATAAATTAGTCGTACCGGCACTACGGCTTGAAGATGAGTCACATTCGCAAATTGATTTCCGTTCCTTTTTCACTGTGCTGTCTTTTTCCACTTTTGCAGATACAATGCGACGGTATTTGCATACGGCGCCACCGGTGCCGGAAAGACGCACACGATGGTCGGAGATCCATCTCAGCCTGGTATCATGATTAGGGCTTTGAACGACCTTTTTAATGCCGTCAAGGATAAGCAGGATCAATACTCGGTGAGCACATACACATATTCATAGAAATCAACAAAAAAAAATAAGAGACACACACTTTCACTCCATTTAACAATAAAATCAATTACATCAGAATATATTATTACTAACAAAAAAACGTGCCGTAAACAAGTGCGCTTAAAAAGAGTTTATGAAAACAAGGGTATTTATTTGTTTTTATCTCCCTCGTTTAGCTCCACGGAAGCGTAAACGTTTGTAATTCTTTTCATTTACATTTATACATCGCCTAATTATCATGTATATAGGATCGTGCATTAGTTTCAAGCAGAGCATTAAAAATTCCATTCTATATCCTATATCCTTACTAACAAAATTTCACAGGAAATAAAAAAAAACTCCGAAAAAAATACATCACCCTGTCTTGTTGTTATTTAATCTGTTATTATATTTCCAGAATTTCCAGACATTTTGTATTATTTTTCGAACGATTTTAATACAGAAATGTTTGTAAAAAAATATAATTTTGTCATTGCATTACATTTTATATAAAATTCGAATTTAATTTAAATAAGTCCGATTCTTGTTTGTGAATATCATTAATACACCATTCCTATGATATATTATTTATTATTTTTAAGGTAGGAAAACCGTCAGAAGGACCAATATTATATAAACTGATCATTACCATTTATATCATCAAAAATTCTTCTCGAATCTATTATTTATGAAAATTATACAATATTAGATCAATAATTTGGATTTCTGGTCAAACTAACAATACTAGTCAGATGAATATTCCTAGAAGTTTTAATTTTAAAAGTGCTACGTCATAGTTTAAGAATATATAAATCTATTTAAACCTACAATTAAATGAATTCTAAACTTAATATATTCTGTAAAGAAAAATAAAACTTTAGAAAGATTGAATATGCTTAGAAGAATCATGCGATCAAATACGAAAAAAATAAAGAAAATCAAACATCGAAATTAATAGGTTAATTTAAGGGTGCGCGACAAGTCGGCGACGGACAAGTGGGCGACTGACACTTTAAAATAAAATTTTAACAGATAATAGAACATAACATAAATTTGATATATATCAAAAATAAAATGAAAATAATTATAAAAATTCCATAATAAAACAAAATATCTAAAGATTCTTCATATTTGAGTTTTTTTTATTTATTTTCAATTTTTTATTGAAAATTGGATTTTGTTTTTTTTTATATATATCAAATATATTTTATTTTCTATTATAATAAATTATTGTTATTATCATAAGCGAATATGTTAAAATGTTATTTTAATCCTTAATTTAATTAACAATAATCTAAGAAACATAGTAGAACCACAAGAAGATGCGCGTTTTGGATTAACACGAGTAGTAGTGAATTATGTATGTGCATTTTTAAAGTTTCTACAAATGTACAAATAGAAATTAAATGTTTTTAAAATGTTTCCATTTCTAATTTAAATTTCGTAAATCTTTGACGTGCGATTTTAATTTATGTGGTCCCTATTTTGCAGACCGCGATTCTTACCTTCAATTATCACATTTTCGCAAATATAAGGTTTTATTTACATAACAGCAACTTGGATTGAATAATATGAATTTTCTCTGTCTTATTTCCATTTACTATATATCTATGAATAATCACACTTACTCGGAATAAAGTTCAAATCTTGATCCGTCTGCAAAAAAATTTGTGATGTGTTATTGAATAAAAAATACAAAATTAAAAAAATATAATATCAAAAACAAAATATATTGTTATTGCATTTGGCTTAAGTGTTTTAGTCTATAAATATTGATGAATTGAAAATATTAATGTATAAATAATTTCATATGCATGAAATTTCTCATCTTTATTATTTTTCAAATAAAAAATTATCTTTAGTTTACTTTTACGATAATCCACGCGTTTGAAATTAAAAACATACAATATTTTTAGTGCTCTGCATGTAGCGTAGACGTAATTGTTTACTTATTTACTGTAATGTAGTCCTTTAGTATTATCCAAACCGAAAAACATAAAATAATTGCTACATAAGTAAATAACGTAGTTAGCGATAAAAATAGATTGCTTTGATGGCATTGGTAACCCAAAATTTGTCTCTCGCATGCAAATAATGGTTTATCGATAATTCTTAACTATAAGTTTCGTGCGCCTTGCGTTAATTGAGATATCCAAATATCTTCGGTAATTACAATTCACTCAAGGATATTTAGAAATGTGTGACTAATGTACTTACAGTTTTTATAATGATAGCATTAAAGTGTATTAATATTTAATTATTGATGACGGATTGCTTCTCTTTTATTGATGTAATCGTGTTTGCACTAATGTTACAGCCTAAAGAAGAATTAAATATTTAAGTTCATGTTTATAGAACGTTGTGCGAATTTTAAAATGTGTGTCTCCAAGGCTGCAAAGAAAATAATAACGTGCAGAAGTAATGAAAGTCGGAAACGTTTCCGATTTGAAATATTTAACCTTACTCCATGAATTATTTATTGGGAGTTTCCATTAGCAACAAATTATAACACGTGCTTTGAATAATAATTAGAAAGAAACGAACGAATTTATCAGAGTATATAAGGTTTTTCATCAAGGACTTTTTTTTTAATTTGTCTGAAATAGTAATTATTTAAATATTCAAAGGGCTATTGACCTTTCTGTCTATTTAAATATTTAATAATTATATAAGTATATAATATATGTTTCATTTCATTGTTTTCAAATTGCTATTTAAGATAACAGAAATATGTATTACAATAATGATAATATATTAATAATAAATAGTTTATTTTTCCAGTCCTAAAATGTATCTTCTTCAATCAGATTTCCATGATTCATAATCTTCTCATACATTTGTCACATATTTTCATATCTTTAAATTATAGCCGCAATTTATTTATTGTTAACGTAATTTATTTTTGATAAAAGTATACAGTTTGGTCATTACTATACGCTTTTAAAAATATTGCTTTATTTTTACATCTATAGATTATTTAAAAATTGCGATGTAATATTGTTTATTTATTAACTTCGCTCACACATTAGGCCATTATGCACGCTCAATTATTTCTGACTTTATTTGATTTATTTAAATATTTACGAGTGCACAATTCTTAGGTGACGATGTCCTATCTGGAGATATACAACGAGCAGATCAGAGATCTATTGAATCCTGGCTCCGGTTATCTTGAATTGAGAGAGGATGCCAGAGGCCGCAGCATTCAAGTCGCTGGATTAACAGAGATATCAACGAATTCAACAAATGATGTATGATATTAAAGTACCATGAAAAAAAAAATGTTTTTTGTGTTATCGATAACATACGCAAAGTATATCGTGTTATACCCAAATTTACTATACAATTAAGATTTATATCAATTTTAATTTGAATAAAACAAGTCCCTCAGATTAAAAATTAATATTTAATTTAAAAGATTGTTCTAATTAATTATGTGAGATTATAAAATTACAACTATATATCGTGAATAATTAATTTTGTTATAGCAAATATAATATCAAGTTTAATATACTCTTGATATTTGGAAACTTGGTATAAACATATTTTATGATTTTGTTGGTCATGATTTAAATCTTGCTATTTTTAATTATTTTGATTATCAATTTTGAGTGTCAGTTATACTTAATACTATATACTTATGTATATTTAGGTGATGGTTCTACTGCAAAAGGGAAATAAGGCTAGAACAGTGGAGCCTACGGCTATGAACAAGACTTCCTCTAGAAGTCATGCACTATTAAGTGTGACCGTGAAGCAAACGATTCCAATTGATAAGAGAGATCATCTGAGGATGAGGGTGAAGCAAGGAAGATTATTTATGATTGATTTGGCCGGTTCAGAGAGAGCAAACAAGACGAAGAACCGAGGAAAACGATTACAAGAAGGAGCCCACATTAACAGATCTTTGCTCGCTCTTGGTAATTGCATAAATGCTTTGAGCGGAGGCGCCAGGTACGTGAATTACAGAGACTCGAAGCTCACCAGGTTACTAAAAGAAGCGCTCAGCGGAAACTGTCGGACAGTGATGATAGCGCACGTAAGTCCTTCTGGTAACCAGAAGGATGAATCTCGGAATACGCTGATTTACGCGGACAGAGCAAATCATATCTCGAATAAGGTGGAGAGAAACGTTCTAGATGTGAATTACCACGTTAACCAATACCAGACTGTGATCACTGAGCTGCGCGGTGAAATAGTCAGACTACAGCAAAAGATGACCGAGGAGAGACCAAGATCGGCGGACATCAAGCTCAACGCCGAGCAGCGCAGCGCTGAAGTTAAGAACATCAGGGAACAAATTGTGGAGACGTTCAAGACACAGATGAAGCTCAGGAGGAAGCTGATGGAGATCGACTCACACTTACTCGGAATCGGTATGGAGGCAGAACGCCAGCATCTAGTCATCTCCAACTGGGAATCGCGAAACAACAAACTGTACAAAAACAACTTAAACATGTCTCGAGCCCAAACGCAGCAAAGCCTCAGGTTAAATTAGACGAAGGTGTTAAAGGTTCGATTCGGAAATATTAATTTAATTTTTTAGAAGAAAACGAACTGTAACGGCAGATAGTTTTCATTCCGCTGATAATGAAGATTCCTCCGATTTGGATGCGGAGACTGAAGGCGAAGTAGCAGTACAGCACGCCTGGGGTGAATTAGCTGACATTGAGAGAGAACAGGAGAGATGGTCTGAACTGCGGACGACAATCGAACAGAAACTGGAAGTCTGTCGACAGCGAGGCGTTTCTCTGGAAGATGTAACATAGACAATTGCGACTTTTATATATTGGTGATAATTTTTGTTTTTTTGTAGAAATTGCCTGCATTATTATCTTCAGATGATGAGCGCGAAATACTAGCGCTAATGTGCCGCGTTCATGAGTTGGAAGCAGATAAAATGGCTCTACAGTCGGAGCGATTGGTACGGCAGCATGAACTTAGGCGAAGAGACTTGGTTATCTTGAGATATGATAGGCAGAGGCAGCTCTGCGAGGAAATTATTACCAGGCAAAGACAACTCATGGAAGGTTCAAACAATGCAAATAGAAAAAGAAGCAATAAATACTTTTAAATGTTTTTCCAATTTGCAGATGGTCAACTGAAGCTTCCTCTAGACTTACAAGAACTGTACCTAATTTACCAGCAGGAAATCCACGCGTCCACATATGCCGACTATTCGATATCCTCGTTGATGACGCCCGACAGCAAACTACCACCGATTAGCAAAATGTAAGTGAAATTCTGAAAGTGCTCTTCCTGTTCTATTAAGTATCGTCCCGTGCAGATATAGTGATCCAATGTTTAGGAGAGGAACCGCGGCCGGAAGCAGTCCTCCCTCTTCGGCCGAATCTGATGCGGATCCTCTGCCATCGTTGAACGATCCGAGCGTAGACCGTGTTATGGGTCATCCGGTATCCAGACCTGGATTAGGAATGAAATTACCGCCGCTGCCTCCCAGTCCGCCGATCCGAATCTCGAGAACGGCAAATTCTAGCTCCAGGTACATTTCTATAATCCGATGAACCATTTTTTGTTTGTGCACCAAAAGTTACAATATATATTATACATTATATATTATACATTATATAAAGAATTGTGATAATGTATAATAACAAAAATTAATGAGAAATATTATTGAAAAAAAGTATATATAGAAATATAACTCACCATAAACTTTGTCGCATAAAAATCAATAAAAAATGTTTATTGATGATTTTATTGCTGTCCTTTATTGAATGGTAAATGTTTTCAAGTTAATATTTCGTAAGCTTCAGTAATATATACAGTGGTACCTCGATATACGAATGCATAATATACGAGTGTTTTGAGATACGAGCCGCCGAGCAAGCGATATTTTGCTTTGAGATGAGAGCAAGATTTGAGATACGAGGAATCGCACACTACACCACTGCACACGACCCCAACATGCGCGCATGCTTTGAGATACGAGCAATTTGACATACGAGCAAGGTTACGGAACGAATTAAACTAGTATATCGAGGTACCACTGTACGTCAAATTAGATTTAATATTAATTTTAAATTAAACTATCTTTTATAAAATTCATTTCAGAAAGTCATGACCCACACGAATATGTATAGAATCAAGTTGTCAATACAGCATTTGAACGAGTTTTAATACAGTCAAAGTTATATGTATTCTTCTGCATAATACATTTTTAATTGACCTCATTAATTGATAATTATTATTTTCTAGTCATTTTTCAAATCGACTAAATTTTATTTTCGATTTAAACTGGTTTGAAAAATCTTCCATATCTTCAAAATTCAGTATCCAAATTGAGTTCACCTTCTGATTTATGCTAATTGTAACTTTGGCAAAAAAATCAATGACTGAATAAAAGTAAAAAAAAATGTTTAGAAGATTATAGATCTGTAAATAACATCAAATACATGTAATTTAACTTTCATTTATCTGATCATTAGATTAATAGACAATGACTGTTCGATTTAGTATAGAAATTTAATATTTAATTCAATTCAATATAAACACATATAATATATTAATTAAGAAAATCATTTGAAGTCCGCTATTAGGAAAAATGATTTAGAATATCTAATTATTATTCACAAACCAATTACATTTCTAAACGAGCTATTTTGTCAGTACTGTAATTACGGCATAGATGAATTGAACAAAACATAATTTTTTTCTGTAGATTCCATTCACTATTTCTAGCCAAAATAATTATGTTCGCATATTAACCATGCTTTGATATATTTTCCTTGATTATAAAATTTCTCGTGTTAACTAAAAACTATCATCAATTTTGTTTAATTATGAATTGTATTGAGGAATAATAATTTATTTGGTAAAAGTAAAACAAAGTACAAACGGCGAATTTCCTAAAATATTTTTTTATAATGCCATTAAAATTTTGTTACGTGCCTGATATAGACGATCGATCCACTCGTAATTATATCCGTGAGTCTTATCAATTTTACATTTGGACACAATTAAGGTCAAGTCATTTGCCGCGTCTTCAAATGGAAATCATGTATTAAGGAAATAATAAACGGGGGAAACGCATTTCCGTTCGATTAATGTCAAGAATCAATCATCTTTAAATGCTATCTATTAATCAAACTAGAATTCCCCAACGATGTGAATAATTAACCAAATCTTGAAATTAAAAAAGACTTATTATCTTTTTGGATAAACCGGACGATTGGGTACGTACGATTTATCCAAAATGATAATTTAAATAATTGTATATCTCCATATATACAAGGCTTTATAAAAAGTTTTTAATGAAAAATAATAATATGTTCACATACAGTGGAACCTCGCTTAACGAGCACTTCGCATAACAAGCATTTCACTTAACGATTAAAATGAATTGTAAGAAAATGTCTTGCTTAACGAGAGACGTTTCGCATAACAAGTGACGATGAGAAGACATGTCCTAGATTGCGCGCCTGCTACATCATTTTAAAAACTTATGTACGCATATTATATGTATTCTTGAATATGTTTCACTATACGAGTAAAAATCCGGAAATGTTGAAACGGATTAAACTCGTTAAGCGAGGTTTCACTGTACATAAACGTCTGCAAAATTATCTAAAACTAAAGTAACGATTCAAAAACTATTATCAAACTATAACACATGATTTGAATATTTATTATAAATCTCAAAATATGTTTGTTTTTATTCTGTGTTTCTATAACAAATGTGTTAAATTAGTGGTCCTTAACACCAAGGACCGTCTCGTTGTAAGGAACCGTCTCGTAAAGAAAAAAGCTCATGGTTCTCATTGATTTAGCGTTCAGTGACTTAAAATATTAAATCACGATAAAAAGGTTGGGGAGCACTGTGTTCAAAAATTAGAAGAACAATGTTTCACATAAATGTTTCATTCATATAAAAAACCTACAACGATGTAGTAAAACATATATATATATATATAGTACAAATATGCAAGATATGAGACTATGCTTAATTAATTAACGAAGTTCTATTACGTCATATTTCGCGGATAACGCAGTAGACGAAACATTCGTGCGCATCACATGATTTCTTGCTTTGTGCGGCTCAGCTACATCAATTGGTAATTGTATACTCAAAAAGATGTTAAACATAGTAAGAAGTGAAAATCAACAAGCTTTATCAGGACTAAACACAAATACAAGCACCAATAAAGTAACGTTTACAAACAGATGCGCGCAATAAAAATTTACTGCGTTTGAAGTTGTACTTCCGACACAATAAGTACGTAATAAATTTAATTTAAAAGTCACTTTTTTCTTAAAGATATGATCAATTAATATTTTACTTTCTGCTTTAGATCAATGTTTCTTAACCTGTGGATCTCGACCCATAATCGGGTTTCGTATTTTATTTAATGGGTCGCGAAATGACATCTGTCACCTTGCGTCACTGCTATTAATTGATGAAATATATTTTTTCTTATTATTTTTGTAATGAAAAAATCAATTGACTATTTAAATATTATAACAAATTTGAGTGTTCAATTTCAATTAGAATTATATAATATAATTGATTGTACATATCTTGCCAGTTCTACAAGAATTTAAAGCTATTCACGTAAAATGTGCATAGATAATAAGAATATGTTCAATGTATGTGTTAAAATTGTCAATTATATTAAAAAATGATTTAAGTTTCATTTTTTGATATAAAACTACGATCAGCCTTTATACTATTTTTGTTTTATTAAATTTTGATTATTAACATATTTATATTAATAAAATAAAATATTTTACTTTTTTTTCTGTTTCAGTAGCAATAACAACTTGGGACATATGAGGCGAGCAATGAGCGAAAATATTCTCAATGAAGATATCATGGAATGAACAAAACGATCTGTAAATTGTATTAATATTAAAGAATTAATTAATAAACATTTTTATGAAAAACTACTGTTTGTATTGAAAATACCATATAAAATAAAAATAAACCGAAACAAAAAAATTAATAAGTTTGTATACAAAAAAAAAACTATTATAAACAATTTCACGTTTGAATCACATACTAATAAGAGCGACCGGATTAATACTTACATAAATTATAGCATATCAATATTCAGGTAAACCAAAATGCCAATACCAATAAACCAACAATCAATAAAAGAACTTACACATGTAATAGGTAAGATATACAATCCTAATCCATCGACACCTACAAAACGATCCATTTTCACGACGATCAAGTGGATGCTTCATTACTTTCTATGCATACAAATACTTATTAGTAATTTCTCAAGTAAATGACAAAACATGTATTATTCCTTACATTTGTAAAATAGACCAAGAAGAAATTTTTAGTGAATTAAAATTAAAATTCACGTAATAGAAAAGTGTACATCTTAATAAAACGACAAATGACATTTAAAACTATTGACTGTGAGTATTTACTATGAGGGCGAAATGTTTTTACACTTTTCTAAATAAAAATAATATTCAGAACAAAAAATAAACCAACAAATAAATTATTTAAAACAATTTAAAATTATATAATACTTTAATTTTGTCATACTTTCTTAAAGATGTGTTTACATATACTGTTAGATCAAATACAATTAAACAAAAATCTGAATTTATTTTGTGTGTGTTTCTTTGCTTCATAATAGAAATTACTCTTTTTTTATAATTAGAAGTATTTTCTAATAATAATAATATTTATTAATCACAAAAATGTGACCAAAGGGCTATCGACCTAAGTCTTTCCGTCCACAGGCACAAAAAAAACATATACATTGACACAAAAAAATCATACAAAAAAAATGCATTCCGAAAAAAAAGAGACGTACGTATTATAAAAAAAGATGAAATAATAAATAAACCAAATAAAAGTAAATCTTCTCGAAATAAAAGAAATAATAATTAATTTTGTGGCATCATTCGGCTGGAGAATGATAAAATTCGTCCGGACACGGACACGGTCTTTCATGATGAAAGACCCGGCAGTCGCCTGATTCATACTCGTAGGAAACTCACGCTCCGGGTTATCCATGTCGAACATCAAAACATAAACATGATGTCCCGAAAAACAGACGTGAGTTCAAACATTAAAGTTTCAAGCGCTGCAGCAACTCTGAGCGATTTTCTGCATTCTTTAGCGAATTTAATTTGTTAATGTAAGTGTTGACTATGTGGCCATGTATTGTTAACGGTAGTATTTTCTATTTTACTAAACTTAATCGATTATGTTCTTTTTGAAATTATGTTGATTGAAGTTAGAATATAGACCAATATTCAAAAGAAGCCGGACTCGTAGATCGATTAATTAAAACTATCTATGAAAATAAATCATTATTACATGATGCTAAAGAACAAACTATCTTTTGAAATAATATATTTTCACAAAATGAGCATAAACGCTTAGTCACATTGACAATATCAATCAATTTTACTAACTTATTAAAATATTTGTTGATATCTATCTTATAGGGCAACTAATAGTCGAATGGTAAAGTCGACCTGTGCCAGTGGTCACAGATACAAATCCTGGTCAAGCATGGTTAGCATTCTCGGTGCCTGTAGCATTAGGGCCATCGTTCATCATAGATAGACAGTCAAATGAATGAGGTTCAGCAGTCGATGGAAAATGACAGTGTTAAGGATAGCAGCAGATTCAGAGTCAAAGGAAATAGTGGAATTGTAGAGAATCAATATACTATTGAAGTTAACCTATAAGACGACAGCCAACCTACAAATTAAAAATTAAAAATCATCATAATGAGCGATCTTAAATTTGCTCAATGTTCCCACTGGTAAACAGATTGTAAATAAAATTACAGGACATAAAAAAATATCTATCTTATTACAATGGCTGTCAAACATATTTCGTTGCTAAAGGCTGTTTGAAAACCGATACCATCAATCAGATTTTAATTGACATCTTCTGCTTAGAAAAGAACTAATAATAGTGCTACTAGCAATTATCCAACAATAAATAAGCATTGATGAATCAAAATAAAAAGCTGTAGAAAATTAAAACATAAAGCTGTAGTTGGGCATAATAATAAATATTTATTAATTTAAAATGTTTATTGATCTAAGCGGTAATCATTAACAATTCAAGATTGCGGCTCGATTGTTTAAGGATGGATAGAGAAATGTAAATATATCTCGCTCCATTAAGTACAAAAGAACACCGAAGCCGCTATAAAACGTTAAATTAGTCAATATTTGAGAGTCGCTACAGTTATTTGACTAATAAATAAAAAATAAATAAATATAATACAATACAACGAGCACATATAAATAAATATGTATAGAAAGGAAGAAAGTGTAAATAGTATAAAGTAAAATAAACAGTCGAGATTCGAATCGTCGTAGCCTCGTCGGATATAAAAATAAATAATAATTAGAAATACTGACACGGTAGTCCAGGTGAATGATTTTCTTTTGAATGAATTACAAGAGGTAGACGAAGCTCCAGTAGAAAACGTTAAAGATTATAAAGGCTACGGGGAAGACGAAACGCGAGCGTTTATCGATCCAGATAGCGATTTCCTGAGGAGTCATCGTCGTCCAACTGGGTGGTTCCAACACTGAAGGCATATCGATAGTTGTGAAGCTGCCTTTGCTCGGAGGGATCAAGTCGTCCTCGCTTTGCATGGTAATCGTTGGCACTTCGAAACTGTTGAAACTCTGCAAGGAAATTAATTTGTTAAATGATGTGTTCTCTGCTTGACGTGGATTTATAAACGTACGTGTACGGTAAGATAGTTATTGTAATTGGGCTCGGACTGCACCCTTTGCTTGTTGGCTACTCCGTCGAGACTCGAGCACGAGTGAGACTTCTGCAAATTGTTCATGGAGTTGGATCGCTGCAGCTCTCGGCGCGCCAGCTTTGGAGTCAACGTCGATTTGAGGATATATTTACTATTGACTTTCTTAAGCTCCACTTTTTTCCTAGTTATCAAAACAATCAATTAGTATTGCTTATATAGCGTTTCATATAGATTGACTTACTTCCTTCTCCAGATGATGTTTACAAAGGCGAATTCTGCCATGGAAGCAAATATGAAGAACGTGCATCCCAAGAACCAAATTTCGCTGGCCTTGATATATGATACTTTTGGTAGATTCTTGCTCTGACCTGAGGCTAATGTTATAAACGAGAGCATCGTCGAGGTTCCCAATGTAACGCGAGGAGCAGCGTTATCCGCTTGCAGCCAGAAAGTTACCCACGACGTGCAAACGAGCATAATCGATGGCAGAAAGTAATCGAGAATGTAGTAACCGATCTCGCGCGCAATTTGGAATTTGAACACTAGATTACTGTATTCTCCAGCTGCAACGTAACATAAGAAAACATTAGAAAACATAACTAAAATAGATATTGACTGGGTGACATACCGAAAGCTCCACGATTCTGAGAAGCCTGTACCAAAGTGCTGTAAGTCCAGTTACTGATCAATTTGAACTCGGTCAGGTGAAGTTGGCCTGCAACGATTACGGGTTCCTGGTCCGCCCAATGCAGCAGTAGATCTTCTGAATTGTACGTCCAACTCTTCAAGTGGACGTCGCAAATCTGATCATCGAAGGGAAACTTCTTGAGGTCCATCCAACAATAGATCATCGCCGTCATCCTGTACGTATACACTACTGAGCCGTCCGGACTAATTGACACGTACATATCCTTCTCCTCCAGACCCATGATACTAGTATCTCGTTCGTTGGAAAGCACCAAGTGGGGAATCCAGATCTTCTCACGTAATTTATCACCACCAATCAAAGCCCCGCGATTCGGTGAAATATATTCGTAATGTAACCTCTTATCCACATACTTGTAATGTACGAGCATGTGCATCTTGAATTGCTGCAAATCCATAATCAAATGAGTATTCTCAATGCTATAATTTTCAAACAAAAAAAAACTTACCAGTTGATCAACTGCTTCGATGTGCCGGATATCTAATTGCACAGTCACATTAACGGGTCCATTTGTTTCCGGTTTTATCAGTTTATCGTATCTGCACGCCTGAGTCAACTGTGTTGTGAATTGTTCTTGTGTCAAGCGCTCTGGATTCATGCTCCAGTTGCATGCTTGTACGTCTTCCATTGCCGGAGGAGCAAAAGAATGGTTTTCAGTGACTGACTGAGTCGTCTTAGTTGTCGTAGTCATTCTCAAATTTTCTTCTCTTTTAATTTCATTTGCCAGCGGCAAAAGTTTGGTCGTCTTTGTAGTATCATCTTCAGCATCATTTCCCGTAATTTGTCTGCAAATAAACCAATATAAAATTTAAACTAAAGAAAGAAAGAAAAACAAGTGGCATACTCTGCATTCAAACAGGTTACAGCTTTATTTATAAAACTATTCACAAAACAATCCAAACATTTACTATATTAGAATTAGGATTTACAGCTGAAATAAACGCTAGAATTCCAGTTACGAGGTTAAATTATATTTTCATGGAGGAAAAATGAAATAGGACTCTTTTTTTTATTATCAACAACAACATTCGCAAGATAGTTACGTCACTCCGTCACGTCATTGACGAATTGACTTTAATCACCTTTTTTATTTGAAATTGATTGGCAACCGAAGCGCAGAATCCATTCAAATGTGAAAAGAAAAAAAAAGGCGCACAAACACTTACAATTATTAGTAGTTGGCCCGAAGCGAGATAACAGCGAAAAAAAATCTCACTCAACAAAAAGAGAAATTCCAAAACAATAACCAGGTGTATTCATTTGTTGCGCTATCTCTAAACCAAAATCCATTATTCAAAGTTTAAGGCTATTTATAGAGCCAAATCGTAGACTCTCCTTATTGTATCATAAATAATCTATGCCGATCGCTCTAAAAACGCTTCTATAAAAATTGCTATTACAAAATCAGTTTTAATTTGTATAAATAAACATATAATTGTTAAAAAGAAAATTTTATATATATATTGCTATATATATTTGTTAATATGCATAAAATACTAATATAGAAAACAGTAATAATAAATATAGTTTAATTTGTAGGGAATACGTGTTTAATAATGTAGGGAATAGTTCATAAAATAACATAAATTATTAAAATTAATATTTTATTGCATTATATTAATATTGTTCAACAACGAGAATAATCGAAATGTTTTAACTTATAACGCAAAGCAACGTACAGAAAACATTAAAAAAAAAGGTAGGTAAATATATTTAACATGATAAAAAAAACAGAAACAAATAAACAGTTTTTATAAAATTCTCTTGAAAAACGAGGACAAGATAAAACGTGTATATTTATAATTCAAAAATAAATTGTTCTTATTAATATTAGATAAATTCATAGCTAGTGAAACAATCATTCCTAAGATTTGCTAAATTATGAAAGTAACTTACCCTAGGGTATTTGCAAAACACAGACATAACACAAGAATTTCGATGGAAACGAGGAGACTGAGCATCCTTCCCGAAGAAACGTAATTTCCGAAGATTGACAAATTGGTATCCAAACTATAGTTGTCGTTACCGTCGTCTTATTGCTACTACTGATCTCCAAACGCGTCCCGTTTTTGTATTTATATTGTATATGTTTATCACTATGCACATCCGAGCCTAATCTGCTCCTCAAATATTTATATTTTAAAAAAAGTGTTCTGGTCTGGTGGGGTCTGCTGACTTTTATTTGCTGCCGCAGGGTGGGAACAGCCAATTGCGCGTTATGCAAAAGCGGAAGTATTCGTTGCGTATGCACCGCGGCTCCGCCGAAACAGGTGTTTCCGGTTTTGCACGATGCGACCCTCGAATTTTGTTAATAAACCAAGAGTTCAAGTTCATTGTTTGCAGCGATTCACCCGCGATTACCAATTACTTCAAATATTAACACTCATACTACGATATCTAAATGCGCAAGCATTGCTGTTTCATCAATTCATGGTCGAACATAAAATACTATAGAAACAAGTTAATTATTTGCCATCAATATATTAAATAAATTTGTAAACTGTTGTTCACACTCAAATATCCGAGTTCATGTAATTTTAATATTTATAAATTATTTATAATTTTTTCAAACGTCATCGTGTAAATTAACTTGGTAAATAATTCTAATCTAAAAGTTTTAAATACAATATATATCTTTTTCATTATTGTATCAATAAGTACGTATGTGTATAAATACAAAATGCAGCTACAAATGTGTTAATGATGATATATTTTTATTTTAAACTTACGAAATAAGTAACTACTTCTATCAAAATAATTATTTTAAATCATTGAAAAGTTTATTTAAAAAAAAAAACTTCTTTTGCTTCAGCAACATGTCAGTTTCTGGAATCACAAATTTAATTATTAATATCTAGGTTCATATTTATTTTTAATTCATCTAAATTATAAAAAAGCTTCAAGAAAATCTTAAATGTTATTGTCATTCTTAGATGTTGCTGTAACATTTTGTCTTAAAATGCTTATTAATTTATTTTTATTATTAACAATTTTTTTTGCAACACGAATACTATAATAAATATAATAAGAGATTAAAGTATGCAATAAATAAATCACGTGAATCACTGCAACGGACAATTGTTGATTTTTCATAGTATTCTAAGTTTTGTCTGTTTTATTTTAAAAGCTAATCATTAATTGTGTAACTCTGCAATGTATTTGCGTTCATACATGAAATTGATAAACATCTAATGTCCAGCTAGACCTTTATAGAAATTGCCAAATTTAGTTTTCTTTCATTAAAAATGTTACTGTCATAAAGTATTCATCAGCGCCGAAACGAGGATATGTCAGTGGCAAGTGTCTAACTTGCAAAAATTTAAAATGTAATAAGCTAAATTTGTCTATCCTGATCTAATTGCGTTTACGGATATTTATTTAATTTATATCATTGTCACAATCAACAAAAAAAAATCTATTGTTTTCATTTGCCATCAATAATTATTATGTTTAATTTGAAGAAATTAAGTTGTCATAGATGTTATATACATTTTAAATTATAGTTTTCATTTAATTACAGTGCTCAAACAAATATTGCTGTTGCCGAAGATTTTTTTGTAAAATCGCGGGAAACTATTCCGCTCAGTCATATTTTCTTACAGTTTCAAAACTATTTATTCGTTGCCTGCATTTGGCAGTTTGTAAATAATAAATTTATTAAGAAAAAAACAAAAACTATACTTGGAATAAATGACTATTGACCGAGGATTTTTAACCAAATTTCATTATTTTTATAGAAAAAAAAGTAAAGTAAACATATTTGAAAACACTGTATATTTTAGTCTACTCAGCAAATATCACTATAAAATTATGATTTGCAAAAAAAATCTGTATTTCAGTTAAAATGCATAAACGCCTATTATAGCTATTAAAAATTAAATACATTACAGGCGATGTGAGTAATGCGCGATTAGCGAGAATCATGCATTCGGAAAAATCTATTGTCTGATAGTTAAGCCGATAAGATGGAGAGGAACGAAAAAAATATAATACAACCGGTTTTAGCGGGATGCCGCATTACGCAAGCACGGGAATCGAACGTTCCTCCTATTTTTAAATTTGTCAAAACATTGCCCATTGCGTCTCACAACAATAACATACAAATATTGATAAAAGTACGTCGCCTTTCGGTAAATATTTGAATAACGCGCGCTCCCTGTGATCGCGGCCGCCTTCGAATTGCCATAAAGAAATTACATACACTCGAGAAGGAAAAAAATAAATATATAAAAAAAGCTAAGTAGGATTATGTCATATTATTGTTCTCACATGTACCTGCGTCATTTCAGTCACATTTTTCATTTTGAAATGTTTCAGCGATTACATGTGTACAAGACATTCAATGATAATTGCATTATCTAATGTGTTTTATAACGGCGAATGTGTCACCTCGGGATTAATATTAAACAGAAATTATCTATATTGATTGATTTTTTTTCTCGAGGTCCATTAAAATGTGTTTTATTGTCAGATTACTACTTAAGTGGGTATTTTTTTCAAAAAATTCAATAGTTTAATGCTTTTATTACAACGATAATCGTCGATAATTCGATTATTTCAATTCCGGGCAGAATTCAGAACAAAAAAAAACATTTATTTAAAGTAACTTTTCCATAGTGAATTGTAATGTTAGCGAACGTGTGCTTATTCAATTATTACGTTAGAAACAAAATGTATAAACTAAGCATTAAGTTAATACTAATTCATAAACCAGCAATTACTTAGCGTCCTGTAAAATCTCAATTTATAAACCAAACAATTTTTTAATAAAAAATATATATTTTTTATTTAAATGAAATAAATACGTAATTCCAATTATTATAAATCAAGCAAAGAGCAATTGATCTTAGATTTTTCTGACCAAGTAAAAACATAAACTTATAAAAATAATGAAGTAACTGTTTCGAACTTTATCAAGAATCTTACATTTTTTAAATTTATTTATTAAATTTGAAGAATGTAAGTTTCAATTACTTGTTATTTCTAGAAATCCAATATTTTTGTTAAAATTGATTATTAAATTCAAGTTTCGATCATTCTTACGTTTGTCTAATAGTGATGTGAAATTGTATAGACTGATTATACATTTATCTATTGTATTATCAAAAAGTATGAAAATTGTAAGTAGGTCAAACCCAAAACAAAATATTTAGATGAAATAAAAAGTGGAATACAAGTATAGAATAATATTTTTTGTATATGCATAGATTGTCACTTGTTTTTATTATATATTTTTTTTAAATCTCAGGAAATATATTTCATAATAAACTGAGAAAGATCGCAATAATCGTAACAATGAAACTACTACTTACTTTGGACAGTTCTAAGTACGGATAAGCAAGTATTTATAGAAACAAGTGAGTAAGATTGAATGGAAACTCATTTTTTTCTTTCAAATGATTTATTTATAATTAAAATAATAGCGATAAGATTATAATAGTAATTTTAATTCACTGCCAAGTAGAAATGAATTAATACAAATTATACTATGTATTTTTTTATTTGTATTATTTAATTTCTCATTAAAAAAAAATCCGTGTAGTAATAATTTGTATAAGTCGACTAAAGATGTCGTATGCCACAAAAGAAAACAATTGTTTCTAAAAATACGGATGCTTTTAGCACCTGACGGTTATTTTTGGAATTTAGTGGATATAAATAGACATCGTTAATATCTGATAAAATAAGCATTGTCTCGTTAATGAAATATGCCTGTGTTCTTTATATTTTTTTTATATATATTTTCTCCGTCTTAGCGATATTTATTATGCGAATGTACTCTTGGGTCGAATATTTCGCGAACGCGCGCTCAATAAATCCTTGATTTTTTCGCGAAGACCCTGAATCCGGACAAACATTACATTTGCGATGTAGGACACATAGTTATTTTGTTCGCCAATAAAAATCTACATGCAAGTTATTACCAAACATAAATTAATAAAATCGTGATGCCATTAAATTTCCACTTGCTCCACGGATATATCTACTTGTAACCTACGGATAATCTTTTTATGTGTGTTCCGTCGCTGCAAATATTTAGTTACATATAACATTAAAACAATAATAGAAATACTTTAAGGAGCCTTGAAATAAAACAAACAAAAATAAATATAAATAAATACAAAATATCTTTGATTAGAATATGAACGCGTTTTTAACAATGTAAGAAATTATAAATTACGAAATCCTTTCATACAATTGGATAGCGACTAAGAAACACCAGAAAATTTCGTTTCGCGTTAAATACCATCAAGTTTCAACTTTTTTGTCCAAAGCAGACTTAAACACATTTAAGCACTTCAGCTTTGGACTTCATTTGAAAATATATTAAAACGCCGATATCCGTGGTTATTTGGGAACGTTACAGCATGGATAATTGAAAAACACTGTTTAACAAACATCATGAATAAGTAATCTGTACTTTTTATTGTTTTACTAAACGGTAGATTTACAAATTATTCTTTAACTCAACCCCCAAACTGTGCTATAAGGATGCCGCAAAAATTCTGATATATTAAAGTTCGCCCTGAGATAGACCAATGTTTTGACTTGGGGCGCCGCGGAAAAATGCTGATATATTAAGGGCGCCGCAAACCGAAAAAAATTGGGAACTCTAAACCAGCAGTTCCCAAACTTATTTCTCTTTTTATACTTGTTCGTACTTTTTTGTTTGTTTAAGTTCTCTTTTGTCAGTAGACCTTGTCTTAATGGTTCTTCATCCTTCTGTTTTCTTGTTTATCTTCTTCGTATAATTTTTGTCTGTATTTTAATTTTGTTAGTAGATCTTCCCTTGATGCTTCTTCATCTTCTGGTTTATCTTCTTCTTTGTATCATTTTTTTTTCAATATTTTAAAATAAGTAATCACTGAGATGGCCGCGACCACGGTTATCCGAAACCACGGTAAATTTAGATCCGGATAATCGACGTATTTCTGTAATTGATTAATTATCTGCATACCTAGATTCTCTCACGACATGGCTGAAAATCATTGAAGTGATAATATAATAAAATTTATTTTATTTTATATAATAAAATTTATTTTATTTTATATAACGATCAATTATCAAAACTTCATTATTAAAATGTATACCATGATTTGGGGTTAAGTATAAATCAGTGGTCGACACTAGTCCGCGAGAATTTTTCAGTTCTTACCGAGGGAATAAGGAAAGCAGTTTCTGTGTTAGCGAAAATCGGACCTAATAGAGCCTTTGTTTAATGAGGAATGGATGCCGAAACTTACGTATATGGTGGACATACTTAACCATCAGAATAAACTTAATAATTTTCTCCAAGGGTCTTCAACGAAAATTTTTCCACAAAGAAATAAAATGGTGCGTTCTAATGGTGGCTTTTTAGGATATCAAACGGAAAATTATATTCAACATAATAAGCCTACATTTAATAACGTTGGCTGAAAACTTGAATAATTATTTCCCTAAAAATCTATGTAATGGTAACCTCTGCATTAATAATACCTTTTTAGAAAATATAAAATCATACGCACTTGATCCTTGTGAGAAAGAAAAAATCCAGACATAAAATCATTGTTTCAATTATAAAGTTATAAAATTGTTAGTCTTTTTTTCGATTTCCTTTTTATGTTTTAGCTACGTCAATATTGCCGCTAAATTCTCTCTTCTCAATAAAGCTACAACCACGTATTTCAAATTTGCTTACAGAGGCTGCAGATACCAAAAATTATAAATTTTAACATAAAAATTATATCTACATTTAATTTTATTTACCACTATCGCCGGTTCGGCAACTTGTTATCACAATGGAGTCAAATTAAGAAAGACATGCGATTCAATAGGAAATTGACAATTTTATCTTCATATAATTTAATGTTATTTTATTATGTGGACTTCGTTCTCTTCCAATTTAAATTCGTATGTCAAAAAAATTGAAAATATATTATAATACTAATAATGAGTTAATTCATTTTATTTTCAATGCAAATATTTTATTCATTCTAAACAGAAATATTTGAACAAACTGAATTGTTATCAATCAATAATTATATTATCAGTTACATAAACACAGTACAAACGGATGACCGAAATAATAAGAAATCTGAGACGAATTTTATCGATGATTCCATTTTATGTTTATCGTTTTAATTTTCAAGCAGTAATTGCTAATATCATGGAACTGGAACATGGGATTTCCAGGTCGATATATAATGGTTTATGAGTTTTGCGAATTACAGGTGAGCAAATGATTTATCATCACTTGTAGGATAAACAAAAAGGCGGAGCGACATAAATCTCGAACCGCCAGGGAATAGATCTCGCATTGGATGATGATAATAAAACGCTGATTATTTTAATATAATTAACTTGTTTGTATCTCTTTTTTTCTGTCACTTCTTTATTATTTTATAGTATGTACATATCTTCGTCAAAATAAAAATAATGGCGAAAGAAACAGTCACCGTGTTATTGTTTGGTTCGTTTCCATAGTAATGAAAAAACAAGATCGTAATTTCGCACCGATTTCGTCACAATCGAATAGCGATTAATTGATAAACGATCCAGGAAACAAAAAATAATAATAATAAATCACTTCAGAACAAAAACACTATTTATAGTAATTACTTCATATCATTAATTTGTTGCTGTTTTTTTTTGTTGTTTTGTACTATATCATATATATTTTATATAGAAACATGTTATAATTGATTTAAGAAAATAATAATATTTATATATAAATATATTTATGTATAAATTAACCGACAAGACGAGGGAAAACAATGTAACATAATTGATAGAAAATAAAAATATATAGCTCCTAAAAAATATTAAGTAAACATGAATATGTATATATTTACACTTAAATTAGAAAACATATATTTCTTATGCGGTTTTTATGATTTCCGATCTAGGATTTTTCTTCTTAAAATGCCGTACAAAAAAAAACAATTGCTAATCATTTACCCGGTTTCCAACGTCACGACACGAGAGGTTTCTTTTTTTTTTGAAAAAGTAAAGAATACAAACGCAACACTACGCCCTCGAGTTATTAATATTTGCCTTTCTGCAGAGTGATGGCATGTAAATAACGTCGCTTACTTTGCTTCCAACGCTCTGCACATAGGTGAACCACGCAGAAATAAGGCACAGCCTATATTCAATGAACGTCTGCGCGTGTCTTGAATTTATTAAAAGCACTTTTTATTCCATCCATTACTTAATGTAATTATTTGTTTATTAAAGTTTGATCCTGCTCCTCATCGAGAAAGGAAAGAAATCACCTAAGATCAGGTTGAGCCACGTGGGCTATTTGCCCAAACCGACTAGCGCTTCGTCCATGAGTTCGTCATCAGTGATGCCAGGTGAGGCTGAGTGCGGACTGGGGTTGATGAGCGGAGACGGCGCTGGGCTCTTAACTATGTGTACGCTCACAGACGGAGATGCTGGATACGAGTTTGGTGGTCCGAGAGGCACGCTCTTGTCTAGTTTGGAGTAGTCTAAAAGGCCATCCTCTAATTTCTTACCGCCGTCCTTCTTGATGTCGTCTTTTGGGGCCGGCGCGATGAATTTGGAGGTAAGGTCTATGCTCTTCGTGGAAAGACTTAAGGGTTCGGAAGCTGACTGGAAGTTCTTTGATGCGGATATGGGAAAATGCATTTTGAAGTTCAGGTCGTCCTTGCTCATGGTCTTCTTATCGTCAATGGCGCCGTCGCTGCTATTGTCCATGTCCTTCGGGAGCTTGGGGCTTGAACTGCGGGCGGAAATCGACAATGAATTAGCGTTCATGCTGTTCCTGATCTTCACTTCCATGTTGCCATCAAACATCTTTGGAGTCGGCACGGCGAGCGGGTACTTGGGTAGTTCCCCCTTACTAAACATATCGTAGATCTTGCTGGCCTCAGGTCTGGTGATGTTGTTCATATCAGTATTTACCTTATTCGTAAGTAATTTCTTATCTTCCGAGGAGCGCGCCGATAATTTGGGAATCTGAAACTTTTTGTCGAACTGCTTACTGACGCCTTCCGTCGTCAACGGCGTCGCATAATTGGAAAGCGTCTTGTACGCTTTCTCGTTTTCGCTCTCCTCACGCGGCTGCTGAGTAGGACTGCCCTTCCTTTCTCTACTACTAAAGATCGACTTCTCTGAACTACTCTTGTTCAATTTGGGTCGATCCTTTACTCGCATATCCGTTATGGACGACGAGCTACTAGTCTTCGGAAGACCAATTTTGGATTTGGACATGTTTGTACCTAAGCTGCTGCTGCCGCTGCCACTACTGCTGCTACTTTTGGTACTTGGCACTTTGGTAGAGCTTTTGAAACTGCTCCCACTGCTATAACTACTGCTACCACCGCTAGCACTCGTCGAATTCACTATTCCTGTTTTTTGGGCCACCTGCTGAGGTTTCTTCGATGCCGGACCACTATTCACGCCTGGTTTTAAGCCAGTCCCCGAACTTTTCATATTCGATGACTTCGACGAGGCAGGTTCCTTCATTCGAGTCTTGTTAATAGTCACCTTCAAATCGGAACTGTGTTTGACCATGTACTCAGGGTTTTTTGGTTCGCCTGTTTTTGTGTTTTTGCTCATATCAGTCTTCGAGATTTGACCAGTACGCTCCTTGCACTTATTATTATCCGAGGACGGGATATCACAGTGTTGGGCGGATTTTAATTTATCTACAATCGCAGATAGGCATGCCTTGTTTCTGTTACGCATTTGATTCGGGACTGCAGATTTTGACAAGTCCATGCCGCCCGGCGACGATAAACCATCTGGCGTGGGAATCTCCACGACTGCGTTTAGGTCGAGCGGTTTCACTTTGAAGGAGCTCTTGTTTTTCGTCGTCGAGTTCACGCTGAAGTTACTTCCGCTAGTTTTCTTATCCTTCTCGCGAGACGAATCTTTGCTTTTATTTTTACTTTCGCCACTCTTGCTAGAGGGCGAATTTGCCGCGTTTTTTAGAGTCGACATGCTTGGTTTACCACTGCCGCTAGTTGAAGGATGTTTAGGCGAATGGCTCTTAGGACTGCTAATTGCAGGCAACCCATGCTTAGGACTGCTCGGGACGTGAGCCGGTGAATGTTTGGGGCTGTGCGTCTTCAATCCAGGTTTCATCATACTTGGACTCAATTTTCCGCTTAAAGACATGGTGCGATTGTGGGTAGGCGATTGGCTAAATTTTCTTATCATATTTGGAGAATTTGGAGTAATCGATGGCAAGGGTGGGCTTTCGGCAGGTTTTATGCTTACGGAGACTGGCTTGGTTAATGGGTCCTGTTTTGTGGGAATCTTCTCAGGAGGACCCATCGGGCTCTCCTCACGTTTTCGCTTTTTCTTCTTTTCCATCTTATTCTTATCGTCTGATCTACTCTTATTGCTCTTCTTATCTTTGCTCCTTTCCTCGCCTTTTGCTTGCGAAGAAATTGGTGTGATGGTTATTGAACTGGGAAGAGTCGTTGCAGTCGTCGAGATGGGGATTATTTCAATTCCTGGCCTGTGGTCCATGCATCCCTGCTGGTTGGTCCCAAACCCCGATACCTGTGGAATGGGTGTGATGCTTACACTGGGAGGGACCAACTTATCCCCAAAATCCCCTAAAGGGGATAATTTATCACCTTTGCGACTCTTTCCCGAAAGAATCTCCTCCACGTCGCCCAGGTCATCTTGGTCGAATTCTGGTGCATTGTCCTTGTCACCAAGAAGTTCAGAGGGATCAAGGGCGGAGAGCTCTAAATCCGAGTGAAACCCCAACCCTGAATTTGGGGTAGGTATCTCTGAGACGGTCTCCTGTGAGAGCGGTGTACTGCGCGACGTTGAATCGCAGCTAGAGGCATCGAGAAGACCATCGTCGTCGCCGCCGCCAGCTTTTCTCGTTTTACTACTTCCTTTCCAAAGGTCATCGTTGGCTTTCCGTTTTGATGATCTCTTAGGTTTCTCGTTGCCTGCCAAAATGTTTGTTAATTCGATGTTGGTGAGAACAGCTGCACTATCTGCGGCAGTCTGAAAATTGGTGAAATTTGCGCTCGACATGAGCGTCTCGCTTAAGAACATGCCTTGATGGGGGTGAGACATAAGCGGTAGGTTCATTCCGCCGTGACTTGATGGTTCTTGCTTTATTTTACCGTCAAAATCACCGATATTGTTACCCGAGTTACCGTTGCGTCCCCCCGGATCCCCAGAGCCGAGGGGCAAGTTAAAATTTTCGTGCCCGCCATAATGATTTTTTCGCACGATTTGCTTGTCCCAATACATTAATATCGCACGCATGGTAACAGGTATTGAGAAACACCGATTGAACACCTTCGTGGTGATGTCAGAGGCGACATCAGGTGAGTTCGGAGGTGGCGGTGTTCCGGGACTATGTATTCTGCACGTTAGATTTGACACATCACTTAGATCCATCTCCGCCGTGGCCATGCTCTCTTCCAAAGGGTGCTCCAGTGACACAGATATGTGTGTCCATGACAACGCACTTACTTCTAGCATTATCATACTTTCGTAATCTAAAATAGAAAATTAACGTATTAGTAAACCGTATATTTTTGCTATTGAATAAATCCAATACCTTGCCTACTGTTGGGTCTTATACAGCTACTAATAACTGTGTTAAAAAGGGCTTGTTGTCTTAAAATCACCAATATTTGGGCAACGTGGCCTGGATGTGTGAAAGGAATGTTATTGACTAAAACGCCCTGCATGTTCTTATTTTCCGTCATAAAGTAGCAATGGCTCTGATCAGGTAACGTCTGAAAATAAATATTAAATATAAACTATTGTACATTAAATTTTAAATTGAATACATACAACAAAGCAGGCGCGATTATTGCCTGTGTCCAATTTTCCGTCACTACAGTGTGTAGCAATTAAGCTCAGCATTGGACGTGCCGCAGATATATCGGCACAATCCAACTCAGTAATTTGTTGGATTTGATGTATAAGATTCAAACATATCGGCATTGATTTGTTCAAACGTAGAACAAAGCATGCTGGAATAACAGCACTGTTTTGGCTGGAGAGCGGGGCGTAGGAAGGAGTCCTAGTGCAATTGAAAAAAATATTAATTTAGTAATAAAATAAACAAAGTTAAACATACCCTTTGCCATTATGATTCCTATTGACTGTAATTAAGGTAGATGTTTGCAACTTATGTGCAGTGGAGCCTTCCATGTAAACGGTGACATTGTAACCTAGATTCTTAGATATGATCCCGTCTATGGCAATTGGATCGATGTCTCCGCGATCCTTATTGATTAAATCGTATGGTGAAACAAAATAAGTCAACTTCATAGCATGTCCTCCGCGACGTTTCTCCAGAATTCCCACAGGAGATTTGTAGAGAACGTTAAAAGGTTCTTTTATGAATGTCTGCAGCTGAGCAAGGGTGCACAAGTCTGCTTCCAATGATTGCAACGCGCTAAACGCTTTGCATTTTACTTTCTTCTCTGCATTAAGCTGGTATATGGAAGCAAAACCCTCCAACTGTGCAGTGAAATCAGAAAAATCACCTTTTGTCAAACATTCGACCAGTTCTTGGCAGTTCTGTGGTTCCTTGCCTTCGTGGTGGACCTTGACGTCATGCACAGCACCACTTTCTTGCAGTATTATCTCCAAATAGAAGACATCAGATGTGATGAATAATTCATACCCAGTTGGATTTTGACAAAGCCTTTGCACAAATTTCAACCTGCATTATAATTACAATTAATACAAATGTCACATAAGCTCTCAATATTGTGTAATACCCTAACTGCCTTGTGAGACTTTCTAACCGTTCCACCATGCTCTGCAAGGATGTGACTTTGATGGAGTGTTGAAGAGTGTCTAAGCATTTTTGATGTTGGCTTTTCTCGACACTGTCCAAAGCATAGCGTTTATCCTGGAAACCCAAATATAAAACTTTACACATTGCATACTAGGAGAATAAGTAGCAAATACTTACAAGGAGAGTCATGCGGACATTCTTTGAGGTTTCCACAAAGCTTTTGAAGTGTGGTGCTTTGGAACGCAGCTTCTCCATAAGCAGCTCAAGCTGCCAGTCTTTGTTTTTGTCCATGATTTGCAGTTGTGCATTTGTAGAACCTCCAGAAACAAAACAGTATTATCAAAAAAACCAAGAAGAACAGGAGGTGCCACTCACCATTTGCTATTCTACTCATCGCTACACTACTTAGCGGCCCCGCACCCGCGCATTACCTCAGCGGTGACCCAGCTTTACGGGCCACCTTTGCGAACGGAAAATTAAAAAAATAAAAATAAAACGAAAAAACTACGGGAACCGACGGGAAAGTGTTAACTTCTGGCTTGACACACATCAGCAACAAACAAAAATTGACAGCTGCTGCCGCTGGGCCCAAGGCACAGACGCCGGCTACATTCGGTGAACAGTGCTGCCAATCCACATGTTGATTATTTAAAAAGCGGTAAAAAAAGGAAATTTGAATATCCTTGATGAACGAAATGTTATCATTGATAAATAAAAACTAATAATATACTGCTTGCGTATATGATTTATCTAATGAAATTTGGTTTATCTACTAACTTTATTGTATCAACTAAAAGTACTCTCAATTGATGCCATATGTTCTTTTTATGAGTACCTCTAGAGGCACTCTAAGTAGAATAAACACGTACAAACAAGTAAACACTCTAAAACAAAATAAACTATAATTTAATTAACTTATGTTATGACCAGTAGCTATTTTTTCTACAATATATTAATATAAAAGATCATATTTTGAAATAATACTTAAAATCAAATTTTAAGTCTGTATTTCAGTTCTTACAAACTAAATAATTATTTATAATGACAAATAAAATGTATAATTTGGATATTTAATTATATAATATAATAAGTATATTGCTATGTATTATAACTTTGAAGCAGAGGTCGTCAAACTTCTTTGACTTATTGTCAATCCTCTCTATTCCCTACAGTATCTTTTATTATTAAAATTTCAACAATAACATTTTTAAATTATTTCGAAGTGTAGTCACCATCTACTATATTTTTATGGGTACGCGACAACTCGGCGACCGATACTCAAAAAAATATTTTTAAGGAACTCACTTATAATTATTATTATAATAATAACAACTTATTGCGAAAAAAATGTAATATAATATAAAAAATAAATTAATATACATATATATATATATATTTTAAAAAAAATCCCGTCCTAAAATACCTTGGTCGATAGTTCTTATGCCCGATTATTAATTGTTGTTATATATAATTAATAACAATACATTATTATAGTATTTGTTTTCATTGATTTATTCATTATAAAACTTAAGAATAAGAAATATTCTACAATAAAATTTGTTTATTAATTGTTATAATTTAATATTAATTAACAATAAATGAAGTTTAATTTAGAATATTTCTTAATTTCAAGGTTTATTCTAATAATAAAAGATACAGTCGGCATTTCGATATAGTCGGGATTTCGAACATCGGGATTTTGATTGTCCGGATTTCGATCGTCATGACTTCGATTGCCACCGAATTATAATAGAACAAAGAAATGTGACAATTATGTGATTTAATGGAGGTAATCCAAGTTAATCGAATTAAATGTTGTCATATTTTTTTATCGACCCGAAATTGACCCGTAGGCCCAAATCAACTCCTGCAATATTGATCACTTTGGTGACCACTGGTTTAGAGGGACAAAGTGGTGTAGGAATCTAGAATTTCGTGACACAATACGAGGTTTTAATATAACTACTACTTTTAATATGCTTAAACAAACATAATTTGAGTAATACTTACATAGCATTAGTGAAAACTTTGCTAGGTGTTAAGAAATTGAGTACAAATGAACTATACGAAAAACTTGTCGATCGGTTTTTCAAAAAATATTTAGTGCTCATTTTCGTCAAATCGAATCGTTAAGATATATATGTACAATGGAATTGTATAAATCATTGCAACATAATAATAATAATTCCAAAAACAGCAGTACCTTACGTAGTGCAGATTGCGCCAATATCCGGTATAATTTTTTATGTCGTATAATTTTATTCACAATCTGTTCATCAATGTGAACATTGAGTAAATTTAAGATCGCGGTTGACATTAAATGGATAATCTTTCCCGGCGGATGATTTGATTTTTTTAATTTGTTGGTTGTCTGTCGTCTTGTAGGTTAACTTCAGTCCATCTGTGATAAACAATGGCCCTATTGCTGCAAGCACCGAGAGGGCTCACAAAGGGCCTGGCTTGACCAGGATTTGAACCGGCGCCCACTAAATCGTGGGTAGGGCGACTTAACCACTCGGCTATTAGTGAATAAAATATGCCTCAAATGTAGTTTTAATTATGTTTTAAATTTGTATAGCAAACTCTGAGAATATAACATATGCGGTTGTATACTTGAAGAACTTATATCCCGGTTTATGAAAACTAATGAAAATATCAAGGATATTTTGCTTGTTTCTATATTATATTTAATAATCAATTATATTTTATGAAATAGTGTTGGGGAGAAATATTGTAATTTCATTTCTGTATTCATAATGCTAGTTTATTATGGATAAGTTATTTTGAAAATAAAATTGGACTGGAAAGGGCTAACTACAATATTAAAAATGAACACAATTAGTTATATAGTAATGATTCTGAACGTTGAAATTATAATAACTAATATGTACTTTATAGCTATGCGCGTAATAGACATTTTACGATTTTATTTTTTCCAATAAAAACGGAAAGTATGGCCAGCCTATTAATATATATTTTTTTATTGTATGTTAAAATTTATTTATGTATAAATTTTATAGTTTTTCTCTTCTTCTTATGTATCGATGTTTGGCCAATAAATTATTATTGTTACGGAAAGTATTATACAAATATTAACAAAGCGTTATTAAAAAATAACAACGTTAAATATAAGACAATTTAATCACTAAATTATTAAATAAAAATAAAGTTATAAATTTATTTAAATATTGTTAAACATAATTCGTCAAATTGATGGATGATGGCTATTATGAATATATAATTTCTTTATAATTAAATTATAATGTATGTAGTTCCATAGCTAAATTATTGTTGAAATTCTTATTTCTGGTTGAGATTTATAATAATAATAATAGAAATGTAATATAAATTAAGAAATTTATAGACTCTAATAATATATTATTACGATATTAATTTAAAAATCAACCCATAAAAATAAAATTATTCGTTAAAGTGGTCATTTTTTATGTATTTCGCGTCAACAAAAAATGTTTCTGTCGTTCCGTTCCCCTTCTGATTTGGTGATTGTTTTTCCTTCTGATTCGTGGGATTGCTTTCTAGTTCAACGAAAGAGCCGAGAATGCTGTAAAAGTCAATCAAATCAATTAATAAATAGAGTATCCTATAATCCGGTGGATGCGAGCCGAAGAGCCCTGGCGTGGAAGAGAGACGGAGGGAGAGTGGGTGTTATGGCGAACACTTTTCACAGCACTTTTTCGCATAGTGACGTTTGCGCCCGGGCACCTGGATCGCATATAAATAGGTTGTCCCTCGCTGGACTCCTCGCACACATCCTTCGACTTTCCAACGAATAGTGTTCACTAATCCACCACTGCGAAGAACTACCCCCAGGAAAATGTGGAAGTTCACCAATCTCGCTCTGCTGCTGGCGTTCTGCATGCATCAGTCGTTTGCTTTTCCATCGGTAAGAAAAAAAAAATCTAAAAATTTTATTCGACTTCATTCAATTTAGATATTCAATTTACCTTTTCGTCGTACATGAGATAGACCATTTTTTTTTATCAAATAACAATTTTACAATATATATTACAACTTTCCTAACATAATAATTATTAATTTTCAATATTTGTTACCAAAAAGTTAAAAAAAAACAATTTAAAAATGCTTTATTAATGAAATCGCAATTCAATTAATATTTACAAAAACCAATAAAGTGAAATGACTTCATTAAATAAATCTATATAATTTTAATATCTTGGAGCTTCAATCTACCTTTTCAATGCAAACAATTAAATCGAACGACATGAATTTATAATTCTCAATTAAATTCCTCATTTTAATATGCATAAAGAATCGTGTAGTTTATATTTACGGTATGAATGCTTCTTATCAAATAAATGCTTTTTTCGTTCAATTTTAAAAACTTTTTAGTAGGATTTAATAATATTAGTATATTGGCAATAACATCTGGCCAAAGTATACTTTCCCATATCATGATTTTTTTTGTAATAATTAGTTATTTCAATTCAAATTATCATTTTATTATAATACGTGTATTTGACCGCTTTTGTGATATTTGTGCTTCATAAAAAATAAAAACAAATAGCCATATTTGTAAAATCAACAAGGAAATCATTTTTATTTATTTAGCAGTAGTAACATTCAATAATAAAAAATAATTCGTAATGCAGATTTTTTTCCAATATAATTAATAGAATATATGATTTATCTCTAAATAGGCTCTATACAATGCCACGGTATAGCTGTTGATGTATATACATTTATTGAAGAAAATATATACAAGCCCTTTTTCTTAAGATGATGCTTTTACATTCAAATATATACTATAAAACGTCGATTATTCGTGGTAATTCGGAAATTTTAAAGCACATTTTAAATCATTTTAAACGATAGATTTGTAGAGTATTGTTTAGCCTATAAAACAAGTAAACACGAAGGCGGCCGCGATCGCAGCAAAATGAGATCCGAATAATCGCCGTTTTACTGAAATGGTTGAAAATCGGTGAGTTCATGATTTGGTTTAATTATTGCTATAAATTGTTAAAAATAAATATTTTTGTTATATTGGTTTATAATAATTGAGATATAATCATGAATTGTTAATACTGAATATAATAAGTTATATAATAATAATAATCTTTATTGTAACAGTCAAAAATAAAATTAAACATTTTTATTCACAACAATAATAATAGTAAAACAAAAGATAAACTGTTACATATAGGTCTTTCTGTCCTGTTATATAATAATTTTATTGAAATGCGTGAACTTGACATATTTTGTAATAGTAACTTCATTAGTATATTCTTCTTTTGTTAAGTATTAACTATAATACAAATTATTACCATTATTACCATTAAGATTTTTCACAAAATAGAATAATTGTATGGGGGGAGAAACTGCGTTGAATGTAATGTTGAATTTAGTTATACAATAAATTTAGTTAATTATTTTTTTTATAGAGTATATTCAATTAATTTAATTAAATCATGTAAACAGTATGCATTTCTGGTCTTGAACTTGGGAAACTGTACATGCAATCAACGCGCAGTTTGCATTGGACTATCGAATTTTCGTACACGTGCTCTCGAAAATCAATCCTGAGGGATCCAATTTCGTGGATGGGATCTGATATCAAACTTTAAACATTATCGAATTAATTCATTGTTTTTTTATTACTATATTCTTTTCGTTTCTGCAGGAATACAGCGAGCAATTCTACATGGGTCAGACTCCGAATTTCAGTAAGTAGATACATGTACATGTTCTTGTTGGTGCTGTTGTATTTTCAATTGCACATGGAAAATGATCTCGCCTTTGTCAATGCAGTTTCGCGTCGTGTGTGGCTTTCGTGTTTGTGCTCATGGCGGATGGCGTGAATTTAATGCAATAATTTTCTTTCTTTCTTTGCACGAAGTCAAGTGGCGCGCATTGGATGGAATCGGTGGTGGTAATTTGAATGGAAGAGCCTTGGATGGAATCGGTGGTGGTAACTTGAATGGAAGAGCTTTAGATGGAATCGGCGGTGGTAATTTGAACGGAAGAGCCTTGGATGGAATCGGCGGTGGTAATTTAAATGGAAGAGCCTTAGATGGAATTGGCGGTGGCAACTTGAATGGAAGGGCTTTAGATGGAATCGGCGGTGGTAATTTAAATGGAAGAGCTTTAGATGGAATTGGCGGTGGCAACTTAAATGGCCGTTCATATCTGTTATACCGATTTGGTGTTAATCACCGTGCTTTGGATGGAATTGGTGGTGGTAATTTAAACGGAAGAGCTTTGGATGGAATTGGTGGTGGTAATCTGAATGGCAGAGCTTTAGATGGAATTGGTGGTGGTAACTTGAATGGCAGAGCTTTGGATGGAATTGGCGGAGGAAACCTAAACGGAAGAGCTTTGGATGGAATTGGCGGAGGTAACTTAAACGGGAGAGCTTTGGATGGAATTGGCGGTGGTAACTTAAATGGAAGGGCTTTAGATGGAATTGGTGGTGGTAATTTAAATGGTAGAGCTTTGGATGGAATTGGTGGTGGTAATCTAAACGGCAGAGC